TTCTGTCGCGAGCAGGGCATTCGTCAGTCCTGGACGCTTCCAGAGTCCCCGCAGCAGAATGGGGTTGCTGAGCGCCGCATAGGCTTGGTCATGGAGATCGCCCGCACCTCCCTGACTCACGCCCGTGCCCCCCATTTTCTGTGGCCTTACGCGGTTCGGTACGCCGCGCACCAGCTGAACCTCTGGCCACGCGTCTCTCGGCCAGAGGCTTCGCCGACCAGTCTTTGGACCGGGTCCCCTGGTGTTGCGTCGAGGTTTCGTGTCTGGGGTTGCTTGGCTCTTGTCCGCGACTCCTCTGACTTCACGTTTTACCACCCTCCCTCCCACCGGTTCTTTGACTCCTGTGACGTCCGTTTCGAGGAGTCCACCCCGTACTTCGTCAGGCACCCCAGTCGGGGTCTCCCGGTTCCTCCTCCCCCCCTCTTCCTGACTGCCGCTCCCCCTCCTGCTCCCCCGGTACAGCCTCCCCCCCCTGGTCCAGCCCCGTCAGGTGTGTCCCAGGCTACCCCTCCTCCTTCGGTAGCCCCTCCGGTACAGCCTCCCTCCCCACAGTCCTCCTCGCAGCGTGCCGCAGGTGCTAGCTCTCGAGAGGTTGGTGCCGAGCCTGTTCCTGTACCGGTTTCTGGTTCTGGGGGTGCTGGAGTTGGAGCTGAGCCGGTGGGTGCAGAGGACTCTTGTCTTCCGGGAGCTGGTGCTGGTCGCGCGGACACTGGGGGTGCTCCGTCTGGGGGTGAGGGTGCGCCTCCTTCGGGTTCTGGTGAGCCTGGGTCTGGAGCTGGTGTTAGTGCTGCCTCTGGGGGTGGTGCGCCTGGTCCTTCGGGGGTGGACTCTGGAGCTGCCGCTGCTCCGGACACTACTCCGCCCCCCCACCCCTACCCGACTAGGCACCAGGCTCGTGTTCGCCGTGCCCGTGAGGAGCAGCTGGCGTTGGAGAGAGAGGAGAGGGAGTTACAGCGGCTGGAGGAGCAGCAGCAGCAGCTGGAGCCGCAGGAGCAGCAGCAGCAGCAGCAGCTGGAGCCGCAGGAGCAGCAGTCCCAGCAGCAGCCGCAGCCGCAGCAGCAGCAGCACCAGCCGCAGCAGCAGCAGCAGCAGCAGCCACTTCCTCCTCCTGTCTCGGGTCTTCGGACCCTTGGTCTCCCCTCTCCTTCTCCTCCCTCCTCCGCCTCTCCTCCTGTCTACGGTCCCACGTTTCCTCCTCCTGACTCCTCCCCCGCTGTTTTCCCCAGTTCTCCGTTCTCCGCCTTTGTCGTCTCCTCCTCCGTCTCGTACTTGGGCTACTCGTCGCTCTCCTCGTGCTCGTCCCTCGTCCCCTGTCCCTCTCACTGACCTTCGTACTGTCTTGTTACGTTCTAGTCCGTCTCGTTCGGCTCCTCCTGTGCTTCCTTCTCCTCCTGAGTCGGCCCTCACAGCTTCTCTCTCTACCCCTGTCACTGACTACTACCGCACGTACCGTCCTGTTCTCTCTCGTGTTCTCGCCTCTCTTGTTACCCACCCTCGTGCCTCTTTGTCCTCTGTCTCCGCTCTTACTGCCGCGGTCACTGAGTTTGCCTCTACTCGCCGCCTTGACTACGCCACCACTCTTGTGGCTGCTCCTCCTACCAGTCCTCTGGCCGTCGGGGGTGTGTCTGCCCTTGGCTGTGACGTCCTAGAGGACAGGCAGTTTGAGCTAGAGTTCCTGGCAGCCGCTTCCCCTCATCTCTGTGCCATGCTCCTCACCCCTGAGGGTGACCCCGACGCCCTTGACATTCCGACTCCTCGCACTTACGCTGAGGCAGTGTCAGGGCCTTGGGTCTCTCAGTGGAGAGCTGCCATGGACGCAGAGATGGCCTCCTACAGATCCACAGGCACCTACGTCGATGAGGTTCCTCCCCCTGGGACGAACGTAGTCGATGGCATGTGGATCTACAGGGTGAAGCGGCCACCAGGATCTCCTCCAGTCTTCAAGGCGCGCTACGTTGCTAGAGGTTTCAGTCAGCGCGAGGGAGTTGACTTCTTTCAGACCTTCGCGCCGACCCCGAAGATGACCACTCTTCGGGTGTTACTGCACGTAGCAGCACAGAGAGACTACGAGTTACACTCTCTCGACTTCTCCACTGCTTTTCTTCAGGGCAGCCTACACGAGGAGGTCTGGCTGCGTCGTCCCTCTGCCTTCACTGGCACTTTCCCTCCTGGGACCCAGTGGAGGCTGAGGCGACCTGTCTACGGTCTTCGCCAGGCCCCTCGTGAGTGGCACGACACTCTCCGCTCTACCCTCTCTGACCTTGGGTTCCAGCCGTCTTCTGCCGACCCGTCGCTGTTCGTTCGCCGTGGCTCCACACCGTTCTTCGTTCTGGTTTACGTCGACGACCTAGTTTTCGCCACTGCTGACAGGGTTGCTTTGGCAGACGTGAAGTCCGAACTGCAAAAGAGACACACGTGCACTGACCTTGGTGAGCTGCGCCATTACCTTGGGCTGCAGATCACCAGGGACAGAGCTGCTCGCACCATTACACTCTCACAGTCACACATGGTGCAGCAGGTCCTTCAGCGGTTCGAGCTTCAGCACTCCACAGTACAGCGCACACCTCTTGCTGTTGACCACAGACTCACTGGCCCCTTTCCTGACGAGCCGTTTGAGCCTAGTGGTCCCTACGCAGAGCTTGTGGGTTGCCTCATGTACCTGATGACTTGTACTCGCCCGGACCTCGCTTTCCCTCTCAGCATCCTTGCGCGCTTTGTTGCGCCAGGGAGACACCGTCCTGTTCACTGGACAGCAGCTGTGAGGGTGGCGAAGTACCTAGCGACGACATCAGGCGTGGGGCTAGTACTTGGAGGGCAGCAGTCTGTTGTACTTACTGGTCACTGTGACTCTTCTTACGCTGACGACGCTGAGACTCACAGGTCTACTCAGGGGTACTGTTTCAGTCTGGGTTCTGGAGCTGTTTCCTGGCGGTCCACGCGCTCCTCTTCGGTCTCGACCTCTACAGCTGAGGCTGAGATCTACGCTGGTGCCATGGCGGCACAGGAGCTGCGTTGGTTGACGTTCTTGCTCGCCGACCTGGGTGAGCGGCCGAGCTCTGCACCGACCTTGTTCACTGACAACAAGGCATCCATTCTCCTTTGTCGAGAGCCGCGACTGGAGAGCAGAGTGAAGCACATTAACGTCAGGTACTTCCTTCTGCGAGAGTTGCAGAGGCGTGGACAGGCTCGCTTCGAGTTTGTGGAGTCTGAGGCCAACACTGCAGACATCTTCACCAAGGCGCTTCCGCCTTGTGACCACCACAGGTGTTGTGTGCAGTTAGGTCTTGTTGACACTGGTTTTCGGCTTACTTAGTCTTGAGTTCACTGTTTGCTTTGCTTGTACCCTTTCTATATATCTCTGTTATTGCTTGGACTGGCCTTGTGGCCATTGTTGCTTGTGCTCAGAGTTTGTGGTGACGTTGTGATCCACCCTGAGCTTTGTTTCTTTGTGACTGGTCTTATGACCGTACTCTTTTGGTTTTGCTAGACACCCCTCACTTAGGCTATGGGGGTGTGTCAAATGTTGGTAGCCTGTAGTGAGGTTTGTCTTAGGGGGTACGTATGTTAGGGTTTGCTACTTGTACCCCAACCACCATCAATGAAACAACACTTGTGATTCTGACACGAAAGCACGAGATAATGTTAAATAACGAACGAGCGTGGTAACGGTAATGAGCAAGTTGTAGGGTGTGCAACGGGCCTGGCGCCGAGGTTGGGAATTGTCAAAGCGGAGAACCAAAGAGCGGGTTACCAAGCGAGCCGTGAGGTTGGGTCACGACGCGAACAGTACCGTAGCTGGAAAGTGGTTGACACGAGTGTCGCGAGGTGGCAGGAAAGTGGTAACGTTCTACTATTGGGGTATTGTGGCAGGAACGGTCGTGTACGCAGTAAGCAGGGAAGCAAAGGAAGGAAAAGAATTATTCCTTGCACCTACTTTGTTGTACCGTATTGGTTGGCACTTCTGCTTTGGGAAATGGGCTGTTTGAGGATAACTTGTTATCAGCAGTAGTGTTGCAATTAGGTTTGTTAATAGCGGTGATTTCGGTGTTGACGTTGTGACTCCACGCTGGATGCGATCGTCCAATCGATGCGGGGGCTGCCGCCACATTTTTCCAGCAATGCAGCTGACTATCGTCGACGTGTGCTCGCGATCAACGGGCGTAATCTCGGGGCAGTCTTCGTTATTGACGATCATTTACAATTGCTTGGCGGCATGTGGACGTCTAGTCGTTTCATTCATCGTCAGGTCGTCCCAACTCAAACCAACCCAGCCTCTGGAAACACTGATTCTGGGTGGTGTCCCGCGTTACCTTGAAAACTCCCGTATACGAGCCGCGCGTCCGCGATTCTGGGCACCACTGACAATCAGGTTTGGGCAAGGCTTTCGAATACAGGATTCCTTTTGAGGTGGTCCCATTTTCGTTCCGTGCCGTGTATATCAGTTGGTGAGTTGGTGAGAATGGGAAGCTGATTCCCATCTGCCAGCCTTCTTCGAGTTTTGTGCACCCAGAAGTTTCCTGTATTCGAAAGCCTTGCCAAGTTTGCAAGACTTAGTGCTTTCACCTCGTCGAGGACTAGTTTATTATCCGAGCGATCGACTCTCGTTCAGGGACTGGTAAAGTTATTCGGCTGTACTAGCAGACGTGGTAAAAACTTCAGTGGTCCCTGGCTTGACTCTCATGGTTCACGATGTCGGTACCAAGCTGTAGTCCTGTGTCCTCTCTTCTGGAGACTAGTGTATAGACACCCGTAGACAGGCGAGTTTACTGGGGGAGCTGCAAATCTTCGGCAGCAACTTTTTTGTGGAGGTTTCTAGACCCGCGGAAAAGCTGCTCCATATGGCATTAAGCGGTAGCCATGGCACGCTACAACAGATTGGTAGACGTGTGGCGATTGTCGTATTGCGGCCACTGTCGATGTCCCTATTGTCCAGACATATAACCCACGAGGCAGCCAAATCAGCAAGCCAACGATCTCCCGCAGAGCAAAGCGAGCTTGTGATGCCGTATGGATTGCGTCTGCCAAGTAGTGACCAAGTATTTACAGTTTCAGAAGATCAGGCGAACAACCCTACGATGCCCCGACGAGATTTTCACACTGGAAGGCGAACACTGACTATGGTCACAGCTAGCGCTAACGGCAGAAAAGCGTTTCTCGTTGATACCCTCGCACTTGTAAGTTCTTTATCAAATGTTTTCTCTTTTCGCAATGAACATCGTGCAGCGTCCCTCGCTCCTCTCATTCTAGTGCTGAGAACCGCTTCTGTAAAACAGGTGAGAAGATTAGAGGCAGAAGGGTTGACGGCGAAGCAATCCGAGGCTATCACGCATCTCATCACAGAAGTTCTCCATGAGAGCCTCGATACAGCCGCGCACACTTTCGTCTCAAAGTCAGAGATGCAAAAGGTACGTCTGACGTCAGCTTTTTCAAAACCTTATCCAACCTAGCCCTGAATTTGAGTAATGCGCTTCACTCGTTAATGCCTCTGTCAATTCTTCACTAATTGCAGTCGGAGATGGTGGCGGAGGCAGCCATGGCCAAGGTCAAGACAGAAATTCAAAGCCTCCAGGTATGAGGGGATTGCTGATAGAGTACATTGTAGGAACCGAGTTGAACAAGGAACCCTAGATTTTGAAACCCAGGAGGCTAAATTGTGGGTGAAGGTAAGGTCTAAATTATTGTCGGAGTCCGCTTTGAAGGGGTACTCATTTAGTGAGAGTTGTGGTCTACAGGATTTGAAGTTTGCTGGATTGACCCGGGAGGTTGAAGGGCTCAAGACGGATTTGGACAAAGTAAAGAATGAAATACGGTAGGTGTATCACCTTTGTAGCACCTGCAGCACTATATGCATGCTGTAAAAACAATCACTCTTTTGTCTTTTGGGTGTCAACTTGCAGGTACGAGGTGGATAAGGTGACAGCAGGACAACGTCTTGATCTGAACCTGGAAAGAGGGTATGTGGAACATTGTTATGCCGAAGTGTTAGACACTCTCCTTCTCGCAAGCCCATATAACACCCCTTGTACTCTACATCTCAACAGGAGAATCAAAGAAGAGATCACAGCTCAAACGCAGGAGCTCAGCAGCTTGTCCAACAAGATGGATAGGGTATGTGACCGTGGTTTATGTTGAGGCATAGAACACCAGTACAATCTGATTCTTATGCTGATGCTGGCATGATCTTGTCTGCGATTTCAGGAGGTGAACACATTGAAGGCGGAGCTAGAAGGCGCCAAGTTTGAGATTATCAGATACTGCATAGGCAAGTTGTTACAGGGAATGGTTTCAGCATCTTTTCTTAATGCTGCACTGCTGACTGTAACTCTCCAGGCAAGTTGTCTAACACCAGCATGCGATCTGTGGGTGCAGGTACCCTAGTTTCAGTCAGTGCTATTGGGCTAGGTATTCTTCGCCTGGTCCTGTAAAGGCGTTTTCCCACACTAAACCGCTTGCGGGTTGATGCCTCATCTGTGGATAAGATATGGTCTTATGGATGACCTCACTGAGCCCCACTCCCTGTGCCAATTTCAGTAGTTGTTTATTCGTTTCATTCAACTGGCTTTCCTGGCCTGCAGACTGGTGGCTGCTGTACTCCATACTGTGGCAATGTTATATATTTCGCCACAATGGTGTAAGCCATTATGGTCTGTGGTTTGAATACAAATGACTCATTCGTCTGAGGCCCTCAGATTGGTTTGAGAGTATGCTGATGGATCAGCGTGCCCCGGCCAACGAGGTGTCCAAATCAGCGTTCATGGATTTTTTTTTACTGATTTTGCCAGTGTGAAAATCATAAATAAACTGAACCAACAGTGTAAAAAAAAAACTAACAGCTGAAACACTAGTGCAAGGTGTGTGCTGTTGTTACTGTGATACCGTAGGTTCCAGCGAGGCGAAAGATATCAGGTCCACACACTTCGGAGCGCACCTGATACAGTATCTGCGCAGCACATGCGAAGTGTGTGGGTTTCGTGACACGGAAAGGTATAGTCTGTACATGCGTAAATTACCCCCCCCCCCCCCCCCCCCCCCCCCCCCCCCCCCCCCCGTGCGGTCAAGTCCGTTTCAGGGTGACGCACTGAAGTATGCTGATTCGTCAGTGTTACTTGTTCAGAAACACACATAATCGTCAGTGTGGCAAAATCACATATACTGAAATTTCAGCCCATAATGGAAGCATTTACTGATTTTTCAGGGAAAACGAAATTCAGAGCTACAAAATCAGCGTAATCAGCGTGTTTTACGCTGATATCTGAGGCCCTGTGCACATGGTAGTTGCACCTTGTGATGCAAATTGGATCCTGGTTCTTTTGGTTCCGCAATTTTGCATGAGTCTTGCGTGCACTTTCACGAGTAGACTGCATATAGCTTCAAAGGTACTGTATGCTTGGGGGAGTCTAGTGTGGAGAAATGAAGCTGGCATGTTAACTAGATTGTAAGGCAATGCTTGAGAGGTTGCATCACATACACTGAGTACTCGCCAAGATAAAATGGTTGCCAATAGCAATCACGGTGGTGGCCCCGCACGCACTGTGGATGCCCAGCCTGAAGGATTACCGTTTACATAGCTGCAAGCTGACGTCGTTTCAAGACAGCGGGTTTCGCCATGGACGCAGGTGACGGTAAGCGACTTTCGCCACCGTCATATTGCCGCGTGAAGCTCGCTGTTCGCCTTGGTTGGTTTGGGGAGGCTCACCCTTGGTTGAGGGATGTTGGTTCGTAAACCGAACCTACTCTTTGACAAAACAAACAGCAACAAGCTACCCTTGGCTTGGTTGGGGAGTGTGGCTTGGCTTGGGTGGACTGCGGCGGGAATTGTTCGTAGCTTGTGAGGCAAAAAGGTGGGCTTGCCCCAGTCAAGAGGAAAGGAGCTTGTCCCCGCTCTGCCCCAGCTTCCACCCTCTCCTCACACCAGCTCACTTGGGGAACCCTCTGCCACCAACACCCAACTTCGGATGGTGGTGCTGTTCGCCAGCAAATCGTATTTTGAAATGAAAATGATGGCATCGGCATCGCGACCGCATATGGAAACGGAGGTGGAACCCACCTCCGAGGTTTGGCCGTAATGCCGTTCAGGAAACTTCTGCGCCTGCGGTTGAGAAATTTCTCAACCGCATCGGGAACCTCCACCCCCACCTTCCCTTCGATCCCTTTTGAACGGCAATGCGACGGCTGTGCCATCGCTGTGCTTTGAAAAACGCAGCATGGCGATGGCATGGCTAGGGGATGGTGTTTTGCCTGGGGACGAAGTTTCGTCCCCGCTTCCATATGCCGTCGAAGCGTTAGATTTGGTGGACAAAAGTGGGCGTTCGCCAGACGCCCACTTTGTTTGTTGGTTTGGACGGTAGGTGAGGCTCGGCACTTTTTTCACGGGCTGACCAGGCTGACGGAGGTTAACGAACTCTAACTGACGGGATCAGGAAGGCGAGACCCACCTTCCTGATCCCGTCGTTATCCCGTCGTTTTTTGCTATAATGGTGCTGGCGAACAGCCCCGGTGTTTCAACTTCGAGACGCCATCTAACCTCCAGGACTTGAATCACACCGCAGCCTTGTTGCATGGCTGTCCATCCAGATCCCCTAGTGTCTCATAGTTCTGATCCTTAGGTATAGTAGGGCGTTGGAATTATATTAGCGGAACTTGGACTTGTCGAACCTTTTTACAGCCCCTTGTGAAGAATTACTTGTATATAGGTAGTTTAGGGTTTCATCAGATTAGGTACTGGAAACTATGCGTGCTGATTGTAGCGCCGGGTGAGCTGTCAACGGTTCGCAGACCTGTTACGCTAATAGATTACACCAGCAGGAACCATGTCGGGGATGGAGCCTCGGATAGCCAACAAGTATAGACTTGGGAGGAAGATTGGTAGCGGGTCGTTTGGAGAGATCTATCTGGGTATGTTCGCAACGTTTTCTGGAACACGAGGAGTTTTAAGAGTTTAATTTTAACAACTAACTTTCGTCATCTCCGTGATGTACAGGCACGAACATTCAGACAAACGAGGAAGTCGGTATTAAGCTGGTAGGCGACCGCATCAAGTGTCGTGTCATCCATTCCCTTTAATTACAGGCTTAACAATAAACTGCCCGATCACTGGCGTGCAGGAATCTACTAAGACCAAGCACCCTCAGCTGCTGTATGAGTCGAAGCTGTACAGGATTCTGCAGGGTGGAAGTAAGTAGAACCACAGCTTCTTTAGAAGTCAGAATCTAATTGAACGTTTCGATCGTTGCTCCCGTTGTACGGGGCTTGCTGCGAAGTTTTCATTCCCGATCGATGCTCCTGTTGCGTCGCTTCTGCTAGAGTCTGACCGCATGCCCTTCTATATTCCTCGCGTGTTGAATGCTCCCAGCCGGCATTCCGAACATTAGGTGGTTCGGCGTGGAAGGCGACTACAATGTGATGGTCATTGACCTGCTCGGTCCCAGCCTGGAAGACCTTTTCAACTTCTGCGCCAGGAAGTTCTCGCTCAAGACCGTGCTCATGCTTGCAGACCAGCTGGTGGGTTCGCAAACGGTTGTGTAGACTCTCGTTTTTCACCGCTCGTAATTAAGTCTGGTCTCTTCTCCCTTGTCTACGGCTGTTGGACGGCCATCGGCTTCTTCACGCCTGTGAAAAAATTAGACGTCGTTTGCGAAGCTTGCTTGCTCTTCTCATATCCGTGACGGTCGCGTACACGAGGTTGGGAGGGAGTTAACGGCGGATCGTCATGATTATTTGTCACAGACGTAACAGTAGAATGAAGTTTAGCGAAACAGAAGCCGCAGCTAACAGGAGAAGCGACGGGATAACAGCAAGGGGTTGCGATGAGAATAGGTCTAGATTGTCCGGGTGCCATTGTTTTCCCTTCATCTCGCAAGACATGCTTTGTCAGCTAACTTCTTCGCCCGATGCTGTCCACCCTGGCAGCTGAATCGCGTGGAGTATGTTCACTCTAAGAGCTTCCTCCATCGAGACATCAAACCTGACAATTTCCTTATGGGCCTAGGACGACGAGCGAACCAGGCTTACGTCATTGATTTTGGTCTGGCGAAGAAGTACCGCGATCCCACCACCCATCAGCATATTCCTTACAGGTTTGTGGTGGTTGCGTCGCCTTTCTAATCTGATAGTTTTGTCGTCTAAACATTTCAGGCGCTGATAGAAGCGTTTTCCGTGTGTTGACTGTTCGGGCAGAGAGAACAAGAACCTGACAGGAACAGCTCGTTACGCCAGCATTAACACGCATCTTGGCATTGGTATGTCACACGTAGCTTTCGTGAGAGCAATCACTTACATCGCTTATCTGGTCCCCGATCATTGTAATACTGAATGCACTTTTTGCTTCTCAACCTCTACATTGCAGAGCAAAGCCGCAGGGACGATCTGGAGTCGCTTGGCTATGTGCTGATGTACTTTTTGCGAGGAAGGTATGTCATGGACGTGCCCCTGTGCTCTTTGGGCTGTGGCAGCTGAAATGGTGCAGTGTGCAGTAGGGGAATGGTTCTAGTATTTTTGTTGTTGTTGACCTCACCATTTGTTTCCTTCGCCATCCCTCTTTGCCTTTCTGGTTCCAGCCTTCCATGGCAGGGTCTGAAGGCCGGGACAAAGAAGCAGAAGTATGAGAAGATTAGCGAGAAGAAGATGTCCACTCCCATCGAGGTACTCTCGTGAAAACATAATTTTCATTCAGAGAATGTCGAGGACTGTGTGCTGTGCCGATTTCATTCGCTCATCCTTCTGCTCTTGATCTTCCTCTTGTTGCCCCTATTTACCAGGTTCTTTGTAAGGGCTACCCCACCGAGCTCGCCTCATACTTCCACTATTGCCGCTCCCTTCGTTTTGACGACAAGCCAGATTATGCCTACCTCAAGCGACTTTTCCGTGACCTGTTCATAAGAGAAGGTACCTCGCTTCGCTGTCTGCAGTTTTTTGCAGTGTTTCTTACGTCATTGTTGCGTTGCTCATTTTCATGGACGCACCATCCACCATAACGTTTATGCTGTTCTGGTGTGAGTGGCTGGCAGGATTCCAATTTGACTATGTCTTTGATTGGACCATTCTTAAATATCAGCAATCCCAGGCATCCGTGGCTCCCCAGCGCCTCCTTGTACGTCTCCATGGTTCCCGCCTTCCCTTGTCAGCATGTATGTACTGAGGCATTGCAGTGGAAACGCTGCTAGTGTTGTGAGGATGGCTCCCTTTTCCATGTCCTCAACTGACGTCTCGCTTTGTGTCTTACTCCTGGGTGGTTCCAGGCAAACGCAGCAGTGGCGCCTGCTCCTGTGGCTGCAAATCAAGCAGCGAATGCTGGCATGGGTAAGGGTTGAACTTGTAGAATGTGCTTCATATGGCCAGGTGTGCGTTCCTTCATGCAGGCTACCATGGTTTGGTTCCACCTCTTTCTCACCACACGAGCGCTTATGTCCCTCGTCTGCAATGCCTCGTTTCTGTCAGATGACATGGCACGGCGTCGGTCACCGCTGATCGAGAGCCCAAGGCACAGGAGTCCACTGCGTGATGATGATGTAAGCCCTTTCAAAGATCCCCTGCCGTTTTCCTGACTCTTCCTCTTGCTCCTACTTTCTCCTACTCTTCCTCTTCCTCTTTCGCTGTATGGTTTGCTTGCTAGCTCCTATTTCAATCATGCCTCATGTGTTCTCTGATCCTGTCACCATCAGATGTTTATCTTCCTTTCTGTGCGGTCCTGCCACTGTGCAGGGAGTTGATGCTGACCGTCAGATGCATCAGGGTGGCTACACGCGCACAGGCAGTGGCTCTGCTGCCAGGAGAGCAGCGGCTGCAGCATCTGGGGGTGGGGTGGGCATGGGGGTCCCAGGAACGAGGGCTGGAGGGACAGCTGAGCAGGTGGAAGGGAAACGGTCAGGAGGGCTTGGCATCTCGAACGCTCTGTCTGGCATCCGTTCAGGGGCACGGGTAGGTTTTCCTCTCTTTGTGCTGGTTATCTGCCGTTCTTGGACAGGTTGAACTTTCTCCCTTGTATCATTCCCTCCCCGTTTCCCTATTTCTGTCCTCCGTTCAAACTTGATATGAACAACTCTCTAAAGTTTCTGTTTGTGTTTCCCTCTCTTCTAATGCTTACGGCAATTTGTCATCAATGCTGTTCCCTCCCTTCACAGGGGCGTGACATGTTTGCTGGGGGTCGTCTAGGAAGCACCTCTCGTGGGCCCAAGGAGTAGCCATGTAGCAGCTGTGGACACTAAGTGTTGACATCAGTGGTGGACTGAGTTTCAGTGCAGGATCAAGAAGCGTCTGGAACAAGGAGATGCGCTGATGAGAAGCTCTTGAGGAAGAGTGTGGTGGTTCCAGATGTTGCAGAGAATGGTTAATGGATCAGGGGCAAGGCAAGGTTCAGAATCACCATACCAAGCTGGAGCATTGACCACACACTTAGCCTGGCCTTGATGCAGAACTGGTAGTATCAGGGCCTGCCATCTGGCTAGTTGTATGGTGATGTGTTAGACTAGATGCAGCTATGTGACCAGAAACTGACCAACAGCCCAGCGTTAGCTTCCAACGAAGGCGACTACAGCCTGGGGCTGATATGACTTGGCTGTGCTGTGCAGCGTTGGTTGACCCCATATCACCATCCTTTTTGTTGTGCAATATCGGAAGGCAATTGACACTGTTCCGCGAACAGTATTTCGCGCTCAAGCAATTGCATCCCTCACAGAGTTCCCGCCTTCTTGCAGAAGCGTCACGTCGGTGTTTCGCCTTTCAGTCATCCCTTCCAATTCAAACTCCAACAGTCCCTAGCCGTACCACCCACATTCTTTCTAGCATTCTCACCTTGTGTTCTGGTTCGGTGTATGCGCTTCTACCAGTGCTCTCACTAGAATGATGACTATGACACCAGACGTCGAAAGCGCAATTTCAAGCCAGGATTGCCCTCGGTTGAGTCAGCTGTCACCAGATCAGCTTGAAAGGATCGAGAGAAATAGGCTGGAAGCAATTAAGAGGCGAGAAGCAGCCATCAGACGAAATGCGCTCGAGCGCGTGCCTGCAGTAGCTGCCAACTTGCGAGCCTCCGTTAACGCCGACAAGCCGTTCAAAAAGAGGAGAATCGAAAATGTCATTCCGCCAGAGAGTCTTCCTCCACCATACACGCCTGCTGTTACTCAGTCCGACCAACTGAACGAGCCTAAGCAACAAGACTCGAAGAAACGGTCAGACGTTAAGCTCTCTGGAGAGCAGATGAAGGCACTGACTGCCGTCTCTATGCGCAAGTCTGTCTTTGTGACAGGATGTGCAGGGACTGGTAAGAGCTTTGTGCTCGAGTTCGCTATCCGCTCACTGAGGTAGGGATACCGTTACCCAAAAATTCAAAAGCTGTCCCCTCCGTAGACGACTAAAACTGATATTCTACACTTTCAGGGCTATGCATGGGAGCGATGCCGTTTACGTGACAGCATCCACAGGCCTTGCTGCCTGTGCTCTTTCAGGAACTACGCTCCATTCGTTTGCTGGAGTTGGTCTTGGAAACGGTTCTAAAGAAGACTTGCTGCATAAAGTCCAGACTCGGAGGGAAGCAAGGCAGAGGTGGCAAGGTGCACGAGCACTGGTCATTGACGAAATCAGCATGATTGATGCCCAGTTTTTTGTGAGTTGACCTGTGCAACGTTGACAACTCGTATCCCTTGTCCATATTACTCGCACTTATTCTCCCCTATCTGGTGCTGGCGCTCAGGACAACCTGGAATTTATTGCAAGAAAAATCCGCAAGTCATCCAAGCCTTTTGGAGGCATTCAGCTACTTGTAACTGGCGATTTTTTCCAACTCCCTCCAGTGAATCCTCAGAGCAACGTCGCTTACGCTTTTGAGGCGAAGTGCTGGAATGATTGCTTCGATCTGCAGATGGAGTTGAAGCATGTGTTCAGGCAGTCCGACCTCTCGTTTGTGAGCATATTAAACGAAATCAGGGAAGGCATTGTCACACCTGCAACTCAGGAGAGGCTGAGGAAGCGTATTCACTGTGCTCCAATTGGAAACGATGGCATCATGCTGACAAAGCTGTACCCGTACAAGGTGAGCACAGTATCATATTTTCAAGTGTGTGTGCCCGCTTGTTGGATGTTTTCATCGTTTGTCAACCAACTGACACTGCATCATGGTTCAGGCCGATGTAGCTGGAGAGAACTTTCAGCGGCTCCGGGAACTTCAAGAGATGGAAATGACGTACAATGCCAAGGATGAGGGGAAAAGCGAATACGCAAAGAAGCAGCTCGAATTCACGCGAGCGGAAAAGCGATTGACTCTGCGCCGTGGTGCACAAGTCATGCTTATCAAGGTACTAACACCGCCAAGTTTGTCCACTTTTTTTTTTCATCCGGACATGCATTTCGTGATGACGTGTGCGTTCAAACCTTGCAGAATCTGGACACTCCCCAAGGGCTTGTCAATGGTGCCAGAGGTGTTGTGGTTGGCTTTTGCGATCCCACTCACCCCTCTGCTGCACAGTTCAGGCATCTGGCTCCCATCATCAACCCCTCGGGAATGTGGCCTGTGGTTCGCTTTGCATGTGACCAGTCTGAGCGTATCATTGGTCCTGAAAGTTGGGCTGTGGAGGAATATGGTGCAGAGATTGCCAAACGCTGGCAAGTTCCATTGACTCTAGCATGGGCCCTCAGTGTGCACAAGTGCCAGGGAATGACACTGGACAGGGTGGAAACTGACCTGAAGAGGGCGTTCGACTATGGAATGGTCTATGTTGCTCTCTCTCGAGTCAGGTCCCTTGAAGGTCTTCGACTTCTGGGATTCGATGCTGGCAAAGTCAAGGTACGTCTACTTTGTGTATTTTTTATCCTATGTTGCTTAACAGTTGCATATTGAGCTGACATTCTGATATTCCTTGCAGGTAAATGTGAAGGTAGTGGAGTTTTACAAACTATTGCAGAGACACGATGCTTCGAGCAAAATCTGCACTGAAGTATGATATTATGCTTCCCCATTTCCCATCAAAGACCTACTGGGCTCCAACCTACCAATCTAGCCTTGCATGTGTAAATTACCGAATGCAGTCTGATATTTAATCATTTCATCAAGCAGTACCATTCCCAACAAAGCTATTTCAGCACTACCGACCGATCAGACTTCTTGATGGATCAGCAAATGTTGGAAAACTGTTACTCCCCGATCTGTTAGGAATCTCGGTGGCTTTGCCTGGTAAATCTCCCTCTTCAGCTGTTCTTGAGGTTAGCTGTTCATTCACTTTCCCTCCAGCACTTGACGACAGCAGAAGAATATGCTCCTCTTGTTTCACTACTTGTTGCTGCTCCCGCCCTCCAGTCGAGAATAAGCCACCACACGTAACAGATGCCACTGGAGATTCCATGTCAACACTGGATTCAACTCTGTCATGGTATCTCAAAGCACTGCACTCGTTTGATTGGAAGACTGGCGAGAAGTCACTCTGGATGCCACATGCTTCATCGCTGCTGCTGCCATAAACCCCAACCTTCTCATGAAACCCTGAGCTGCTACTATCTGCAAGGCCCTGACTATGTATGTGATCCTGGCTCCTTCCATACGTGTAACCATAACCGCCTGAGGATCCCTGTTCATCAAGGCTCTTCCAGTACTGCACTGCAACATCCAGGGTCATCCCCATTGTTTCACCCTCCCCCTGCTGCCGTGCATAAACGTCTTCCTGCATCACAAAAAAGGACCAGCCACAGTACCATGTCAGTCCTATAAAACATGACAAGGGCTAAATGGCAGGAGGAATGGGAGCAGCATGGAGAATGGGACAGGGTGAGGAATGTGCAAGAGCAGCGTACCGAAGGGGCCCAGGTCCTGACAAGAGGAGCGAGCAAGTGACCACGTCCGTCATGGAGGGTCGCTGGCGCGGGTCAGCAGCCACACAGTGCAGCGCCAGATCTGCCACGGTGCAGAGCGAGGCAAACGCCTGACTGCTGTGATCCGCCATGCCTGCTGCTATGGCAGGGTCCACCACCTGGAAGGAGGGGCGGGAATGTAGAGATGCAGGTCAGAGAATCACTAATAATGGATTCCGTGTCAGATGGTGCTATGCTGATGCAGGAGTGGTTGATCTTACCGTGTTACCTATGACGTCGTCAAGAACAAAATCCTTCTTTTCTTGCACACTCCACTTCCCCCACTTCCTCCCTCGCCCCCTCTTTTCCCCAACTTCCTTCCACCACCCACCTGTGCAAGCTTGGAACGGTCTGGAATGATGGGGAGGAGGAACGTGGCCAGATGCGCTGAGAGATCAGGCCGAGATGTGTCCACGGCTCGCCGGCCAGTGAACAGCTCCATGAGAATAACGCCAAAGCTGTACACGTCCGAGCGTGTTGTCACACGGCCCATGGCTGGTGGGCAGATAGGATGAGAGTGGAGGCATAGGGTATGGAGTGAGGCGGGTTGAGATATAAAGTATGGAGTGAGGTACGATGACTTTGGTCAGGACGAGAAGAGTGGTGATGGAGTGGGAAGGGATGGGGGGATTGCAGGATGGAATACAGTTAAGTGATAAGAAGCACCCATGTTGGTTCGGCCTTATCTCAGTGCACCGCTGTTAGAAAAAGTCCAGCCTGACCTGTCGTCTGACCCATCCATTCCCCTACCCATCACACATGGCTATCCTACCCAATCATCCCACCGCACCTGCGTATTCAGGCGCCAGATACCCAAACGTGCCAGCCAGTCTTGTCTCAACTGACGGAGCAATCTCCGAATCCATCTCACTGCCACGCCCCCCCTCCCTCCCCGATCCTCCCCCGTGCGGCAGCATCGGCCGAACCAGCAGTTTCGCCAGCCCGAAATCGGCCACCTTGGCGCGCCTCCGCCCATCCAGAAGCACGTTGGCGGGCTTTAAGTCGCGGTGCACGATGGAGTCTCGCCCGCCCGCCAGGCTGTGCAGGTACTCCACGCCCCTCGCCACGTCCACGGCCACCACTAGTCGCTCCATCCACGTCAGCGGGCGGTGGCCGTGGCGGGTGGGGTCAAAGAGGTGCTGACTCAGCGGACCCTGATTGGAGGAGGATGGGGTGGAGAGTGAGGGGAGAAGGAAGAGGAGGGAGGGGACGTGAGGGATGCTTGAATATGCACATGACTGACTGAATTATCTCAGAAAAGCGAGAAGTCACTGATTCCAAATACTCTCAAACCCGGGAGTTGACATGCTCGTGCATCACTGGTCCACTCCAAGTTCAAACAAGAAATGGCGACTCACCAGCTCCATGAACTCAAACACGAGCAGGCGCTCGTGGTGGTCCATGACGTGGCCCAACAGCGCCACCAGGTTGCGATGGCGCACCTTGCACAGCACTGCCACCTCCGCCTGATGGGGTGTGGGGGGCACAGAGGGGTGACGGGGGATGCGGTTTGAGTGGCAAGGGTGGGGGCAAGGGTCTAAATTCTACTCCACCACATGTCCCCCCAGTACCCCCCCGCCCAAACCCGCCCCTCCCCACCCCCCCACCACGGCACTCACCAGAAACTCACGTATCCCAGCTTCAGTGACGGGTCCAGCCTCCGTTCTCTTAGATGCCATTGTGCTCCCATCAGGCATGTCACCGCGGTACACCATGCCAAACCTGTGCCACCCTTCCCGCCTCTACCCCACTCACCAGAAAATCGCGTGTGCCTGCTTCAGTAACGGGTCCAGCCTCCATCCGCTTGATCACCACTGTGCTCCAATCAGGCATGTCTCCACGGTACACCGTGCCGAACCCGCCCCTCCCCACCGTGCTCCCATCAGGCGTGTCACCACGGTACTCACCATAAACTCGCGTGTCCCGGCTTCAGTAACGGGTCCAGCCTCCATTCTCTTGACAGCCACCGTGCTCCCATCAGGCATGTCTCCACGGTACACCGTGCCAAATCTATGCCACCCTTCCCCCCCTCTACCCCACTCACCAAGAACTCTCGAGTGCCTGCTTCAGTAACGGGTCCAGCCTCCATTCTCTTGACAGCCACCGTGCTCCCATCAGGCATGTCTCCACGGTACACCGTGCCAAATCTATGCCACCCTTCCCCCCCTCTACCCCACTCACCAAGAACTCTCGAGTGCCTGCTTCAGTAACGGGTCCAGCCTCCATTCTCTTGACAGCCACCGTGCTCCCATCAGGCATGTCGCCCCGGTACACCGTGCCGAACCCGCCCCTCCCCACCACGTGGCTGGGGGAGAACCCCCCCGTAGCCTCGCGAATCACCTCTATGTTCATCGTCAGCCCGCCTCCCAGTGCCAACCTCGCACTCGCTATCACTGCTCCTGCCCCCTGCCCTGCTCCTCCTGCTTCTGCTGCTCCTCCTCCTCCTCCTGTTTCTGCTCCACCTGCTCCTGCTGCTGCGAGTCTAGCTGCTGGCGAAGGGACTACAGAGGAGGTGGCAGGGTCGGGGTGTGTTTGGGGAGGCTTCTTGCCCTTGCCTGGCCGGACGCAGCACCACCACCCCACAGCCAACCCCGCCACCAGCGCCACCACTGCTGCCGCCACCACCACCCCCGCCACCACCCCTGCTCCTGCGCCCGTCCCGCCACTAGCCCCCCCAGGCGCCTCTGATGCGGACGGGGAGGGGGCTGAAGGGGGGGAAGGGACTCCAGGGGAAGGGGAGGACGGGGGCGCGCGGGAGGACGGGGGGGAGGTGGACGGGGGAGCAGGGGAGGAGGGTGGGGCAGGGGATGGGGAAGAAGGTGGGGAGAAGGAAGGAGGGGCAGGGGAGGGGGCGGATGGTGGGGAAGGGGCGGAGGAAGGAGCTGGTGTTGGCACCGGTCCAAAACTGTTACCGGTGGTAACCAGCTCGACTTGGGAGGAGAATGCAGGCAAGGGACCGGAAAGGCGGTTGTTGCTGACGTCAAGCAGGGTGAGCTGATTTAAGGACGTGAGGGAATCCGGGATGAAGCCGCTTAAGTTGTTGTTCTTGAGAACTATGGCTGCTAATGACGTCAGGTTCGCCAATGATGACGCCACCGAGCCTGTCAGATCCAGGTTTGGCAGCACCAGGCCAACAACCGAGGCTTGGCTCCCTGGAGAGCAGGTAACGCCAAGCCAGTTAGGAGACCCACATGGGAGATTTCCTACCCAAGAAGTCGACAGAGTCAAAGGGTAATTTACACCTTGCAGAAACCCGAGCAGGGCGTTCACATCAGCAGGACAACTCCCTCCTGGCTGGATGTTGCAGAATCCGTTCTCTCGGTATGAGCTGGAGGGGAATTTACCCATGAAAATCGGAAGAGGACCCAGCAGCGCGTTTCTGTACACTGTGAACGTTTCAAGTGCCAGCAGATTCCCAATAGACCCGGGAATCATCCCTGTGAGTCGATTCTGGTGCAGCTGCAGCTGCTTCAACTGCAACCCCCCACCTCCGCTGCCCAATGTACTAGGAATGCTCCCAGTCAGGTTGTTCACGTGAAGCGAAAGATTCAGCAACTGAGGTGCTAAGGTAATCTCTGGCGGAATCTCCCCGCCTAGGTTATTGTTATTCAGGCTGAGAAACGCCAAGGATTGAAGAGATGTGAAGAGGAACGGAGGTACCGGACCTTCCAGCAGGTTCTGCCCGAGGCTGAGGTACGTCAGGCTCGTCATGCTGCCGAGGCTGTCAGGTATGGATCCAACCAGCTGGCAGTTGGTGAGGAGAAGCGCCTGTAGGCTTGTTAACTGGCCGAGTTGGCTCGGAATGGACGAGCCTGAGAAGGTGTTGCGGCTGAGCACAATAGCAGTAGGTTGGTACAGTGATCCTAACGTTGTGGGCAACGAACCAGTTAACCCAAACCCAGTCAGGTCTAATCTCACTACATACTGAAATGCCCCTGTGGTGGCCTGTCCATTTCGAGTTCCATTCAATCTGCTGCTGCCGTTGCCGTTGCTACCGTTTCCGTTGCTACTGCTTCTACGCGGAACTGATCCGACAGCTGCAGGATTTGATCCAACGGCTGTGGCGCACTTCACGCCGAGCCAGCCAGTGGCGCACGGGTCCGTCCCTGACTTCCAGTCGCTCAGCTTCGCCTGATTTGTCGGCTCCTGCAGGAAACCCTGTAGCGCCGCGATATCCGAGGTGAGAGTCGCGGCAAATGCGGCGGGAGACGCGGAAACGAGAGCGTGGATGAGAAATAATGAGAGGAGAAGGAGACAGCAGTGGTGTTGATGGTGGTCTTGGTGATAATGATGATGGTATTGGATGGTTCGTCGCATGCGGAGTACAGGCGCTTGTGCGAACATCGCAGAAGTGGTTCTGCGAGAACCTGCGAATCTGCTGACGACCGTCATCGTTTTGTCGCAGACTGGCTGGAGTACGATGTGCGACAGTAGTATTTTGATGAGCAAGCAGCAGCTATCCAGAAGTCGTTTTACAGCGGTCCGTGCTCAAGTGGCCTCGACAGGACTCGAGACACTGTGTGTGTCTAAGCCGCACACCCTGAACAATGTCTAAGCCGCACAGGATTTCTAGCTTGCGACGCGCATGAATGGGACGTTCTCAACCTGGAATTGGAAGGTACTACTACTGAATAATGCCGAGCCAGCTTGAGTCTCGTTTTGCGTGAACTGAAACGAGGACAGCTTGAGAACACGGACCAGAACTATTACGCGACCGAGTAAAATGCGCGAGTATCAGTCAGTTTGATCAGTCGATGTCAGGAGAGTTTATCGAAACGTCCTCTAGAAAGTCAGCTTTGGGCTGGGGTGCAGAGCGGAAGCTAAGTTATACCGTTCTAAAAGACAGCGATCCCATTAGCTAAACTAAACGAGTTAGTCACACGAGCTAATGGGTGGTCCGACCTGGGCTGGAACATAATCCGTGCCTCGCACAGATAGAGGAGGGACGGCCACAAACTGGGTAGAACCTACTGGATACTAGACAGGGCAGGGCAAGGATGCGAAGGCAGCAACACTACAGGATTCAGGAGGATCTTCGAGAACGACGACAAACGTCAGTCCGGCCAAGCAGATGGATGGGAATGGCGGTGTGAGGGGCTGACTGGCTGGCTCCCCGTGTAAATCTCTCAGTTGGGCAGAGGGAGACATTCCCAAGGCTGGAAATGGTGTTGGAGGGAAGGCGGAGGGCAAGTCAGGGTCGAGAGCGGGAGGGGAGGCAGGCGGCTGTGAGCTTCATCCAATCCAGGCACGCGGATTTCCCAAGGAACCGAGAGCGGGGTTTTGAAATTGGCAGACTCGTCCGACGGCTGGCGACGCGGAAATTTCGTGAGGAGGCAGCCGCGTTTGGCTGCGACTTCAGCGAAATATGTGCACGTGGTTATGGGTTGCGAAGCAGTGCTTGTATGTTCTGATTGACTCGCGAGGTGAACAAGGGATGGTAGCAATCCCTTTGCCGTCGTCAGCATACCTGTGCACCCCCAAAGGCAGCTTCAGCTGCGAAACTCCACAGCTGCTGGTGGTAACGCGACAGAGAGGGCGAGGGAAGTGGCCACGTCCCGCTAGGCTTCGGCGGGGCTTCAGGTTTACGACTTCGCTTCAGGCTATTGCATGAACTGTACAGTAACAGGTGACTGAGGATGAGACGATATTAAACATTAACTACATAGCAATAAGAAACCCAAACAAAAAACAAAAGCATATCAATCCCATCTCTGCGCAAGTATTTGATCCCTTGTCATCACCTCCTTTGTCTCTGGTTCCCACCGGGTCTCCCATCATACCCATCTCCAACAGAACCAGCACCCCAGCCACTGCTGGACGTGCTTCCCCCTCCCCATCCTCCTCCACCCTTCCCTCGTTCACCATCAGTGCTTGCACTTGTTGTGTTGCCATTATTGTTGGTCACATCAGCAAAAGGCAACCTGGCACGCTTGCGAGAAAGGCTGCGCCCGAGAATGGGAGAGACCAACAGACGGTTACAAGTCTGCTCTTGCCACGCTGTGTACCTGCGCATAGCTGCATACCCTGCAGACAGCACTGTCAACAGGCAAGGAGAGAATGTGGGACGCACAGGAACAAAAGCATTGTTTGACAACATACCTGCAACCAATCTACATAAAACATTCCAACACTGAAACCAGCCCATATACCCCCTGCATCTCCCATTGCCCCAAAACATGAGCTGGAAAACACACCAATGGACACAGACCACGCAAATCCCCAATATCCTCCCCTCCCCCCTTTCCTTTCCCCTGTTCATCCCCTTTCCCCTGTTCATTCCCCTTTCCCTGTACCACACACGCACATTGCTGCTCTTCCTTGGGCAGGAGGCGGCGCACGCGAGGCACCTCCTTCTCCGGGAGCACAAAGGCACGTGTTAGCAGGTCAGCGTAGCGCTCCACAAAGGTGGTGAACAGGAAGCGCGTCAGCGTCTTGTCCCGCACCCTGACAGGCAGAGCGTGGGGATGCACCATAAGGCCAGGGGAGTGGGGTGTTGGGATCACAATGAGTGTGAGTTGTGAAGGGCAATGTTAGTCCATGCATCTAACCTATCGACAGGCAGCAGGAAGGCTTTACCAAATAGTGAGAATGGAGCTGAGGAGACGGGAGCTAGCAAGAAGGGAGCTAATGTGAGGCATGACGTGCATATGGTGCTACCATTAGCCTTGAAGGCAACGATCAGGATTCACGCGGCCAGAGACAACGTACCAAGGAGCAATCTTGGTGCCCAAGGAGTAGTAGTAGGGTGAGCAGGCCCGGAGATTGACACAGGCAGCGTCTGCTTGCACCTCCTTCCGAATCCTGTTGGAAACCAAGAGGTGACGCAACGAGGAAGCATCCCAGAAGAAGAGCGACCATTAATCGCTGACTGCAGCTTGTTGACAAATTTCAGAAAAGATTACGAAAAATAGAAATTACCTATGGAGACAATAATTGGAACGAGTCGAAGACAAGAAAGCACATGCCTTCTGTTGGCTGTCCCCATGCCACTCTCACGACTCTAAATCAGGCCAACAACGACGTGCACGCCCGCATGTACGCTCACAACGTTTGCTGCTCACCCTGCTGTCAATCGATAACAGGTTCACAAAGCTTGGTGCTGCCTCACCTACACTTGAAACTACGGCTGTAGCGTCTGCTGCTGCTGCACCTGTCACTGACACACAGGCTCTATGCTGGCTGCTTCATCCGCATGAAGCAAACGCTATGATGCTTCACCCTCGACCATTGCCGAAGCAAAAGGTATACCGCTGGTTGCTTCATGCTCACCTCTCGCCGAACATTCTGGGCTCCAGGGCCGACACCATGTTTCGCTTTGCTAGAGCCGGCACCATCCACACCGGCAAGTCCACCTTGGCGCCCACTGCCAGCTGGCGGAACACACATGGACGACACGTGGCAGCATACGAGTTCAAGTGGCAGGAAAGCGGACAAGGAGGAGAGTGCGTGACCATTGTAACTAAGGTTCACGCCGCCGATTGAGTGTCGAAAGCACTTTCACCAAAACGTATTGCAAGACAGGTCCGCGTCTGAAGGGTATGCATTCTCAGCAGCTTCTTATATGTCGCGTCCCACGCTATGTCTATGCTTACGTCATCGGCGTCTGTGCTCGGGTCTAGAGCTCGTCCCACTCCCGTCGCTCCGGTCTGAAACATAACGGGAAGTTTCTGCAAAAATCACGCCACCAATATGACGATGAAGAGGCCAGACAACTACCAAGGTGGAAGAGGGAAAAACTATGGAGGCTGGTTATGGGGTAAAACAGCGTAAAAATAGTCTAACGCACCTCATCCTCGGCCAGTATGTCGTCTAAATCATAATAGTTGCTCATGTCATCAGGAAAGGAACGGCGGTCAGCGAATCAAACCACGTGAACGCTCGCTCTCCTACCGCCCATGCCCTGGTGTCTAGCCTAAGAAGGGCAGGGGATTGAAGCGACAATACGCGAACGCAAGAAAAGAACGTAATGTCTAATGGTAACCACCTGGTGATTTGTTGTGCTACGTCCAAACTGTGAGAGGAAAGGCTGTTGACGTACACTACGCGGGGAAATACGGTACAATCAGCGGTAGCAGGGTGACTGAATGTTCGTGGAGGCGAGCTGAACGTCAGCTTGAACTGCACTCTCTCTACTCTAAGCGCGTTTCAGCACTAACAGGCAGCGGGGAGAGCCGGTCGAGGAGATCGAGAAAAGCGCGGGAAACGAGTGGAGGATTGGAACTTGGAAGTACAAGCGAGCAGCACCATCGAGATTGCCCAGGGGAAACAGGCTTGCGGGAAGAGAAACGAGGAGAACTCAAGGTGGTAGAGCAGTGGAAGCAAATGAGGGAAGCGAGGCGGCGGAAAATGGGCCCTTGGTAGTCGCGATGGACTTCGGGAAGAATCGGGGAGGTGAGGGGGGTGCACAATTTGGGAATTCAAACTCCCAGCTGCCATAAATCCGCGTTATAACTCCTACTTAGTTGCGATATCAAATTGGCGTGATTATAAGTGTACCGGTATGCAAGACTTTGTAGCATGTTGCGGCCAATGAAAACTGTCACCCTGATGTACGTTCTGATGCAACTCCCTTGCGATGTGGCCCTTAGGAACAGGATTCTGCCATACCCCATTTTCTAGGTGATTACTCGATTACCTTCTCCCTTGTCTACTAATTTCCGTTCACAACTCAACTTTGACTAACCAGAGGCAAAGCCGGCAAACCGACCGTTACAAAGCCGTTAATTCACTGTGACGAAATGGTGATACGTCTTAGAGGGTCGCGTAATCTCCGGCAGCGTCTGGTGTACGCGACATTATCAGGGCGCGCTATTAGAATAGACGACATCCGCGCAGAGGCAGAGAGCCCCGGTTTAACGGAGTACGAGGCGTCGCTGCTGAGACTGCTCGAAAAGATCTCTAACGGCTGCGTCGTGGAAATCAACGAAACAGGTCAGCTAGCAGCGGACGAGGCTCTGGTTTCAGGGTCTAGGGTTTGCTGGAAGGTTTTAGTGGCTGCAGGGTGTTTTTCGAGCTCACAGGGATTTCCCTCCGCGCGTCTTTACGCTTTCCCCGTAGGACCGACTCGCGTTCCCAGCAGGTCGCGTAACCCACTATCTCCTGCGCTGGATCCCCGAAACGTCGTGTGGCAACTGGGTGTTGTGACTTCCGCTCGTTATAGGAACAATGTTGAGATCCCGCCCACGCGTGTTCCGCCCAACCTCGCGTGTTGCGTCCTCTGCTCGTTACAGGAACAAAATTGAGGTACCGCCCCGGCGTGCTATCCGGCGGGCGGAACCTGACGCACGACTGCGGCACGTCGCGCGCCATAGGATACTTCCTGCAACCCCTCTTCGTGCTGGGGTTATTCGGGAAAAAACCCCTCCACATCACACTAAAAGGTGAGTCACCGACTGAATGCCCGAGCCCCTGTGGAGATCCCCACTGCCCACTGCGGTGTGGTGCGGTGCAGTGCGGTGCCTGTCAGCAGACCAGATTGTCTTCCGCATCGTCATATCAGTCCCTTACAGCATCCCTCTCTTCCCTGACTGTCAAAGGCCACCGACTCCCTCCCCCTCTCTCACTCTCCCCCTTGCCCTTTTGCAAGCTCAACCAACCAGCACCCGCCACATTCCCCCACTTCCCTTCCCCATCCCCGACCTCCAACCATACCTTCCCGCGGCCACGCGCGCCCACCCGCGCCCACACACAGGAGTGACGAACGACGACCGCGATCCGAGCATAGACACGCTGCGCACCGCCACGCTGCCCATCCTGAAGCGGTTCGGCGTGGACATGGCTGACGTGGAGCTCAAGCTAATACGCCGCGGCGCGCCGCCCCTGGGTGGTGGAGAGGTGATGCTGCGCCTGCCCATCGTGAAGCAGCTGGAGGTGCGGCCAGGGGAGGGGGTATCTGGGAAGGGGGGCATCTGGGGAAGGGTTGAGGGTGGCTGTGTGTGGGTGAATGGTGCGAACACGTGGGCGGCGGGGAGGTGATGCCTGCCTTTCGTGAAGCAGCTGGAGGTGCGGCCAGGGGAGGGGTTATTTGGGAAGGGGGGCATCTGGGGAAGGGTTGAGGGTGGCTATGTGTGGGTGAATGGTGCGATCACGTGGGCGGTGGGGAGGTGATGCTGCGCCTGCCCATCGTGAAGCAGCTGGAGGTGCGGGGGGGAAGGATAGGGGTGGGTGTTAGGGGGGGGAGAAGATGGAGAGGGGGAAACCTGTGTGGTGGGGGAAGGGTTGAGGGATATGGTTGTGTGGATGGTCTGAACACCCTTCTCACTCTATTTCCCCGTTTCCACACTCCTCTTCCCCCATTCCCCCTCCAAACGTGCCAGCCAGTGGTGTGGGAGGACGAGGGGTTGGTGAAGCGGGTGAGGGGACGAGCGCAGCTGCTTCTTTTCACCCTTCCCCCCCCTCCCCCCCTCTCCTCTCCCCCCCATTCGCTCCAAACGTGCCAGCCAGTGGTATGGGAGGATGAGGGGTTGGTGAAGCGCGTGAGGGGGGTGGCGTTCACAGCGAGGGTGGCGCCACAGGTGGCGAATCGCATGGTGGACGCGGCCAGAGGGGTGCTCAACCGCCTGCTGCCTGACGTCTTCATCTTCACTGACCACTTCTCTGGGGCAGACTCGGGCAGGTGCGTTGTCTCTCTCTTCTCTTTGTGTGGGGGGGGGGAGGAGGGAAGGCCAGAGGGGTGCTCAACCGCCTGCTGCCTGACGTCTTCATCTTCACTGACCACTTCTCTGGGGCAGACTCGGGCAGGTGCGTTGTCTCTCTCTTTCTCTTTGTGTGGGGGGGGGGAGGAGGGAAGGCCAGAGGGGTGCTCAACCGCCTGCTGCCTGACGTCTTCATCTTCACTGACCACTTCTCTGGGGCAGACTCGGGCAGGTGCGTTGTCTCTCTCTTCTCTTTGTGTGGGGGGGGGGGAGGAGGGAAGGCCAGAGGGGTGCTCAACCGCCTGCTGCCTGACGTCTTCATCTTCACTGACCACTTCTCTGGGGCAGACTCGGGCAGGTGCGTTGTCTCTCTCTTTCTCTTTGTGTGGGGGGGGGGAGGAGGGAAGGCCAGAGGGGTGCTCAACCGCCTGCTGCCTGACGTCTTCATCTTCACTGACCACTTCTCTGGGGCAGACTCGGGCAGGTGCGTTGGCTTTTGAGGCGCCTCAAACACGCGGGCCAGGGGGGAGCACCCCTGCTAGCCGCTAGAGGGGTGCTCAACCGTCTGCTGCCTGACGTCTTCATCTTCACTGACCATTTCTCCGGAGCAGACTCGGGCAGGTGCATTGTCTCTCTCTTTCTTGTTGTGGGGGGAAGGAGGGAGGAAGGCTAGAGGCGTGCTCAATCGCCTGCTGCCCGATGTCTTCATCTTCACTGACCACTTCTCAGGCGCAGACTCGGACAGGTTGGCCTTTTTCTTTCATGGGGTCGGGTCAAGGCGGCATGTGTTAAAGATTAAAATGCATGTTCCGTCTGCCTTGTCTCCGTTGCTGCTTCGTTGATGCCCCTCTCCCACCCACGATTCTCACCCGTCCCGCCATTCCATACGCTCCTGACAACCCGAAACCCTCACCATGCCATCCCTCCCCACACCACACCGCACCACTCCCATTCCCCCCTCTGCCTGCCCGTGAACCCCTCAGGTCGCACGGGTTTGGCATATCCTTGGTTGCTGAAACCGCGTCGGGTTGCCTGTTGAGTGCCGAGAGGGCCATTTGTAGGTGCTGGGGGGAGCATGAGGGGATATCTTGAGTTGTCTTACACCTTCCCCGTCACCTTTTTCTGCCCCTCAACGCCTCAGGTCATTCGGGTTTGGCATTTCCTTGGTCGCCGAGACCACTTCGGGGTGCCTGCTGAACGCTGAGAGGGCCATCTCCAGTTGCCGTGGGGAGTATGAGGAGGCGATTTGAGTCAACACAAACCACACGTTTCCCGTCACCTTTCCCTGTCCCTCAACGCCTCAGGTCGCCCGGTTTTGGCATTTCGTTGGTCGCTGAAACCACGTCCGGCTGCCTGCTGAACGCTGTGAGGGCCATCTCCAGTTGCCGGGGGGAGCATGAGGGGTTTCTTTTAGTCAACTTTCAAGCGCTCCTTCCCTGTCTCCTTTCCCCGCCCCTCAATGCCTCAGGTCGCCCGGGTTTGGCATTTCCCTGGTCGCCGAGACCACGTCGGGGTGCCTGCTGAGTGCCGAGAGGGCCATCTCCAGTTGCCGGGGGGAGCATGACGGGATGGGGGGAGGCGCGGGGAGAGGGGGGAGAGGAGGGGGAGGAGGGGGGCAGGGGGAAGAGGTGCCGGAGGATTTAGGGCTGCAAGCGGCACAGCTGCTGCTGCATGAAGTGAAGCAGGGAGGCGTGGTGGACGGCAGTCAACAGGTGAGCGATGGGGAGGATGGGAGGAGGTGAGGAAGGGAGGACCTTTGAGGCGCCTCACAAGGCTGCAGGCGGTGCAGCTGCTGCTGCATGAAGTGAAGCAGGGAGGTGTGGTGGACGGCAGTCAACAGGTGAGGGTTGCAACTTGGCAGAAAGCAAAGGGAGCTCTGCATGCATGCGGTCTGTGGGGATAAGGACGGGCCTGCTGCTGCCGATTCAGGCATGCCACACACACAGCCATTCACGCTGTTGAGAAATGCTGCACGCACGTCCTGCATCATTGCATGGAAGCATGGCAGCATGGTGGCTCGGCCCACATCATCATCCCATCCACAGCCTCTGCTGCCAACCTTGTGGTCGAGCATTCCAAAGAGTCGCAAGGAAGGAGTGCTGTTCATGGTCGGGTTATCATGGCAAGCACTGTGCGTGGGGCAGGACCCATGGTGGGATGCTGGCAGTGTTTTCCAGCCATCAGCCTGACCCATGGCTGATGTGCCTCTAATCGTGCCATACATTCACATGCCCCTCCCCCCTCCCCCCTTCTTCCCACCTCCCTTTCTTCCTCTTCCCACCTCCCCTTCTTCCTCTTTCCACTTGCTCTTCTCTTGCTGCTGTGTCTGCTGTGCTTGGAGGAGGAGCTGTGTCGGGTGCTGTGTCAGCCCTCAATCGCCACTTTCTTCCCTCCCTTTCCCCCTCTCTTCCCCCTCCTACCCACAGGCCTTCGTGCTGCTGTTGTGTGCTTTGTGCCCTGAGGAGTTGTGTCGGGTGCGGGTGGGGCCACTCACGCCACACACAGTGGATGCACTAAGGGACATGAGGGCGCTGCTGGGCGTGCAGTTTGACATCCGCCCTGATGAGAGCACCGGCACTAGAGTCTCCTGCACACACTTTCCAGCCCTCACAGCACCCCGGCCCCCTTCCCCTTCTCCTCTCCACCACCTCCCCTCCTCTCCCGTTTCCCCTCTCCCCGTCTCCCCCTGTTTCCCCTCCCACAGGCATTTGTCTTGCTGCTGTGTGCGCTGTGTCCTGAGGAGTTGTGTCGGGTGCGGGTGGGGCCACTCACGCCACACACAGTGGATGCACTGCGGGACATGCGCGCCCTGCTGGGCGTGCAGTTTGACATCCGCCCTGATGAGAGCACCGGCACGGTTTTCCTCTCTTGTATTGGCTCTGGCCACAGGAACCTTGCGAAACCCGTCACTTAGAGAGATTTGACTTGATTGAGGTGACTCAACCCAATCGATGTGATGAGGTGTTATCGTGTATGTATATGAGTACAAAGATTAATCTTTCAAGATTCATGGAGTGAAGAGCTGTTGGATGCCGTTCGAACCAGCCAGTGCATCACTGGTTACCATACTGCAGTCTGCAACTTGCACTGTAATTGTCAGCATTATTGCAACAACAGGATATTAATCACCACCAGTCTTTCGATGTCGAATCGCCCTCCGTAACCCAGCCACCAGAAGTACCGGGCAGGTCTTCCACTTGACGCACCTTCCAACCCCTCCTATTTATAAGCACCACACCAAGCGCTGTCTCTTCTCGCACCATGTCCTGTGCCTCCACCCGCTGAGCCCTGTCCCTGCAACCGCTAAGCCCTGTCCGCTGAGCCCTGTAACCGCTGAGCCCTGTCCCGGCTCAGGAGATGGCCACCTCCTCCTCGTCAAACTCAAGGAAGGCAGTAAGGATGTGCTTGCGAATTGTGAACTGGTCTATCTTGGCTGGGGAGAGAGGCTGCAGGTGAGCAGTGGTGAGGATTGGGGAAGAGGAAGGAACAAGAAAGGTTGAACATTTATTTCAGACTCAGGCAGTAAGAACGTGCTTACGGACCGTGAACTGGTCTATCTTGGCTGGGGAGAGTGGCTGCAGGAATGGGGGAGGGAGAGGAGTGGGGAAGAGCGAGGAACAATGAAGGAGGAACAATGATGGGTAAACAGCAAATCTCAGAGTCGGGCAGTGAAAGTGTGCTTTCGCACCGTGAACTGGTCTAACTTGGTTGGCGAGAGTGGCTGCAGGCACCACTGTAGGCACCACCGGTAAAGGACAGCAGTTGCAGGTCCCAAAGGGTACAGAGGGTCCCAAATGACACGTGAAACACACCTCCAAAAAAGGAGGGAATATGGCGCTTACTGTTTTGAGCAACCGTTCGACTCTGGCGTACTCGTCTGCCAGGTATCTATCGTTGCTGTCAATGTGGTCGACGATCTTCATGTATGTCTGCGCATTGCTGTTGGCAGACAGGGTGGGGGTTGACAGGGAAGACATTGGAGAAATTTAGTAAGAGGCACAAGGCGTGCTACACTTGAGATGGCACGCTTTGGAGAGATGCAGTGCAGGTGGCACAGCTCAGGGCACAATCAGACGTCACACCTCAAGAGGTAGACGGCAGGGAGGAAGGGAGAAGGCAGAAAGGGATGGGATATGCTGGAAGGGAGGCACGCACAAGATGACTACCTGGCTATCATGTTTTGAGACATCGCAAACGGAGAAACATAGTGATGTTTTTGAGGGGGCCACAACCACAACAGACCACAGCCACAAGAGGCACGCACGGGTCGTTCTTGGCGTCGAGGAAGTCGATGGTGTTGCTCATCTGCGTCCGCAGCTCCTTCCTCTGCTCCTTTGATGCCAGCGCGTACTTCACTGCTATCTTGTCCAGGTCCTTGATCCGCCCCACCTGCACGCAGGTGGACACCGGGCAGCAGCAGGGCAATGACGCAACGCAGCAGGGCACCATTGAGCAACAATGCAGAGTAAAGTATACGTCATATCTTCTCCCTCTGTTCCCGTGATGCCAGCGCGTACTTTACTGCTATCTTGTCCCAATCCTTGATCCGCCCCACCTGTTGGTATGCAGCAAGGCAGCAGGCAGAACAAGGCAGCCAAGGAGTGAAGGGGGGATAAGGCATGGTTCCTCCACCAGCGCGTACTTCACTGCTATCTTGTCCCAATCCTTGATTCGCCCCACCTGCATGCATGCACAAACCGGGAAGGAACCAGGCAGCATGCAGCACAGAGAAACCAAGGAGGGTCGGGGAGAAAGCATACATGTATGTATGCATGTATGTAATCCTGCTCTTCCTCCCCCTCCCCCCGCCCCGCACGGTGAGCACACGTACATCGTCATCCAGGAGGCCGCCCTTATTGCGCATGATGCTGCTGCTCATGGCGTTGACAAAACCAAGGACGGGCTGCAGGTTGCTACTGAGGCGCCTCAATAGTCCAACACAGCGAGCATACATTCCAAGCATGCACATCATGACACAGCGAGCATGCATACGTACATCGTCATCAAGGAGGCCGCCCTTCTTGCGCAGGGTGTTGGCCATGGCGTTGACAAAGTCAATCATGGGCTGCAGGTTGCGCGATGTCTTGTACGGCACACCCTTCTTGTTGTCCTTGGGATACCACCGCAGCTCCGGATACCCCTTGATCTTGTACCTGGTGGGAACGGGGTATTCAAGGAAAAAAAAAGGAGCGGGGTTGTGTGGTTGGGTCAAGGTCTGTTGTGACTGACTGTCTGATGCTGGTCGTGAAAGGAACTGTTGTCGTTTGTGTTGGTAAGCGGGTAACTTTAGCACAGCAGATTGAGTTACGTGTGGGAAGGGAAGCTGACCTGCGGCTTGCTGAACAAGCACAATGAATGGACAAAGAGCTTGGTAGAGCGGGTTCCCGAACTTACCGTGTGCTTCCGACAGATCTCTGATGCGATACAAGGGAACAGAGCTTACTTTTCCACGGTGCCCTTGTACTTGTCGGCATCGAACTTGGCGATCACAATGTCCGGCTCGTACTGAAACGTCTCCGCCAGTGCCTCGTAGTCCTGCCAGAAGGAAAGGGAGTGTGGGGGAGGGGGGGGGGGATTGTAAGGGGCATGGCCGTCTGAGGAAGCCACTGGAGTGGAGCATGCAGAAGAAACTGGTGGCTTTGGGAAGGGGCAGGTGGGAAAGAGTGGTGAAGGAAACGGGTGGATCGAAAAAACACGGCGGAAGTGACCAGACATGGTAGCGAAATTGAGGAGAGTTAGAGAGTGAGATTCTTAGAGGAAGGGATGGGATAGGACAAGTAAGTTGATAGATCTGTGGTTAGCTAGTATTGCAACACGAGGAGGTGAGGTGAGGATGATGAAGGCTTACCGGTGCAAGGGATTTGCACATTCCACACCTGAAGCGAAGGAGAACAGAGGGAAAGGGAGGAAGGAAGAGAACGATGGTTACGACATGAGAAATCGGACAAGAGTTGCAAAGCAAGAGAAATTTGGACAGCAGTGAGGGGGGGAAAGGCCGAGAGGAATTGGGTCCTTTCAGCGTGTGACCGCATTGTGGTGTGTGTGTCCGTGTGTGCAAGAGGAAGGGATTTGAAGGGCGGGAGGGGGATGCAGCGGGGGGAAAGAAGATGGGAAAAAGGGAGGACAGAGGAAATAGTGACGGAAGTACCATGGGGCGTAGAATTCAAGAAGGACGTGCTTGGTCTTGTCCTGCTTTTGAGTCGGCTCAAAAGCAGACTCATTGCACGCGGGAGGATAGAGAAAATGGTGAGGGAAGTACCATGGGGCGTAGAATTCAAGCAGAACGTGCTTGGTCTTGTCCTTGACAATCTCTGTGAAGTTGTCAGGCGTCACCTCCACCACCAGTGATGGCTTCCCTGCTGGAAGTGTCGCTTTGCTTCCTGCTCAACACAGACATCGAAAACAGCAAAACACACCTGATTGATTCTATAGGACAGTGGACTTCTGGGGTCGGGCCTGGTCAGGCACTGAATGAGTTTGGAAGATGGGAAAAACGCCTTCCTTTTGTGGATTTCCGTTGCCTGATGCAGGTATTATGATATGCCATAACAGCATGGCTTCCTTATTAAATGGTATGGTAGTGCCTTATCAGCATGAATGGCTCCTAGAGATAGATAGAACGAAGTGGTTCAGTGGCATGAGCAAGCTGACCTGATTTCTGGTTGACAAATTCCAGCAGCTTCTCTGCCTCGCGATCGCCAGTGTACCTGCAGGCGAAGGTGGTAAAGGGGGGAGATCGATGACACAAGGCAGATGAAGAATACTCGGAGGACGCTGCTGGGAAACGGAAGAAGAACGCGTCGCTTACGTTTCGGGGGTGAGCGAGTTGCGAGGGAACCATTTGAGCGTGGGATAGCCGGTGACGCCGAACTGCGAGCAGAGCTCCTTGTGCGCGTCGCAGTCCACCTGTGGTGGACATTGGAGTGGAGGGGAAGAACATTGGAAAACCGGAACATGAACCACAATCGCATCCATGCATAATTTTGAGATAAAGTAGCGATATAGAGTTTTTGTGGAAACTTATCAAGTATTGATAGGAGAGATGATGTGATATTGCTGTTTAACGGCATGTATACCGACCTGTGCGATGTGAACGTATACAGACGCCCTGAAGGCAGCGGCGAGCCTCTCCCACTCGGGTGCAAGTCGCTTGCAGTGTCCGCACCTACATTAGAAAAGAACGGACAATTACAACTTTAGAAGGACTGGAAAAGCTTGAGACGACATGAGGCGACAAATAAGGCAACGGTCGCACCGCACGATAAACTAAAAACAAGATACTGCTTTGAGAGAAGTACATTGAACGAGCCAACAAAATATCCCCACCATGGAGTGTAAAACTTGACGAAGGTGTAGATATCCTGGCCCACGTCTAGGTTCCAGTTATCCGGAGTCAGGTCGATCACATCGCGAGCGGAAGCGATCAGCGCGTGGAGGCCCAGAAAAAGAGCGGCGACCGCCAAAAGCCCATCTAATTTCCTCATCGTCGTTAACCTGCCGTGGACTTCACCGCAATGGGAGGCAGAGCAGCACCTCAAGGAGGCTGCTTTGTCGCAGGAAATGAGCCTGAATAATCTATCTATTTGGTGATGGAGAAAATACAAGGTGAAGTCAACTTGATGAGGGCCAACTGGGGAAATGCTGCTGTCAAAGGGGTTGGTTGGTGGTTGTGAAGCCGGAACGGGTTACCAGAGTAAACAACTTGTTCGTTTGCTCGGCTTCAGGTGGCCTATCAGGTGATCGGACGAACAGGAATGACGAGAACGCTGAAATCTGATTGGAAGCGGAAGAGTGCGAAAGGAAGCTTCGAAATGCACAACTACGATATACTCGATGCTGAGCTCTCCGTCAAGGTCTTGAAATGAGTGAGTCCTGAAAAGGGAAAATGCAGGAAATGTTAGAGTCGGAAAAAATGGGAGAAGCTGGAGGCTGTGAAGTGAATCACGCGTCAGTCGAAAACAAGGAAGCCAGATTCAGATGTCACCACCATTTCTTTGAATCTGCTCGCTAACTCTCGCATTCGATTCGTGCACAAATCTTGACTGTCCATTTCAAGCGAGACTTTCGTCGCTTACTCGCCACACACTAGTAATTGGTAACCGGTAAAATTTGAATCTCACCGTCAGAACTTCGGAGGTATTTTGAGCCAGCATCACTAGTTGCTGACAGCACAGCTCTGACATGGACTGACGGCAGCAGGAGAGCGCCGATCGCACGATGTCACATCACCCCTCTCGCACGGTTCTTTCCGTGCGACGGTTAAGGTTTCTCGCAGTATCGCTGATAGTCGTCGCCGTGTCGCTCACATTCCTCCTGCAGGTGCCACTCCTTCAAATCGACGAGGTCTCTTTACCGTCAGCTTTCACCCTTCCCACATTTGCTCGTTCCAATCAAAGCCTTCTGCCGTGTGACTTTTGAGATATTTAAAAGACGTCTGTCTCCTTATCCTCGTACTGCGTTCGTCCATGCCATCCCCGTACTGCCTCCACAGTACCTCTCCTCGCACCTCCATGCGACTTCAGCCGTACCTACCGTCGCACGTCCTCTCGTTATGTATGCTCTCTGCTGTCGTCCTCCTGGTATGGACGTGCATGTCCCCACCATCCCCGCCTCCCCGGCCTGCCCCGCCTCTCCCGCTTCTCCCGCCCCCCCTGCGTCTCCTCCGTCCTCCGCCTCCCTCGCTTCCCCCGCCTTTTCCTCGCCTCCCCGTCCCCCGCATTTCCCCCGCCTCACCCGCGTGCGCTGCGTCCCCGTGGCAGGGCGTGTACGTGGAGAGGCTATTCCGCTCCAACTCCCGCAACAACACAGTCCAACGTACGTGCCACGGGCTCTTCGCGCTGCCGTTGCCGTCTCTCCACCCGCATCTCCCATACTGCCGTCCTTTCGCTTTCCTTCTAAGTTATCCGCCACTCCCTTTCCAACTCTCGTCTCCACCCCCCATACCCACTTCGCCCGCTCGTATTCCATTCCTTTGCATACCCATCACCACCATCGCCCATCACCCATCCCCCACCACCCTTCTCCCGCCATCTTCCCTCCCCCCACCAGCTCTCACCGTCCTCGTCCTCGACAGCAGTCAGTCTACAGACGCGCCCTTCCCCTTCTGAGTCAATTCAAAAAACATTCCCCACCACCCATTACACCACCATCCCCCCCCTCATCCCAGCTCTCACCGTCCTCGTCCTCGACAGCAGTCAGTCCGCAGAGAACTTCTGTTTCCACTAAAACATAGTTCCCCACCACCCATCGCCCCACCCATCTTCCCCCCCACGTCCCAGCTCTCACCGTCCTCGTCCTCGACAGCAGCCAGTCCCCGGACGCCCCTTTCCCCTTCCTCTCCGCCTTCTCCTCCTCCTTCCAGAAGCCGCACTGGCGCTCGCGCCCAATCACCGCGCAGCAGCAGCAGCTGCTGCACAACCAGCAGCAGCAGCAGCAGCAGCGGCGGTGGAGATCCCAACCCCTCGCAGGCGTCTTTGACGTGGTAGCGTATGGCGCGGTGGGGGATGCTGTCACGGACGATACACATGCGCTGACCACGGCCATGCATGCGGCGTGCAGTCATGCGGTGGAGAGGGGAGTGGTGGCGACGGTGCTGGTGCCGTGGGGTGGTTGCTATACCGTGCAGCCCATCACCATGCAGGGGCCGTGTGGGCCTGGCATTCGATTGCGGGTAAAGTGTTTTGAACCCAGAAGTGTCAGGGAAGGTCGGAAAACAAGAACTTGCATAGCCGCCCTTACCATGCACTGCTCCACTGGCCCTGTCCTCTCTTCCTCTCCAGTTTAACTGACTATTCTTCCACTGTTCCCCTCTCCCTCAAACTTTTCATGCCTTTTCAGATTAATGGGGTCCTGGTAGGTCCATCTGACCCTGCAGCCTACCCTTTCCCCGACTACACCAGCACCTACTTCCCCTATACCAGCGGCTTCCTCTCCTTCAAGAACTTCTCCGGACTCGTGATCTCGGGCGGAGGCAGAATCGACGGGCAGGGGTGGGAGTTCTGGAAAGCATTCAGGAACTACACCCTGCAGAAGACCATTCCGATCAGGCCGTTTGCGATCCGGCTGATGCACTGCAAGAACACGACGGTGGAAGGCATCTCTATCTGGTGCGTCAACTGGTGTTTGGTGCAGTGAAGCTGGGTCAATGGTGTTGATGGGCTTGAGTCTGTCTAGTTAGCGGGGACAGGACGGCGTCAAATGTTTTGGAGTGGAAACAACGGGTTTTCATCCGCCTTGCATGGTTGCAGGAACTCTCCCATGTATCACCTCTTCGCGTACACGTGCGATGGGCTGCACATACGGAGGTACAAGACCAACTCGCCCAGCAGGAGTCCCAACACGGACAGCCTCAAGCTCGTTGGCATCAAGAACGCTCTCATTGAGGAGTGCTTTCTGCATGGAGGTCAGCAACATTCGTTAGTGCAGACGATAGCTGCTGTTTCTTGTCAATGGTAGCTTGCTGTTACTTGGGTCATGATAGCTGATGTTGTCATATGAGTGTGTATGCAGGTGATGACGATGTGTCAGTTGTTGCAGTGGGAGAGCTGGTGGCGTCTAACATTACTGTGAGAAACCTGGAAGCAACAGCTGGACATGGAATAAGGTCAGTCTCTGACGCACCTGGAATATCACCGCCAGATCAGCATACGATTTCATACGATACCACCACCCTCTAGAATGATGTCAAGCCTTCTATAAGAACTTGAGTTGACCCTTAGCCGTTCTTTGCACTTTCTGCAGCATTGGGAGTGTTGGATGGGACGGCAATGTGGGGTGTGTATCGAAGGTGCGGGTGGTGAATGTGACGCTCATCAACCTGACCAACGGCATCCGCATCAAAACATGGCAAGGGGGCCTTGGGGTGGTCCGGGATGTCATGTACGAGAACATCCACATGAGGAACACCAGCAAGGCCATCATGCTTAATCAGGTGCGTGAGGTCAAACAAGACCATCATGCTTTTCAACCTTTTCTTGGAATGGTGAATCATATCTCCAACCCTTCTCTCCTGTGCAGTTTTACTGTGACAGGCACCAAAATTGGACATGTGGTGGCAATGAGAACAACGTTGCTCTGCACAATATTTTGTACCGGAACATATCAGCACTCGTCCGCGATAAATTTGGCATTTTCATGCGCTGCAGTGACACTGTGCCCTGCACTGGCATTCACCTTCAGCAGGTCAACATCCAACCCCAGAATCCCACCAGACTGCTTACACCTGTTTTCGAGAATGTCCTGGCCAGTGGCGCAACTGATGATGTGTGGCCTGCACCAGCAGGTTGGGAAATGTCTTTTCCTACAGCACAGCAGGCGGCTCTCATACAGAACGTATCATCTTATTGTAACCAGTATGGATGATGTAATAAACACAATCCGTGTTGAAAACGTTGGATTTCTGAAAAACATCAACAAGTGGAGCATAGGAGGGCATCTCACGCCTGTCATGCTGCAGCAGTCAGAACTCCAGGCTCAATACTCGTTCTCCCAAAAATGTTTCGCTTCCATGTGCTGCAAGCAGGAGTGGTTAGTTTTGAATGTACGGTCACACATATTGCAGCTGAAGGTGAACGGATGTACGTTGGTTTCATGATCGAAGAGTTGATCCGTGTTGTAGAAACGATTTCCGCAGATCTCGCACGACAGGAGAGGAGTGTGCTTGTCTTGCTCGTACTGTCCACAGCTTTTGGAGTAGCGAATTCCTGGTCGCATAGCCTGCACTTCACATAGATCGGGTGAGAGTCATCCTCGTGTGTCGCAGCGTCCTCGACGGAATCAAACAACTCGTCGCAGATCCGACAAGGAACCCTGCGAGTGTGGACCATTCGTTCATGATCCGTCACTGCCCGAGTGGATGCAAAAGACTTGCTGCATATCCGACAGCAATAAAGATGAGGATGCTTCTTATTCCGGTGGTCTCGAAGGCCCTGAACAGAGTCAAATCCACGGTCGCATATCAGGCAAGGATACGTGGGCCAGTGCTCCTCCTCTTCATGTTCCCGCGCTTGATCCTCCGAATTAAAGGAGTCAGTGCAGTATCGACATTCAACAACTGGCATCTTGTTAGAGATTCAAGAAATTGAAGAGGTAAAAATCTGGATGATGCTAACACCACGCACTTTACAGGTCCTTGGCTTTTCTGAGGGCGTGGCATAGGGGGTGTGCCGACGGCTTGTGCTATATCCACCATTAGCGACAACAAGGGATCAGTGATGAATTCATAGAAATTGGGGCGCGACGTCGAGAATGCAATACCAAGGGGAACGGGGGTGGTTGGAGAATGCAATACCGATGGTGCATAACAACTGCCTCGTTAACAGAGTACACTCTCGGAAATTCTGTCCTTGATGCTTACCGCGGAAAATATGTGAAAATAATGAACCCACTGGTTCTGCTTGAGCCGAACAGTTAGACAGCGTACCCATTCACAGAAGGCGTGCTCCTTATTTTGGTTGCACTTTCATTAGAATCGTAAATGCAGAGAAATCGCTCTGACTCTGGTAATGCGGCAACAAAATAGGTACAAGGCATTGCATCCATAATGGCTCGACCATACGTTTAGTAGTACCTTCCTGTGAACACTATCTGCCCACTGGGATGCTTGGCGTCCTCGTGCTGAGACAGAGCATGCTCACTCCCGAAAACTCTCTCGCAAAACACACAGCGATAATCCCTGAAGTGCGAGTCGTCGGCGTGATCCCATGCTGCTTCCTGGTCATTAAAATACGAGTCACATAATTCGCACTTAACCCTTGGCTGATGAACGCTCGCCTCGTGCTGGCGTACAGCTTCCTCCGAACCGAATGACTGGTTACAGAACCGGCACGTCGCTAAGAAGCCGTGCGACCTTAGCTCATGAGCCGCGGCCTCCTCTATCGACTGGAAGCGCTGAGAACACAACCTGCAGGAGACGTAAAATCTGTGCTGGTCCAGCTCATGAGCAATGGCGGACTGAACAGAATCAAAGCGAATCCGACAAAATCTACATGAAACTCCTATGGGGTGTTTCACTGTCTGGTGATGTCTAAGCCCTGCGACTGAGTCGAAGCCCCTGTCGCACAAGGGACATTTATACTGGGGATAATGAGCCGACCTCTCGTGATCATAAGCAGCGTCATCGGAAGAAAATGTCGAAGAGCAGAAACGGCATTCGACAGACGGCATGGTAGGACTCCCTACTCACAAGCAGAACAGAAACAAGGCTTGGATCTCGAAGACTTGTGATGGCTATGCACCCCAGTCGTGGGGGAGAACTGAAAGGGGCAAATTACTGAGCCTGTTAAAAAACGCTTCGCTTTGCGTTTGGTCATTCAGGAATCGGGAAATCAGTGCACAAGCTGTACATTGAAAAGTGAACATTTCATTCCATCATGCAGATGTGCATCATTTACACCTTGCTGCAAGGCAACGCATTCTGTAATTGTGATATCCAAGACATGATAGTCTAAGACGAAAATTGTGACGGCTGTGACACGAACTGTTGCACATGATTGGTCGGCCTCTCGTCGTACTGAGTTGTGCGATGCACTGCAGCTGCATAAACGATCGCAGGGTGTACATTTCACAGGACGGCATGGTAGGTTGATGAGTGAGGAGGAGGGGCCTGTTAGGCCTACGAGGATCGACTGAACGGGATTCATAACACGAAAATGTGTACACACAAGGAAAGCACCAAACGTGAGTAATGAATCGTTTACCTGGAGGGAGCTCTGCGAGGAATCTGGATGGCAGCATTGGTTGGCCGCCAGCAGACATCACATGAGTGACCTTGACCAATGAAAAAAACAATACAGGTGGAGCATTTTCAGAGAAGAGGAGCAGGAGTAACATGTAATGGGCAGTATGAAACCAGACGAACAGTAGGACAAGGCAAAGACATAAGTGTGCAGTAGGACAATAAACTCGGCCTTCAGTAGGCTCTGTCAGTGAAGCATAGGTGGAGGAAATGTGGAGTGTATACGGACGCACCATAAGATGCTGCTGTGCCCTGGTCAGCGCCACATACATGAGCCTCCTCTGTTGTGATGAAGAGAGGAATAGTGGGGCACATGCAGGGATAATGCAGATGCATTGAGGAACGAACATGCACAGACGCATAACAATTGATCCATGCACACATACATTCCCAGAAAACACATTCGCATGCTCCACACACCTCCTACCCAAGCTGAGCATCATAATCCGGGGGCATGGCAGGCTTGACAAGTCTTGGATTCTAAAACGGTACGATCAGTAAGCGTCTCAGATTTCATCTCACCTCCTCCTCCATCTGTGCGTCATAGTCTGGGGGCATGGAAGGCAGAGGAGGCAGGGGCCGCACCCCACTCTCACGCCCACACCCCTCCCTTCCGCCCAATACCCCTCCTCCTGCTGCTGCTGTCGCTGCTTCTGCTGTCGTTGTCGGTGTTGTCGGTGGTAGAGTTTGGGGCGTGGGTGAGTAGTTGGTGGTGCTGGCAGTGGCAGGGGCCTGTGTGACTCTACTGAAGTCCACCAGCGGCAGCACGCCCTCGTTCACCCTCACTACAATCACAGCCTGCCACTCCAGCCCCTTGGCCTGGTGAATCGTGCTCAGCACCACTCCCCCGTTGTCCTGCTCACTCTCTCGCCCACGACTTCCCCCACTCCCCCCACTCCCCCGCCCCTTCCCTTCACCCTCTCTCCCTGCTCGCCTCCCTCCGCGTTCCCCACCACCCTCTCTCTCACCAGCACCGTCCCCCACCACTCCCAATCCGTCCTCCACACCCACCCCGAGCTCCCTCTCATGCACTCTCTCCATCACTCTGTCTACAAACTGAACCACCACCTCCCCCTCCTCCCCATCCTCCTCTTCCCCTTCCCGCTCCACCTCCCCCTCTCCGTTCCCATGTTCACCATACTTACCATCACCACGAATATAACCACCAGTACCAGCATTGGTATCGTGCAAGCCCACCTCTCCTTGCTCCCCCATCCGTCTCTCGAACTCAGCTTGCCTTGCGCTGCTAGTCCCTGCAGCATTGGACCATCGGGCAAGCCCCATTCCCTGTGCCGTGCCGGTGCCGCCCACCATTCCCACCACTCCTTCACGCTGCAGCAGCAGGTCGGCGTAGCTCGGCCTCTTGCTGCCCTGCTTGCTCTCGCTGCTGCCACCCGGACTGTAACGGTCTTTCACAGGGGTGGTAGCTGGGGAGAAGTAACCGCCTGGATTGGCCATCAGCCTGCTGCTGCTAATCCCGCTGCTACTGTTGCCGTTGCCGCTGTTGTTTCTTTCACTCCCCGTATCACACCCGGACACCACCCTTCCTGGCCCATCTTCCAACCCCATTTTTCCCACTCCCTCTGCTCCCCCACCTGCTTTCCCCAATGCGGATGCTCCTGCTGCTGATGCTCCTGCTGCTGATGCTCCTGCTAGCGCCGCTGCTGCTGCAGCACTCGTTGCTCTGGCCTGCATAGCCTGCCGTGTCTGCCTCCTCTCCCTGTCAAAAGCTGCCGCCTCCACAAGAAGAGCTCTCACACCGGCAAACATGGCTGGATCCAATGCACCTGCGCCTCCCACCTGTCCCCCCATCCCACGCCCACCTCCCGACCCACGCCCACCTCCCGACCCACGCCCACCTCCCCACCCTCCACCACCCGTCCCACCGGACCCTCTCCCTCCCCCAACCGCTCCGACCACTCCTCCTCCCCCTCCGCCCCCCAGAACCCCCTGCACCACCACCTCCGCCCCCACCCCCGATCCACTCCGCCCCTCCCCAACCCTCACTGCTCTTACAAACCGCAGCGCACACCGCACCAAAGCCTCACAGGACACCCCATCCCCCTCCTCCTCCCCTCCTCCTTCTCCTTGGAAAAACGCAGGGAGGGGTGAGCCCCCACCACCCAGACCCATAATCCCAGCAGCACTGCCTCTCCTCCTGCTCGCAGGGGGGCGCGACGCAACCGCAGAAGCAAACGAGGCAGAAGCAGAGAGAGGAGTAGAGGAGGCAGAAGCAGGGGTAGACGACCAGCCAGGCGGGGGAATGCCCAGTAGGCCTTGCAGCTCCGATACTGCTGCCGCCATCTTCCGTATCCCCTCTAACACCTCCATGTCGTCTGGTGAGAGCGTGTGTGGCCATGCAGGGTCAGCTGCGTTCTGTGCATGGGTGGAGTGTGATCCGTTATAAGCACTGCTGTTGCCTGCTGATCCGTTAGTAGCACTGCCGGGGTTGGTGGAAGGCACGCTGGAGAGGGCGGCGCAGCGGGAGATCCCGAGGAGGTGCAGACGAGTCATGCGGGCGGCAGGCAGGAGCGAGATGCGGTGCGGGGCGCACTGTAACGTGCGCAGACAGACTGCCACCTGGCGGGTGGGCGGTGGACAAACAAAACGTAAGACCTGCCGACACGCCACGTCATCCGACTCATTGGCAGCCAATCGCAGCAGAGCCAGGATATCATGAAAAACCGCTCCCACTGTCCCCGTCCCCCTCCCTCCCCTAGCACCACCAGCCATGGCACTGTTACCCCCCTCTGCTATGAAACCATTTGCAGCTACTGCTACCCCATCCTCCTCTGCTGCTCCCCATTCCCCCCCTCCTGCTGCTCCCCCTCCTCCTCCGCCATTCCCGAAGCTTCCTGCTCCCCCTCCTCCTGTTGCTGCAGTGGACACCTTAATCCCGTGGCTCTTCAGATATTGCCGAATCACCTTGCCCACTGCTTGCACACGGTACAAAATCGCAATCTGATTCGCCGGCACCCCGCACGACCCCACTAGTTGACAAATCTTGCCGACCACGGCTGCTGCCTCGCACCGTTCTGTTCGGCACTCGCACAAAGAGACAAGCGGGCCCACTGGCGCTGCTGTGACCATCCACTTGGCGTGCCGCCATTGGTTGTGCGCGATGACGTGGCGGGCAGCCTCCACCACCGAGCCGCAGCTTCGAAAGTTCTGGTCGAGGCAGACCGTCCGAGCCTGTGGGTAGGTTCGGAGGAAGCGACGCAGGTTCGGCAGGCCCATGGCGCCACGGAAGGAGTAGATCTGCTGGTCGTCGTCGGCCACGAGGGTGAGGGTCGGTGCGGACGGCAGCGGGCGGCAGAGCAGCAGAAGCAGCTCCATCTGACAGCTGTCGGTGTCCTGAAACTCGTCCACTGGCGTGTGTGCGTGTGGGGAGGACGGAGGAGGGAGGGGGGAGGTCGAAAAGGGGAGAGGGAGAAATGACAGATACGAGAGGAAAATAGTGGAAGGAAAGTGGGAATGGGGACTGGAGGATGGGGCAGGGGTTCATTAAATAATCAAGAGGCGAAAGCCGAGGTGCAATGGAAGAAGAACAGAAGGGGGGAGTCGTACCAAGCACGTGCGACACACGCAGGTGGCTTCTGGACGAAGATGCAGCTGCAGCAGTGCTCGCCCTGCTAGGCATGTGCTTCCTGCTGCTGCTCGTGCTGCTCGACGCGAGTATCTCTGGATGTGCTTGCAGCAGCTTCACCGCCTTGCTGCCACGCACGATCAACAAAAGGATTATGGAGGGCAAAGGAGGGCAGTGATTATGGAGACACCCACCGGTTGCTGATAGGCACGCGTAGCCACAAAATCAAAGCAGATGGAACATGGAAGTAATTAAGGAGAGTCTTACCGGTTTCTAGTAGGCATGCATAGCCATAATGCACAGCTACGCGCAACCATAGGCTACGTATAGCCTAGTTATGCCAGACATTTCAACATGAAAGAAGAACGAGACAAAGAAGTATGTGGTTAGCACGAAAAGGAGGAGGAGAGTGGGTGGTTGGTGGCGTGAACAACAAGAAATGACTCAACTTCAAGTTGTGAACCTGAACAGCATTGTGAACCTCCTCGCGGTTCAACTCACGGGGCGAACTGCGAGAAGTCAACAGCTTTGTTGAGCACGAGGCGGCGCCGGTACTGCTCCCACAGCCACGCAAACAGCCCGCCATCCTCCTCGCCCTCCCCTCCTCCTCCACCACCGTCTCCTCCGAACAATATCCGCCTCCTTCTATGCACAGCACCATGATTCACGGAAGCAGAACGACCGTTCGCCCCAGAAGCAGCAGCACCTGGAGCACCTGAATTCGATGCTGGCGGTGAGGTTGTTGCTGCTGCTGGCTGGTGCAGAGGGCGAGAGCCCTGCAGCACCTGCATGGCTGCGTTCTCGGCTTCCAGGCGGCCAAACTCGTGCAGGAAACGACGGATTATAAAGTGCAGCTGGTAGGATGAGTGGTGCAGTGTGGTGAAGTGCGGTGGGGATGGAGTGGGGTGTGGTGGTCGATGAAAGATATCGAGCCAAGGAACGACAATGGATCAAACAAATTGTGCAAACAGACAGAAGCAACTCAGGACCATTTTTGGGAAGCCAGAGACGAAAGAAAGAGCGAGTGCTGCTTACTTTCTTGCCTGATGGCACATTTATTCGACTGGACCCATGCTCTCCTTCCCTCTCCCCTGCCTCTGCTGCTTTCCTCTCCGCCCACTCCTGCAGCAGCTCCATCAACGTCTCTGCCTGCACGCACCACATGCACGAGGCAAGAGTGAAGTGAACTAGGCTGTTCAACGCAGATTAGGACAGGACAAAAGTAAGCGCTGTCCATTTTAAAGGGGAAGTCTAAGCTGCAAAAGAGGAAAAGCATTGGAGCAGGCTGGCGACCAGAACAGATGGGGCGGGATGGGGTGGGAGCAGAAAGGGAGGGATTGACTCGGCGCTGACCTGCATCTTGGGAGGGAAGACTGTGAAGTCCTTGGGCGGGTCTAGTTTTGAGGCGTCTCAAAACTAGACGCATAAATACCAGCGAAGGCATGAACTAGGCTGGCGCTGACCTGCATCTTAGGAGGGAAGACGGTGAAGTCCTTGGGCAGGCCTGCGAGGTGCGCGAACTGCCTGAGGGTCTGCAGGCAGAAGGAGTGGAAGGTGGAGATCCGCACCGCTGCCACCGCTGCTGCACTCACTGCTGCCATTCCTTGCGATGGCGCCGGCACGGCCATCACAGCTTGTGCTGCTACTGCTTCTGCTGCTGCTGCTGCTGCTTCTCCTCGCTCCACTGCTGCAGATCCAGATGTGGTCTGGGTAGTAGCTCCAGTGGAGAGATCAGTGCGGAGAGGTGTGTTGTTGGAGCGATGTGCTTCCATTGCTGCTGCCAGCTGGTGCAGTCGGTGCCTTAGGCTCTGACCCGCTCGCCTCGTGAACTGCCGGAGAGGGAACAAGTGGTGGGAGTGAGCGTAGATTGGAGAGATAGGGTCAGAGGGGAGAAGTAAAGGAGGATGGGGTGGGGAAAAGCGGGGAAGGGGAAGGAAATTGGCGCAGGGAGGAGGGAAGGCAGAAAGGGAAATGGGAGACCAACAGGCAGCACGCACACCAGCGTCACCAATCTGGAAACACGAAACAAAGATGCAGTGTTGAAATTGGCGTTAAACATAAACTGAAGGTAGAGTAACATTGAAGGCATGCGTTTGACTCAGACTGTGGTAACGTGACTCACTGTGACTGCGAGGATCTCGCTGGGAGGGACACCCTGGATCATTAGAGAGACATGGAGAGGGAGCAAGGGAAAGAGAGGGAAGAGAGGAAAAAGGACACAAGGAATCAGTAGTGCAGAGTAATGTTTAGAGAAAAACAAGCTATACTAACATGACTTTTGATGCGTCATGATTTGAACAGCAGCAAACTGGATCATCAGACTAAGCGGTAGAGATCCACATTCACAAATGTTCTGTTTGCTGTATCAGGAATCGAAAGAGTGGAAAAGGGTGTTACCTGGGAAATGAGGTGTATGATGCGGTGGCAGATGACAGACGTCTTTCCCGAGCCCTGTAGGCATACAAACACGCGGTAAGTACAATCATGGTCGGTGGATTGAGGCATATAGTGTACACAGTGGCTTTGCACAGGAGGTTGGATGATAAGCCTGTTTAAAGTGAAATTGCAGCATTGGAAAAAGCCACAGTCATGCCGCCTGGATCCCACTCACAGCAGCAGCGACAACAAGCAGTGGGACGTTGGGATCGTGAAAAGCAGCAGCGCGCTGAGCATCTGTCAGAAGTTGCTGCGGTGAAACCGATTTGACTTTCGCGATTGGAGCTGTCGCCATACTCCCCGTCGCCACCAGAGGTTGAGAATTCCTTCGCGAATCGTTACCGTTGCCAACATCCTGAGATCCATTCCCCGCTGATCGTCCCTTTCCTCTCCGTCTGCTTGGCGTGGTCTCGCAATGGGGCTCGTCGCTGTTGCCGTTTGGCTTGTCAGATGTCCTGAATCGCTTACGGTTCGTCTTGCTAGGAGGCATGACTCGACCAGCAGCGTTCTTTGTACTTTCACTGCGATCCGTGACGCGTCTGACTGACGGAAACTTCCTAGATCGTTGCAGCAGTGCGAAGTCGTCAGCAGCGTGAAGTGCCATCTCGCTTCAAACGTCCCTGGAGAGCATTTGCGAAGCTCGTCTCTCTGCGGAGATGTTTCACGGAAGCAGTGCGTGCACGCAGTCGCTCTCAAGGCCCATGCTAGCCTGCAGGGCCCAGTGATGCTTTTTGACAGAAACGAACACGACAACAAAAACTTCAATTCATGGAATTGAAAAAGCAGCGAGCACTCGTCACGCTTTATTCATTACTTCATTGATCAACGATCCCCACGAAACTCTCGAGGCAAAAATTGTTTAATTCCTGGCCATGGCGTTTCAGTCATGATGCATTCTCGAGAAGTGTTATGAAGTTCAAATCATGTTCCTCCAAGTACTCTGGTTCAATACGATTTCAGCACGTTCAGCTACGGTACCAAACGGTTTTTGCAGTAAGCAGATGGTCCGGCACGGTTTTAGGGGGAAAGATACGACGAGACGTGTTGGTGACGAGTTGAAGCAGAACCCTCGTGGCGACGAACGAAGAGCCTTGGTTTTGCCTGCTTTTTAGTAACGTAACAGCGGTCGTTATTCTTTGTCGTAAATAGCTTCGTCTGGTTTGAATTGCTGAGTTACCAATGCTTTTTGCTCCTAGGGGCTGTCAGCGGGCGAGTCAGTGCAGTTGTCTGATTCCCCCTTTTCCTCCCTCGGAATTGTCACGAGTTTCCCTCCAAACGTCTGGTGACCATGGGAAAACGGGGCTTGAGATTTTCCTGACGAGCTGCCCGCCAATCAGAAGTGCAGACACCTTCTTTGCCACTTCCAAATCAACGGTTCTTCTGAATTTTGTACTGCCTGTTGCTTCTACATAAGCTCAGGGCTCCGCCAAAAATAACTACTTGCTCGCGCGGTTCCGTAGCCATTTCTCGTACAGGAGGTGTTTCCCACACGTTTGCGCATACCACTTCCAGTATCCGCCGTGTATACTCTCTACGATCTGTGTCTTGCCGCTTCACGCGCGTGCTCGCAACCGTTCGTTTCCCGGCCCTACGAAATGCATGTGTCAGAATGTCAGTAATTGTCCCGCTAGACGCAAACTAGTTACCTGGCCCTACGCACTTACCCTGCCGTATGGGATGCGTTCCGTAACGTCCGAATTCCGCCATCCTTGCCACGTCTTAAATGATCTGTAAGCTGACGCGTCTCGCGCGCAATACGTGAAATCACTCGATTCGCGCCAAATGGGATGTATCCAGTCAAAGCCCGATTCCCGCAGTCGCGTCGACGGACGCAACGGCGACGGCGGCGATGGCGCTGGTGCTGCTGCTTCGACGAAAGAGCGGCGTGGACAGTCCAGAGGAAAGGGTCGGGCTAAGACTGTGAGTATGCATGGGAAACCGAAGAAGCGGGACCCGGCAGCGGCGGCAACGGCGGCGGAGGCGGAGGGGAAGGAGGAGCAGGCAGGGACAAGTGATGTAAGAGATGGAGCTACGGAATCGAAGCAACCCGCGGCAGGTTATGTGAGGGAAGAGAGCGACGGTGGTCTACCGCAAAATCATGAACCAGCGGAGGGAGCAGTTGACAGAAAAGTTGACGGAGCAGTTGACGGAGCAGCTGAAGGAGCAGCCGCTTCTGGTGTAAGGGACGCTTTGGCAGCGAAGGCGATACAGGGTGGAGAAGCAACAACGCAGGGGGCAGCGAGGGAAGGCGGTTTGGAGAACCAGCGAGACGGTGCTGACGTGGACGCGGAAAATGGAGAGTTGTTTGGTGGTGGCGGATTGGACACGGGTGTATGGGCTGACCCGACGGACGGTTTGCAAGATGGTGCAGAGGAGTTCATTTTCGATCCGGATGTTTTGGCAAGCTTTGAGGAGGACCTTCGCAGAGAGAGGGAGTATCAGCAGACGCTAGAGCAGCTGCTGCTGAACCTTCTCCCGGAGCAAGGGACTGGGCCGGATGGGAACGAGGAGGGCGGGGAAGGTGGAGGAGGAGTAGAGGGAGGAAGAGGGGAAGGGGGTACAGGAATAGCAGGGCTGGGAGGGGGGACAGGGAAGAAGAAGAAGAAAAAGAAGAAGGGGGTGAAGGGGACTAAGGAAGGCGAGGAGAAGACTACCAAGAAGACGAAGAAGAAGAAAGGAGCAAAGGTTGCTGCAGGGGCTGATGCGAGTGAGAATGGCGGGCAGTTGGCGGCAGCAGCTGCGGGTGGTGCTGCTGCTGGTGTAGGGATGGTCCATGTTGCTAGTTCGGCTGTAGCAGCACCTGTGGACGGTGCTACTGCTGGTGATGCTGGCACTGCTGCTGGTGCTGGCACTGCCACGCGCTCTGATGCTGTGGGAGCGGGCGCAAAGAGATTAACAGCAGCAGATTACTCACCAGCAACTTCTGTCGCCGATGCTGCAGCCATTGGCGACATTGTGGCGGGTACATACGAGCAATCAGGAGGCACGGGCGGGCGTTCAGGTCGCACAGACGAGCCTCCAGAAGGTAGAGTGGAATGCAGAGTGGAAAGCAGAGTGGAAGGAAGAGCAGAAGGTGCAGGCACTAGAGTGCATGCGAGTACTGGCACGCACGCTTCTATTACAGGTGCTGCCGCAGATCTGGGGGCAGGAAAGGAAGCTGGCGGGAAGGAGGGAGCGCGAGAACAGGTGTCAAAGAGGGAAGACAAGGACGTGGATGAGGGGAAGGGGAAAGAGGGAGAGGAGGAAGACGAGGGAGAGGAGGAGGACGAGGAGGATGAAGAGGGAGAGGGAGAGGGGGGTGGAGTGGGAGAGGGAGGGGATGTGGGCGATTTTCTGTTTGACCCGGATTTACTGGAGGCTATGGAGGCAGCTTTGGAGCAGCACAGTGCGGCGGACTGGCAGCGAATCACCCCCCTCGCCAGCCCCATGCATCCTGCCGGGGCGAACAGCAGGGTTAGCCCCATGCAGGCTGCTCTGGTGGGCGGGAGAGTCAGTCCTATGCATGCTGCTCTGGTGGGCGGGAGAGTTAGTCCTATGCATGCTGCTCTGGTGGGCGGGAGGGTTAGTCCCCTGCACGCTGCTTTGGTGGGCGGCAGAGTGAACCCCATGCGCAGGGGCGTGGGAATAGGACAAGCCAGCCCACGCAGGGTCAGTGTTCCACTGCCAGGGGGGCCGGGCAGGGTGCCGAGTCCCAGGCAAGGCAGCTTGCGCGGTGGGGCGAGCAGCCCCACACTGCGACAGGTGAAGGATGCCAATGCTGTGAGACGCAGCTTCGATGGTGGTAGGGTTGATGGAGGTAGGAGTGACAGTGGTAGGGTTGGTGGTGCGCAGGTGGCAGGGGGAGGGGCGGGCAGGGTGCCGAGTCCCAGGCAAGGCAGCTTGCGCGGTGGGGGGAGCAGCCCCACACTGCAACAGGTGACGGACCCCAGTGCTGTGAGACGAAGCTTTGATGGTGGTAGGGTTGATAGTGTGGTTTACGGTGGCAGGAGTGACAGTGGCAGGGGGGACAGTGGCAGGAGTGAGAGTGGTAGGGAGGACAGTGGCAGGAGTGGGAGCGGTAGGAATGTCATTGCCACAGCACCAGCATCAGCAGTGGCAGCATCAGCAGCGGCAGCAACAGCACCAATACCAGGGGCAGCACCAGTGGCACGAGCAGCACAATCAGCAGCAGTAGCAGCAGCGCCGAAATTAGACCCATCAGCAGCAGCACAGCTCGTGCAAGCAAATGCTTCACAGCCAGCATCTGCAGTGCAAGCAGCACCACTTACAGAGCACTCGAGAACAGGAGCTGCAGCAAATGTAGCGGCAGACGCAACAGACATAGCAGCAGCCCGTGGTGTGACCAACCCACCAGAAGCTCTCAACTCGGGAACTGCTGGTAGAGCTAGTGCCTCTTCTCGTGTTAAGCCTGCTACTTCTTCTGCTGCCGTCGGTGCTCCTTCTGCCCCTCCATCTCTTCCTCCTCCTAGTACTCTTCCCGCCACTGCTCCTGCTGCTGCCGCCCCTCTGCCTGCTGCTGCTACAGCTGCAGCAGCAGAAGCAGAGGTGGCGAGGGGAGAGGCAGTGGAGAAGGGAAGGAAGGGCGCAAAGGGAGGGCTGGTTGCGAGATTGGCTGCCCAGTTGGAAGCAGCCGCCGCTGCTGAGGCCGCCGCTGCTGCTGCTGCTGCCGCTGCCGCTGGTGGTGCTGCTGTTGGTGCCGCGGCTACTGCTGCTGGCACTGGTGCCGGAGGGGTGCGTGGGAAATGGGTGGCTGCTGTTGTGGCCTCTGCCAAAGCAGCTGACGCTGAGTCTGCCAAGGCTGGTGCGGGGGCAGAGGAGAACGGGGCAAACGCTGCTGCAGGAGAGGCGGCAGGCGATGCAGGGAAGGTAGCGAGTGCAGCAACACAAGGGGAGGACGCAGTAGTATCGAAGGAGGAACCAGTGATTGAAGAAAAGCCGGTTGTTGACCCTGGACCGCCTCCCCCTCCTCCCCGATCTCAGCTGCTAGAAAGTTTCGAACAGCGCTGCCCGCCGGGCGGGTCGGACGCAGTGGTGGTGTATACCACCACGCTTCGGGCAGTGAGGAAAACTTTTGAGGACTGCGTCAAAGTGAAGAACGTGCTGCAGGTACGATGAGTGGCTTGTTTGTGTTCTATCCCGTACCGTGTGCCATGTGGCATGTGCAATGTGCCAACTGACATGTGTCATATGTGCCATGTGCTACTCGAATAATTCTATACTCCTTCTCACCACCCCTCTCCCGGCAGGCTCTGCGTGTGCTGTACGAGGAGTGAGACGTCTCCATACGTGTCGCTTCTGAGATGTTTCTCAACCGAATCATATGCCTTCTCTCCATACCTTCCTTGGCAGGCTCTGCGAGTGGTGTACGAGGAGTGAGACGTCTCCATACGCGTCTCGTACCGCCAGGAGCTGAAACCGCTCAGCAGCCTGCGCCACGTGCCACTTGCCATACCCACCCATACGCCTCTCCGTGCCCACCCTTCTCCCTGCAGGCTCTCCGTGTGGTGTACGAGGAGAGAGACGGCTTTGTACGCATACAACTTCTGAGCTTTTTCTCAACTGATTCATACGCCTTCTCTCCATACCTTCCCCTGCAGGCACTACGAGTGGTGTACGAGGAAAGAGACATCTCCATGCGTGTCTCGTACAGGCAAGAGCTCAAAACGCTCATGGCACCCGGCGCAGCAACCCCTGCAGCAGCAGCCGCCGCCAGCTCCGTTCCACGCCTCTTCATCTGCGGGCGTTACATCGGCGATGCGGATACTGTGCTCCAGATGTACGATGATTACTTTCTTGCGGAGTTGATCGAAGGGTTGCCGACCACTGATGATGATGCGGGGAAGACGGGGTGTGGGACGTGCGGGGGTAGCAAGGTGGTTACGTGCCGGCAGTGCGGTGGTAACCACAAGGTGGTTACGAGTTACGGCATGCGGATATGCTCGCATTGTGATGACACTGGGCATGTTCCGTGCCACACTTGCGGAGGTGGGTAAGTGGGTGTTGGGAGTGTGGATGGTTTTTGGTGAAAGTAGGATATGAAACCTACATGTAGAGTGTTTTGACACTATAGGTCACAACTTGGCTTGTATGTACAGGTATAGGAATTAGTGACAGTAGTTTGGTTTGGTTTGGAGGCCCATGGTTTGTAGTGTGACACTAAAATGGTATTTTTTCCACTAGCAACAGGAAAGTACATCACCTTGTAACACCACTACTGTATCCTACCTTGCCTATGTTCTCTATTGCTGGCACAAGCAATTCCTACAGTATGGCAAGAAGGGGGAGAGGCAGCTACAGTAACAGCAAGGCGAGGAGGAAGGAACCAGGAGGGGAACAAAGCAGAAGGGGAACTAAGCAGTTGAAGGAGGGGAACCTGTTGGGTCAGCTAAATTTCAGCCCAACAGGAACAGAGGGGGGCAAAACAGCAGGAAAGCAACTGGCAACACAAGAGAAACAAAGAAAGATAGGCAATGCAGGTAGGCTTGCCAGGCCTACAGAGAAGCACAGAAGAGCAGAGGGCTGACAGTTGATAAACCCCCTCTCAGCATTCTCTCAACACTGACCTAGTGATTGCGGCTCTGGCCGCGCTTATTTCACCTAGACCTAGGATTGGTATGTCCGCCCTAAACCCTGATCACCTTGCACGACGAGGAGTCGTGCATGCACCTAACGTACTGCTTCATGGGACTTGATATCTGCTTTCCGGAACCAACTCATTCATGATGGCGTAATGTCACAATGGGCTGGTGATGATCGCCCAGCACAGAATGGGAAAGCCTCTTGGCCAACCAATCACAGCAGGTCGGATGGCAGCTGCCCTTCTGAGAGGTTTGAGCTGCCTGCACTCTTGGCCCCGCTGCTGCCACCGCCCTCAGCAGCATGAGGCGCCTTAAAAATGCGGTTATAGAGACAACTTTCGAGGTGCCTCAAAAGCGATTACAGCAGGTCGGATGGCAGCTGCACTGTTCCTGGGAGGTTCGAGCTGCCGCCACCCTTGGCCCCGCTGCTGCCACTGCCAGCAGCGGCATTGCTGCTTCCCCACTGCCTGCCCTCAAACACCCATGCCAATCACAGCAGGTCGGATGGCAGCTGTCCTGCTTCTGAGAGGTTCGAGCTGCCTGCACTCTTGGCCCCACCGCTGCTGCTGCTGCCAGCAGCGGCATTGCTGCTTCCCCACTGCCCACTACCCTCCCAGCCTGCACTGCCGTTGCTGCGATTGGCCGCAGCGTTGCCCCCGTCGTTACTTGCAGGACTGTTGCTGCTGGGCGCTGCAGGGAGGGATCAGGGAGGAGCGGGGAGGAGAGGAAAGGGAAGGGAAACAGGCGTGAGATCGCTGCTGAGGCAGCACCTGCTTTGCTGATGGTGGGGCACAGGGCGCGAGGAAAGAGAGGAACCTCACAGAGCGAGTGAGGGAGTGAGAGAGTGAAAGCAAGGGCAAGAAGTGGGACTCACCAGAGGGGGAAAATCCGGCCTGCTTCATCCAGAGGGACCAGCGCGCAGCTTCCAGGAATTCACCGGCCCTCTCAAAAGCAGAGACCAGGTTCTGGTAAGTGACTTGATCCGGAAGCAGCCCCTGGCATGCATGTGCTGCACCATGCTCACTGACGCCCATGGCATGCCAGCTACAGAGGGAATGAGAGAGTGAAGGTGTGAGGACAGGACTTACCAGAGGGGGAGAATCCGGCCTGCTTCATCCACAGCGACCATCTTGCAGCTTCCAAGAAGTCACCGGCTCTCTCAAACGCTGACACCAAATTCTGGTACGTGACTTGGTCCGGCAGCAGCCCCTCGGCATGCATGTGCTGCACCATGCTCACTGACGCCCATGGCATGCCCGCATCCCCATAGGCGCCGATGAGGATGTTGTACGAGTACACGTCGGGGCGGAGGCCACTGCGGCGCATGCGCGCTAGTGCGTCCTCCATTTCCGGGATCATTCCCGCCATGCCGTAGGCATGGATCACTATGTTGAAACTGAGAGATGGGGAGGCAGGAACAGGGGGGTGTCGTGAAGGGAACAGGCAGGGGCACACAGAGGGGAGGGGGTTGTGAGTAGAGGGCTAGTGCATGGCATGCCGGCATCCCCATAGGCGCCAATGAGGATGTTGTACGAATAAACGTCGGGGCGGAGGCCACTGCGGCGCATGCGAGCTAGTGCGTCCTCCATCTCCGGGATCATGCCCGCCATGCCGTAGGCGTGGATCACTATGTTGAAACTGAGACAGGGGGGAGGAGCAGGGGGTTAGCAGGGGCAAAGGGCAGGAGCAGGGGGGAAACAAGAAGGTGAAGGGGTTGTGGGTAGAGAGCTAGTTCACGGAGGGGGAGCAAGGGCATCCCCATAGGCGCCGATGAGAATGTTGTACGAGTACACGTCGGGGCGGAGACCACTGTGGCGCATGCGAGCTAGTGCGTCCTCGATCTCCGGGAACATGCCCGCCATGCCGTAGGCGTGGATCACTATGTTGAAACTGAGAGATGGGCGGGTAAAGAAGGGCATGAGACAACCAGGAGGTGGGGCAGGGGGGAGAAGGGAAAGAGGAAACTCAGAGGAGTCAGGCAGGGAGTGTCACAAGCCAGAGAGGGAGAGGGGGAACCACAAAGGGGATAGAACACAATGAATCCACGTGCATGGTCCAGTTTACCCCGACATACCTCGTGTGGTTGGGCACAAAGTCAAAGGAGCGGATGCGCGCCAGGCACGTCTCCATATTCGCCAGCAGCCCCGCCTTGCCATACGCGTCCATGCAAGCATTGAGCAGCGGCAGCGACACCATCCGTCTCGCCGCAGCGTCCCCCAGCACGCCCTCCATGCGATCTAACTCCCTCCGCCGCCCAAACGCATGCGCCATAGTGCAGTACATGAACGCGTCCTCCTCGCCCGCTGCCCTCGCCTCCTCAAACAGTTCACTGGCGTCGGCCGTGCGGCCAGCCTTGACCAAAAGGGAGAGGACGAGGTTGCGCGTGACAAGGTTGGGGCGGTAGCCGCTGCGCCGCATGGCGCGCAGCAGGCGGAGGGTCTCGTCCACTGGGAGGTCGTTGCCACAGGCGTTGATCACTGTGTTGTAGGCGATCTGGGGAGGGGGGTTGGGAGAACAGCAGAAGCATTGCAGGATAAGACATGCAAGACACCTTGTGGAGTTAGTTGGTGTAATGTTGATGAATCCCCTTGCACCTGAGGTTCTTCTCCCCAGGCCAAAAACTAGTCAGGAAAATGAGACAACCAAAGAGAACATCAACTGGGAGAACAAACAAACGAAAAGGCAAGGGAGATGCCCCCTCGTCGAGACAGACAAACAAACAAACAAGTCAAGGGAGTTGCTATGACAAACTCACCTCATCGAGATGGCAGCCCCCTCGCTCCATGGCTCGGAAGGCAGCAACGGCCTCCTTGCCCCGGCCATCCTTGGAGAGGGCTTTGAGCAGCACTGTGTGTGAGCGCGTGTTGGGCGTCACCCCTGCTGCCTGCATGCGCGTGAACACTGCCTGGGCTCTGCTAGACTGCCCCGCCTTGGCGTACACGTTCAGCAGCGTGTTGAAACACACCTGGCCAGGTAGAGTGGGTAGTGGCAGGTGGGGTGGGGCAGGGTGGGGTTGGGTCGGAGACGGTGAGGATGAAGTCGTGATCACTTACGCATTAGCACTATTGGGCTGGTTGCATTCATAAGCAATGTGTGAACAAGCACCCCACTCACGATATTCACGGGAGTGCCAGCCGCTTCAGCCTCTTCCAGCGCGCGTTCCGCGCCCTGCACGTTGCCGAGCTCGCCCATCACCTCCATCGCCAGGCATATACACACACTCGCACGCACGCACAGACACAATATCATCCACTCACAATGTCCACAGGCGTGCCAGCAGCTTCAGCCTCCTCCAGAGCCCTCTCAGCGCCCTGCACGTTGCCGAGCTCGCCCATCACCTCCATCGCCAGGCATATACACACACACCCACAATCCCAGATAAACTCACAATATCCACGGGAGTCCCAGCTGCCTCCGCCTCCTCCAGAGCGCGCTCAGCGCCCTGCACGTTGCCGAGCTCGCCCATCACCTCCATCGCCAGGCTCAGCGTCTGCTGCTGCGGCTTCACGCCCGCCGCCCGCATGCGCTCGTACACCCGCGCCGCCTCCTGGAAGTTCCTCTGCCGCTTGCACTGCAGAATGCGCGAGAACCACGAGTATTCCGATTGGGCAGGCGCCGACGAGCCTCCGCGTTCTCCTCCTCCCGCTCCCCCTCCCCCGCTTCCGTTTCCGCCTCCGCCCCCTTGCACCCATCCGTTTCTTCCGCCATTGCCTTCCCGCCATTGCTGTCCTCCCCGCCCCTTCATTCCCCCTCCGCCCGTTCCGCCCACTCTGTTCCCCGCGGCCCCTTGCGGAGCCTGCACCTGCCATGCACCCGTTCCCCTTGATTTCTCCCCGCCCCTATCAAACCCTACTGCCCCCACACCCGCCCTTGTCCCTGCGCCTGCTTCTTCCCAGGACGCGTCCGCTGCCTGCGCGGACTGCAATTGGGGGGAAGGCGGGGAGGAGCGGAGGGACGACTGGGCGGCGGGCGCGGAGAGGAGGTTGCGGAGGAGGGCGGGATCAGGGCGCCAGCCCAGCAGGCGCATTTCCGCCACCACTGCCGCCACAGCCGCCGCCGTTGCCGCTGCTGCTTGCGCTACTGCTGCCGTCGTCCCATCCGGTTCCCCTCTCGCTTCCGCCTTCGGCTCCCCCGCGTGCACAGAAGGCTCTAATGTGCCGCTGTTGCTGCCGCTGCTGCTGGTGCTACTAATGGAGCGCGCACAGATATCCTCGCTACTAGCACTGCTGCTAATGTCACTCCCGTCGTCGCTCCCGCTGCTGCTTCCTTCTATGCTGACGTGGCTGCCGCTGCTCGTGACACAGCTGCTACCGCCATTGCTGCTACCACCGCCCGCCTCATCCTCGAGTCTCTTCCCTATCTGCTGCTTTCCGCCGCTCGCGCCTCCCGCGCTCTGTTGCGCGGCGACGGCGGCGGCGGTGGCCTTGCGCTGCGCCACAGTGCACCCCTTCACCGCCTCCACGAACAGGCTCTGCTCCGCTTGCGCCTTGCGCGCGCGCATGTCGCGCAGCACGCGCGCCATGTCATCCAGACGGCCCAGCCGCCCGTACATGCTGACTAGGCTCGTGTACACCGAAGGGGGCACGCGCTGCGAGGGAGACGCGCCGGATCCGGCGGCGCCGCTGGCGGCGGGAGAGGCGGACGTCCCCTCCGTCATCTCGCGGACTAGTTCCTCCACGTCATCAGCTCTTAACGCGCGCGCGAGGGAGCCGATTAAGGTGGAGTAAGCCTTGCCGTCCGGCGCGACTCCCGCGGCCTTCATTTCGCGGAACATCCGCAGCGCGTCGTCAAGACGGCCGGCGCGGCCGTACAGTGACATCATCATCGTGAAGGCGACGGCAGAGGGGGCGGCGTCGGCGGCTGCACTTGCAGCAGCACCAGCAGCGTGACTCGCGGCGGTCATTTCGGCCCAGATGGCCTCAGCGGCGACCACGTCAGCAACGCGCATGGCGGCGCCGAGTGCGGTGGTGAGCGTGTACGCGTCCAAGGGCACGTCGAGTGCGCGCATGCGCTCAACCAATGAGAGCAGCTCGTGCGAGCGGCACGCGCGCTGGAGCATGGTGATCAGACACGTGAACGGCAAAGGATCCCTGAGATAGAAAACGGTGGGGAGGGATGGAGACGGACGAATGGATTTACAGAGGGTTACAGGCAATGAGCAGAGCAGCGAAAGGGTTACGGAGGGCGGAAGCATCCCATTATCTACCGCGCCTCGCGACTAATCATCCCGCACCACCCACTACCCCTCGAGATCTCCGAAACATACCTCCAACCGGCAGCCGCGACTGCGTCCAATGCGCGAGACGCGAGCCCCAAGAGGTGCCGCCCCTCGCGCTGCCAATTGTCCTGCTCTGCCGGGCCGCCCGCCTTCTGAAGCGCGGCGAACAGACTGCGCACAGCGACCGTGGTGGGAGGATCTGCTGACGTGGCGGTGGAGCTCGGTCGTTCGGATAGAGAGAGCGGTGAGAGCGGCTCGAACTGTGTCCCGTCAGCGACGGCCTGTTCCAACACATCAACGGCTGTCGTCAGCTGCCCGCGGCGTACCAGCTCTGCCATGACGTCATGCCACATCAGGTCGGGCTGCTGCTGACGTGCCGTCGGAGCTGGCTCTGACAGACGCGTGCGATAGAACGGCGGCGGCGTCGAACGCGACGAAAGCGCAGGCGATAGCGATGGCGACAGGGATGACGATCGTATGTGCGACAGGGAAGGGCCGAGCGAAGGGGAGAGAGACGGCGACGGAGGAGGCTCGGGATGGGGCTGGTAATTTTGCCGCATTGACAACGGAAGCTGGTGCTGCTGCTGGTGGTGCGCGTTCGATGGTGAAGGCGGGTACATGCTTCGCGACGACCAAACGCCATACACCGGCTGCGACGTCTGCGACAGCGATTGCGACTGCTGGACGACAGACTGCTGCTGCTGCTGACGATCAACCCCCCACGGCTGCCAGCCCTCGGGATCCAGACCTCCCAACTGAAGTGGCGGAGGCTGCGGCGGCGACGCCGGGCTGATAGTGCTGCTGCCGCTGCTGCTGCTCTTGCGGTCTTACCTGGCCCCACTGCCACGTGTCGTGCTCCAAGCCGTAGTCCACTCCGTTGCCGAGCCCGTAAGCAGGCAATTTCCCCGACAAACCAACGGTCACTTCCCCGACCGCCATGGCGTTTCCCCTTCCCCTGTCAGCAGATGTTCCTTTCCTGCTAGCTCTGCTACTCCTGCTGTTTCTCCTGCTGCGTCTGCTGCGTCTGCTTCCGTTGCTGCTGCTGTCCTCCTGACTGTCACCGCCGCCTTTCACGTCATAAGAGCGGGCCACTGTTGTGACACGTGCGCTGCTGTTCAGGGCAGTTACGGAAACGACACGTGGCGCAGAAAGACCAGCGGAGAGATTCACTAGCGTTGCCAGTGGAGCCTGTTGGGAGTGGGACAGTTGGATATGGGATTTAGAGATGTGGAATTCAGATCTCGCTGCAAGTATCCACCTGGCGAAAGAAAAGACTCGCGAGATTTAGAGAGAAAACAAAACGCATGTTGAGAAAGCAGAACTCCGAAATGTCGTCCGCAAAACCCGCCTTGAACCGCAACTCACGCTGTTCCGGAGTCCTGGAGCAGCAGCCATCTTCACGGACAAGGAAAATCAAAGGCACTCCCCTAAGTCCTTCACACGACAGATGAATTAAAAGCGGAGTAAGCGGAGAGGTTGCCGCGCGGATGAAAGAACAGGGCTAACTCGGTCTCTAGGGTCCTACTGATGTTTAGGGTGTTTGTCTGAGAACCCCAGCCCGTGATATCAGAAACACTTTTTACCTTGATCTGATGAGTGCTTCGTTCCAGTTGTGCAAGCTTGGTTGGCTCAACCTAGAGATTGTGCCCCTCGAGATTGCCACTTTTCTGTCAGCTCCTGGTTGCTCCTCACTTGTGCGATTGAAGCTGTGTGTTCACAAATCTCCTGCGATTATCTCGATGTGGGAATGACTACTATCTGACGTCTGTGCGACAGGTTTGGAAGGTAGAGAATTCGAAACAGAATGTGCCCCTCGAGGTTTGGTGGGTGGTGGATGTCGCTCCGTCAGCTTCGTTAGCATGCGATTGCCCCTTCTGTAATGGGCTCCAACCTCCAAGCCGCTGGCGCATGTGCGATCCATCGCAGATGATCCAAAGGACACTGTGATTGTGTGGCGAAAAATGTTGTGTCGCAGCGCTCACCCACTTCAGGCGGTGCGGTTGACATCGACGACAGTGAGTCGTCTTGCGGCAATCGAACAGTCGCAGAAGGTTTCTCTTGAAGGTATGTTCCTGTGAATGCGACAGATGTTAGCTGGCTGGCTCGTCGTTCAAGCCGAAACCAGGCAGCAGCCATCCTTTGGGGTGGTCGTTGGGTTGGGGGGCATTTGTCGTCCTGGTGTAGTGGGATTACGCGGTTGAGCACGCTGCGACTTTCGCCACGTCAGCAACCATTCACCATTAGCACAGCAACAGTTTTATGCGACACGGATGCGAAGACTCGCGGGTCGCCCTCACGTCCAAGCATGAACCGCTGAAACGAAATCGTAGTACGGGGAGGTGCGTGTGGCGAGTGGGATAATAAGACCCGCGGCATTATCGGTGAACGCAGTCCCAGCAGCCCGAGTCTATTCTAATTCGGTTGCGTGTACACATCTTCGTGTTTTCTGGAATGCTAAATAACAAATAGGAGGCACCAACCAAGGGGTTCATCCAAGCCCCATATATAGCACTTGTTGTCAGGGCCCACGATATCAGGGCAAAACATCCTGATTACCCTGATTTCAGGATGGTGTTTTAAGTTTGCCCTGGAATTTCAGAATGACGCTGAAATTTACCCTGCAACGTCAGGATGATCCATGTGTTTTGCCCTGAAATTTCAGAATGGCAGTGAAATTTTGCCCTGAAGCGTTAGGGTGAATGTAGAGGGATGCCCTGACTCGTGGGAAGGGGAGAAGGGGTGGAGGGGGAGAGAGAGAGAGAGGGGAGGAAGGAGGCTGGGGGGGGTGTGTGTGTGCTAGTAGTTCTGTCCCCACCCCTCCCCCACCTAAGTTTTCGCCCAGCCAGCAGTGAAACCAGTGAGCAACCTGCTCCTTTCGTGCCTTCCCCTCCATCCTCTCCAGTCCCTTGTATTTTTTGCCCTGAATCATCCGGATGAATTTTTGCTGGTGCCCTGAAATTTCAGGATGGCCAGGGAATTTTGCCCTGGAAAATCAGGGCATTTAAGAAAATTTTCAAAAGTTACCCTGAAGGCTTAGGGTGCCCTAAATCCTAGCACAGGCCCTGCTTGTTGTCCATGCATATTTCTGCACCCTTCTTTCGAAAAACTGGAAAGGAACATTGTGGCCCGTTATTCAATTTGCTTTCCGCTACTGGCATGTGTTGGATTTGACATTTTGCGCGCATTATTGCGCTGCGGTGTGCTTTATTTGTATAAGTTAATTTTTTTTACAGCAGCTCCTTCACAACAATAACAACATCTGCAACAAACACGACACGAAGACGACGACGACAACAACAACAATGACGACGACGACGAAGACCACAACAACAACAGCAGAAGCAACAGCAGCAGCAGCTATTCAAGGGAATTATTAAATCAATTATTATAGTGGTTTAAATTGTCATAGATTATTGCATTGAAATTACATCCTGGGGAACGATTCACACCAGTTGGATTCTAGAAGCTCTCCTGACCCGATACAGAGCACACCTTGCAGGACCTTTTTCCAGCGTGCTATTTCCGTCACGTTTGCCGTCATTGATACCCCTGGTTGACGGAAAAGCAAAAGTGCCTTTTCTCGTTCAACTGTCGCTCGACCCCCCAACCCCAAGATCGCGTTCGCCCGTGATACTCGTGGTTCGGGCAACGGCCCAGATTATTCCACCTCTGACATACAAGGATATTATCTCTCGGGAACTCCGACCCGACGCTAGTATCGTGCTTGAACGCTTCTTTCCTCCTGAATTTCTCTTGAGGCAGGCCTACTTTGTGCTGCTTCTCTTTGCGTGCTTATCACGTCGCAGTACCTGATTTATTATCTTAGGTTTCTCTTATTGCGGTTTTAGCAGGTGGCTGAGCTCGACATGCGACAATCCGTTACCCTTCCTCGCCATATCCTTCATCCATTAAGTCACCTTGACACTGCTTTTGACCTTGTTAACTTGTTTTATTGCGAACAACAAAGATTGAGTAATCGTTTATACCTTAAAACGAGAGAGCCACAAACGATGGCACATCGAGCTTCCTCCGCCTCTTCCGGCGCGGGAGAACCGCGAGTCTGGGCTCCCAGGCGAAGCCAGCGATTAGATCAACGGCCAGGATTCGCATCAGCCGCTGCTGCTGCCCCCTCTGCCGCCGGTCGTAGCTCTAACGTTCGTCCAGTTAGGCCGAGCGGGTCTCCCGCCGCAGCTCCCGCAGAGGGACACAGCGTTACGAGCCGCACCCCGGCGCAATACCGCCGTTCCTTAGCGGAGATCGCGGCGGCGTCGTCTTGCGGCAGCCGGCCCGCTCCCGGCGGAATGACGGCGGTGGTGGGCGAAGCGAGCCTCACGGCGCAAGTCGCGGACAACCTCACGCTGCCGCCTCACGGCGTCGCGTCTGCCGCTTCCTCCTTAAACGGCGGGGATGGCGGCGGAAGCGCCGCTGGCGCAACCAGGGAAGCGGGGGGCGGCGGAGGCGGGGGGACGTGGGGGGTGCAGCACCATGCGGGGGTGGGCACCGCGGCTGTTGATTGGCCGGCTATCGCGAGCGCGTCGCACGAATTCGTAGATGGCGCGGCGGCGTCGGAGTCGTCTGAAGTGCCTGTGGCGAGAGATATGGAGTCCGGGAAAGAGGGAGGGGATCCCCATTGGGTCGACGGTCACAGGCACCACCAGCAACAGCAGCAGCAGCAGCAGCAGATGATGGAACAGCAGCAGCATCCTCAGCAGCAGCAGGAGCAGCAGGCGACGCCAGCACCGGCAACAGCGGCGGTTTCGTTGCAACACATGCAGCAGCACGAGCAGCAGCAGCAGCAGTTTCTGCAGCACCAGCAATCCGTTTTAGCGCAGCCGCCGCTACTGCCGCCGTCGCAGCCACAGCCGCAGCCGCAGCTGGTGCAGGCGCAGCAATTGCAGCAGCTGGCGCCACAGCCGCAGCAGCTTGTTTCTTTAGGCGCCCGACAATCCAACGCAGACGATCACAATCACAATCACCACCAGCATAATCATCATCCTCATCATCACCAGCAGCAGCAGTTGCCGTTGCAGGCGCAACAGGCGCCGCGGCACCCAGTCCCGATGGCGGACGATCAAGCCTCTGTCGACAGCCACGAGGAGAGTTTTGCGCAGATCGCGCCGCCCGTCGCGCGCGCGCAGGTCTCGCAGTCCAACTCCTTCGTCGACGGCCGGCGCGGCGGGGGCTGGGGCGCGGGGGGCCGCGGAGTCGAGTTCCGCGGGCAGGTGCAGACGCGCTCGGCGCGCAGTGGCCGCGGACGCGGAAGCACGGGCGGACAGGGCGGAGTTGCGCTCAGCGGCGTCGGCGCGGTGGGGGAAGGCGGCGCAGGGCCTGGCGGAGCGGGAGTATGGGGGACAGCCGCGGAGGGGGATGGCAGCCGCGCGGGGTACTGGGCGGGGGCGCCGGGTGAGGGCGTAGGGGGAGCCGGGGAGCGGGGCGCGGGGGCGTTTTCCGCCATGGGCATCCCCGCGCCTGCTGCGTCCGTGCAGAGCCAGGGGTCTTCGTTAGGTAGCGGGCATGACGCGGGGGGAGGCGCGGGCGCGGGCGCGCACAAGAGGCAGCGGGGGAGGCGATCCGCGCATGCGCCCGCGATGGCGGAGGTGCACATGGCGGCGGATCCGGGCGGGCGATTCGGAGATTCTGATGAGGTGTCGATTGGCAGCATGAACGCGTGTAGCAGCGGCGCCAGAAGCGGTGGAGGCGGTGGCGCTAGGAGCGGGGGGGGCAGCGCGGGGGGAGCAGTGGGCGGAAGAGAAGGCGCGGGGGGAGTTGGGGGAAGGGATGAAGAGGAGATGGGGGGTGAAGCTGCCTCAGGGGCGGGGCGAGGGGGACGCGGAGGGGGGAGTGGGCGGGGGAGGAGAGGGGGAGGGGGAAGCAGGCAGGCGCAGGGGTCGCAGACAGGGGGAAAGGGGCAGGAGGATCGCGAGATAGATGCGCTGGGACGCTGCATGTAAGCCAGGAATCGCATCCCATGTCCTGTTTTGAAAGCCGCCTCACTCCCTCTCTCCTCATTCCTTCCCCAACTCACCCACCCGCTCCTCCCTTCACTCCTTCCCCCTCCCACATCGCTCCCTCCCCACGTCACTACTCCTCACTCCATCCCCTCCTTTCTCAGTGTGATCCTGTCTGTCTCTGTCTGTGTGTGTGCTTGTGCGCCCAGGACCAAGATCCTGCAGCACCAGACGAGTTGGACTTTAAGTCCGCTAGAAAATCCCCTCTTCTCTTTGTGCCATTCCGTCTGTCTGTGTGTGCCTGTGTGTCTGCCTGTGCGCGTGCGCCCAGGACCAAGATCCTGCGGCATCAGGCAAGCCAGCTGGGGTTACACGTGGCGCCAGATGGCTTCGTGCGAGTGGCGGATCTGCTGCTGCTGCCAGTCAACACCAATGCCCACCGCCCCCTCGCCTCCCACACCTTAGAGGACGTGCGCCTGGTACGTGCCTGCCTCACTCACTCACTAAGTGTGCGCCTCACTCACTGGGTGCGCTTGGTAAGGGGCTGCCTCACTCACTAAGTATGCGAGTGGCGATCTGCTGCAGCTGCCAGTCAACACCACGCCCACCGCCCCCTCGCTTCCCACACGCTCGAGGACGTGCGCCAGGTATGGGGTGGCTCACTGGGTGTGCTGTAATGTATGTGCGCAAGGGTACAGGGCAGAGTCGTTGTGTGTGCGCTGGGTACGGGGCATGCTCTGTTTCTCATGCCTTCCGACTTTCCCCATGGTCTGTCGAGATAAGTTCGTACGCCCCTCAACCACTCGCCCCGTTGTCTTGGTCCGTCCCTCAGGCCGTAGCATGGGACAACAAGCAGCGCTTCACGCTGCGGGAGGGGCCGGGCGGTGAGGTATACGTGCGGGCGAACCAGGGCCATTCACTGCACGTGGACGAGGAGCAGCTGCTGCGCCGCATCACCGACCCTGCTGTTCTGCCAGGTAACTTATGATCTGAATAGACTTGTAGTCCACATTCGCCGCACCTGGACGAGGAGCAGCTGCTGCGCCGCATCACCGACCCTGCTGTTCTGCCAGGTAACTTATGATCTGAATAGACTCGTAGTCCACATTCGCCGCACCTGGACGAGGAGCAGCTGCTGCGCCGCATCACCGACCCTGCTGTTCTGCCAGGTAACTTATGATCTGAATAGACTCGTAGTCCACATTCGCCGCACCTGGACGAGGAGCAGCTGCTGCGCCGCATCACCGAACCTGCTGTTCTGCCAGGTAACTTATGATCTGAATAGACTCGTAGTCCACATTCGCCGCACCTGGATGAGGAGCAGCTGCTGTGGCGCATCACCGCCCTGCTGCCCTGCCAGGTATGATTCAAGAGGACTTCAAAGCCTTAGAGTGTGTGTTTCACGGCACGTGCTGCACGAGTGCCACCTGCTGTTCATACTGCATTTGGGATGGCGCACCCGTATATCCGCCTGACCTCTCCAGCCCAAACCCCCTTGCCCCCCTTCCCTGTCCCGACCAGAGTGTGTGCACGGCACGTACGAGCGCCACCTGCCATCCATTCTAGCATCGGGGCTGTGTCGGCTGAACCGGCAGCGCGTGGGTGCATGGACTAAAAATTCCTCGTCTTTCCCGGTTGCCCCTCCCCCCCTACCCGTCCACCAGAGTGTGTGCACGGCACGTACGAGCGCCACCTGCCATCCATTCTAGCATCGGGGCTGTGTCGGCTGAACCGGCAGCGCGTGGGTGCATGGACTAAAAATTCCTCGTCTTTCCCGGTTGCCCCTCCCCCCCTACCCGTCCACCAGAGTGTGTGCACGGCACGTACGAGCGCCACCTGCCATCCATTCTAGTGTCGGGGCTGAGTCGCATGAACCGGCAGCATGTGCATCTCACCAAGGGGGTGCCCTCTCAGCATCACACCGTTGTCAGCGGTACGCTGCTCTCCTCCCGATCTCCTTTCCCTATTCCTCAGCATCCCTGTGCACACCTCAGCACCCCTCACTGCGCTTCAGCACCTCGCATGTTAGCCCAGGTTTCAGCACCTCACCTGCCGTTGTCCTCCTCGCCCTGCTTCTTCCCACGCACCCCTCACCCCTCGCCCCTCTACTGCAGGCTTCCGTTCAAACGCAGAGGTGCTAGTGGTGGTGGATGTGGCTCGCGCCATGGCAGGTGGGTCCTTTCCCGCATGGAAGTGTGGTATGGGGGAGTGTGGCGATAGGTGGGTGTGAACACTTAGGATGAGCATGGGCAGAGGTGCTAGTGGTGGTGGATGTGCCTCGCGCCATGGCAGGTGGGGTGTTGTGTTACCCTTGTGTGGGTTATGGTAAGAGAAGGGCGTGTGTCATGTGGCAAGTTGCAGGTCTTTGAGTCGACTCAAAGAGACCGTTCAAACGCAGAGGTGCTAGTGGTGGTGGATGTGGCTCGCGCCATGGCAGGTGGGCCGTTGTTGCACTTCCTGCGTGGAAGTGTGTTAGGAGGGAGTGTTGGTGGGGAGGTGGGTGTGGTACTTAAGATGGGCTTCCGTTCAAACGCAGAGGTACTGGTCGTGGTGGACGTGGCTCGTGCCATGGCCGACATGTAACTGTGGTAGGGGGGAGTGTGGTAAGGGGGAGTGTGGTAAGGGGGAGTGTGGTGAGAGGTGGGTGTGGGATGGGTATGACCGTAGGTGCTAGTCGTCGTGGACGTGGCTCGTGCTATGGCTGGTGGGTGGCATGCGGCATGGCGCATGGCATGTGGTATGGCGCATGGCATGTGGCATGGCGCATGGCATGTGGTATGGCGCATGGCATGTGGTATGGCGCATGGCATGTGGTATGTGGCATGTGGTATGTGACATTGGTGGCATGTGGTATGTGACATTGGTGGCATGTGGTATGTGACATTGGTGGCATGTGGTATGTGACATTGGTGGCATGTGGTATGTGGCATGTGGCATGTGACATTTGTGCAATTCCCACTTCCACCATACACAGCGGCATCCCTTCACGTGCCTTTCCCCCCGTCCTCCTCCTCTTTTCCCCTCCACTCCCCTTCCCCTCCACCTCCCCTCCCCCTCTCCCCCAGACGGTATGCCATTCTTTGAGTCAGACAACGGGGTCATCCTCACATCAGGCTTCCACGGCTACATCCCCCCATCCTACTTCTTCTCCATCCTCAAATGGCCTTCGCTCCTTCCCCACCCCCTCTCCCCTCCTCCTCCTCCCCGTCCCCCCCATCCCCCTCCACCCACCCTCACTCCCGTCCCCCCTGCTGCCTCCGCTGCTACTTGTGCGGGGGAGGCAGCTGGGCCGTGTTTAGACCTGAATTTAGGGGGGTTTGCTGGGTTTGGACCGAATGTTTTGGAGGAAGAGTTTACGCCCGTGCCTCCTGCTGCGTCGGCGGCTGTGTGTGTGGGGGAGGCGAGTGTGAGGAGTGACGGGGGCGGCATGGGGGATGGGAGGGGGGCGAGTGTGAGGAGCGATGGGGGGGGTATGGGGGATGAGGGGGTGGGTGGGACGGCGGAGTCTGGGAGAGGAGAGGTGGGTGGGTCGAACGAGGATGAGGAGATGGTGGGATGATGGAGGGAGGATGTGAGGAAGATGGTTGGGGGATGAAGGATGAAGTGACGGGGGGGGGCATGGGGGATGAGGGAGGGGCTGGGACAGCGGAGTCGGGGAGAGGGGAGGTGGGCGGGTCGAACGAGGATGAGGAGATGGTGGGGTGATGGAGGGAGGAGGTGAGGTCATGGTGTGGTGGAAAAGGAAGGTAAGGTGATGGTGGGATGATGGAGGGAGGGGATGGGGCGGCGGATGGGGGATGAATGAGGGAGCGATGGGGAGGACATGGGGGATGGGAGGGGGTGAGGAGCGATGGGGGGGGGGGGGCGGGGATGAGGGGGTGGGTGGGACGGCGGGGTGGGGGGCATGAGGAGATGGTGGGATGGAGGGAGGAGGTGAGGTCATGGTGGACGAGAAAGGTAAGGTTATGGTGGGATGTTATGACGATGGTGGGATGTTGTGATGATGGTGGGATGTTGTGATGATGGTGGGATGTTGTGATGATGGTGGGATGAGGAGGAAAGGAGGGATGGTCACAGTGGGACTAAAGAGTGATGGTGGATGTAGGACTAACAGGAGGTAACAGGAGGGGATGAGATGGGATGGGAAGGGCTGGCTCGAGAGAGGACAGCATCTAGGTAGCTCGTTTCTGCTAACCTAGCCGGAGCTCTTTTTATGGCGAAGCTAAATATAAGGATGCTCGCCTAATGAACCTGTACAATAATGACATTAGTTTCTCTAAGTATTGCGATATACTCTGTTTTCTACAGTATTTCAGTGCATAATCTTGCTCCTAATCTCACTGTTGTTGGTACTGAATCGCCCTGGCAGAATACAGTGTACCAATGGGTATGGCCAACTCGTTAGGGTGACATGGAAAAGTAGGCAAGATAATTAATATGCCTTTGTACAAGCAAAGCATTCATATCCCAATATGACAATATAATACAAGCAGAAGAAACAAACAAAACTGTACAGTAGACCTCAACTAATCCAGGCAACCCACAGCCGATGCTTGGACGGACCACTAGGACACGCTAGATCGCCTTGGGATTGCCTTGGAATCTCCTTGGGATCGCCTTGGGATCACCTTGGGATCTCTTTGAAATGCTGGGACGCCTGGGATCAATGCTGCCTTGCCTTCTCTTGATACACACAGCCCTGCCATCAGCACCATTCGCCCAGGGCCCAATCCTCTTTATTCCCATCAACACCCCAATCCTCATCCACACATCATTCTTCTCTTCTGCTTCTCCCTGCTGCACCCTCCTGCTATCCGGACATCTCTCCTGCTCTTCCCAAATCTCCAGCTCCCACTCTCAAATCGAGTCATCCCGTCCCACTCCCCCCTCCTCCTGCCCCGCCCTCCTCAGCCTCTTCTCCCTCCCCACCCTCCTCTCCCTCCGCAATGCGCTCAATGCCCCCCAAAACCCTTCACTGCACCCACCATCCCTCTCCCTGTCTCTCCGCCTTTTCTCCCCAACGCCCTGCCTCTGCCTGCTGCCACTACCCACGTGGCTTGGCAAGCTCTCAGAATCAGGTGATTCCCCAGGTGATTTCGGGGTTTCAAATCGAGGGGACATGGGAGTTTCGGAAACGCCCTTGCTCGCAGCAACCCTCTGCGATTCCCCACCGCCCTGGCTTTGCTTGGTGATGCTGCCAGCATGGCTTAGGTTGCGCAGCAGAGGGAATGGAGGCAGGCACAGGTGCGGGCTGCCGAACCTGCTTGCCGAACCTGGGTTGCCGAGGCTGCAGGGAGCTGGTTTATCCTGATGCTCAGGCTTCCCCTGTTGCTGGTACTGCTGTTGGTGCTGCTTCTGCTGCTGCCGGTGCTGGTATAAGTCGAAAGGTGGTTGCACCCGTAACCTCTGCTGCTGCTGTTGCTGCTGCTGCTGCCTCTTGTGCTGCTGCAGCGGCTCTTCCTGCTTCACTCCCTCCAACCGCACCTGCTCACTCTTCACCACTCTGCGCGCTCCTTTCTTCTCGCCGCAATCCACCTTACCCTCCCGGCAATGATCCTTCTCCCCCGCCCTGCACCCCAAGCACAGGAAGCTCATGGGAGCAGGCGCAGCGTCGCCGATCCCAGTGCAGCGCGTGTGCTGCCACACGCCACACTCGTCGCACGCGATCATACGCTCGCCGTCGTCGTCCCGCGCGCCGCACACGCAGCGCACGGCCCACGTGTCGTTGCCGCCCTGGTAGCGCCACTCGCTGTGTGCGTCAAGGCTGGATACGGCGAGCATGAGAGAGGCGCCCGAGTCAAGCGAGCCAAACAGCACATCGTCCTCATCCAGGTCTGCCAGATCCTCAGGCAGAGCTGTGACCTGTGGGCATGGAGTTGTGGAGAGGGAGGAGAAGGTTGAGTTGAGTTTGCACCGCACGCACGGCCCACGTGTCGTTGCCGCCCTCGTAGCGCCACTCGCTGCGCGCGTCAAGGTTGGAAATGGCGAGCAGCAGAGCGGCACCCGAGTCGAGCGAACCAAAGAGCACATCGTCATCGTCCAAATCCTCAAGGTCCGTGGGCAAAGCAGTGACCTGCGGACAGCGGAAGGGAAAGGATAGGGACTAAGGCTTAGCCAACAAGGGGCGAATCTGAGCAGATGGTGCCAATTCAAGGCTAAGACTTGGCTAACTGGGTCCCATGGGATCAACGAGGCGAGGAGGGAAAGGCTAAGCACGACAGAATCAATTCTGGAACATAGCAACCCATCCCATAGGTCAGGCCCAGTCATGCACCGTACCTGCATGTGCCGAACCACAGGGTAGGTCTGGGCGAAGGCTTGGCAGGCAGCAGCCTTGAGATCCGCAACGGTTGCTTCGGGCGGCAGGATTATGAGCTCGGACGGCGGTATGGGCCAGTTGCGATTCGTGTCTGCATCCCGTGCATCGATGCTGGTGGGTGTGAGCAGGGGAGGAGAGAGAAGCGAAACAGGAGAAGTCGTATTTAGTGGGAATGGAATCGGGACGGTTTGCACGAGGAATCACCTGAACCACATAACATCTACGTTTTACAGGAAGTACCCCTCTCCCTAATTGTCCCTGCACAAGATAATACCTGCAGAGAACTCGAATCGCCCCATCCTCTTCTTCACTCGCTGCTGCTGCTGCTGCTGCTGCGCCATCGCCATCACCTCTCCACTCTCCTTCCTCTCCCACATCTCCACCTGCTGCCGCCGCAGCAGCTCGTGCTGCTTGCTCCCTGGTAAGCTCGCCCTTGTAGTCCTTAAAGAACTGCTTTGTATCGAGTATGGTTTGCACGGCGTCAGAGAAAGCAGACAGGGAGAATTCCGAGGAGGCAGCTTCTGCCTGACTCTCCCGCTGCTCCTGCTCCTGCTCCTGCTGTTGCTTGTGCTCCTGGTGGCGCTGCTGCTGGCGCTGCTGCAGCTTGTGTTGCGGGTGGCAGTGGCTGTGAGCGGATGTGACAGTAAAGAGCAGGTGCTTGTAGAGGAACTCCACGTCTCGAGTCACATCCGCCCTGGTGAAGGGCGCAGCAGTCAGCACAGCAGGACTCCCTGCGCCTGCCACCGCCGCTGCTGCCCCTGCTGCTGCCAAGGCTGCTGCTGATGCCACAGCCAGTGATGCTGCTGCCCCTGCCCCTGCCCCTGCCCCTGCCCCTGCCCCTGTTGCCATCTCATTTCCACGATTGTTGCCAGACAAGCAGGAGCTCCTGAAAGCAGGCTCAAAAGACCGCCTCTGATCTCCTCCTGAGCCTACAGCTCCGCCCAGAGTAAGAGGCGATACCATCCCCATCGGCACCTCTCCCTGCTGCCCCTCCAGTCCTCCTCTCCCCTGCTCTCGAACCACCCCCTCCCTCTCCACCCCCTCCCTCCCCTCTCCTCTCCCTCCCCCACCTCTCTCCCCACCCTCCCGCTGCAGCGGCTCTAAGCTAAACTCCAGCACTTTACTAAGCGGGTTAATCGCCCTCCGCACCACCACATCCCCCACCAGCCTATTCCCCAGCGATTTCAGCACAAAATCCAGCAACCCCGTGTCGCCGATCCTCTGCCGAGCCGCCTCCCGAACCTCGTGCCGAGGCAGCCAGGCGCCGGGGCGGAGGGAGAGGACGTCCACGATGACTTGCTGCGCCAGGTGGAGGCGTTTGGAGGACCAGCGGCACGAGGGGGAGTCGGCAGGCAGCGGGCTGATTATGATTGGCTCGTTACACACAAGCCGCCTTGGATACTCCCCTGCTGCTGCCGCTGTTGCTGCAGCTGTTGATGCTGGTGGTGGTGCTGTTGGTGTTGCTGCTCCTGGTGCTGCGGCTAAAGCGCTGCTGATGGAGCTGTCTAGGAACAGAAGCGTTCGCTTGCTCCTGGGAGTGACTGCACTGGGAGTGATAGTACCGGGTGTGATTGTAGAGGGGGTAGCGACGCTGGGAGATGGAGGGACGTCCATTTGTTGGAAGCTTATTGGTGGAGCCGGGGACGGCAGGGCCTGCTGCTGCTGCTGACGCAGCAGGCGCTGCTGCTGCTGACGTGGCGACAGCTCATCGGACAAGCAGGACGCGGAGCTGGGGCTCGGCTCGCCGGACAGCTGGCGGGCTGCCATTGGCTGCAGCGACGGGAAGAGTGGGGGGAGGGTGAGGGGCGGAGGGGGGGCGAGGAGGCGACGAGCGGAGAAGGAGAGGAGGGGAGAGCGGGAGGAGGCAAGAGAGGGGACAGCAGCGAGCGGCGCTACTGCTGCTGCAGCAGGAGTAGAGGGAGCAGTGGGAGGAGCAGCGGGAGGAGCAGGGGTAGTGGGAGTGAAGGGGAGTGGGAGAGAGGAGGGGTGGAGGAGGTGGGGGAAGTGGTGGTGCTGGTGGTGCAGAGGAAGGGGGAGGGAGGAGCGCAGGGCGAGGAGAGATGAGAAGAGGTGCTGCAGGGTGAGGTTGGGTGGAGCAGCATGTGGGCCGTGTGGCGCATGTGACGCATGTGGATGTTGTAGGTGAACCTCCTGTGAGCCCTTCCCAACCTCCTGTGATACGTGAGGCTGGGATTCAACCTCAGACTGGCCCTTCCCAACCACATGCGACTGGTACTTAGCAACCACCGCCGCCACGCGGGAAGCAATCCCCGTGTTGATGCCCTTCAGGTGCTGCAGCAGCGGGAGCAGGCGTGTGCCGGCCACACGCGCCACAGCCCGGCTGTAGCGCTGCTGTGTGATGCCAAAGGCGCCGTGGGCGAAGGAGTAGCCCCAGCGGGCGAACCAGGAGTGCGAGAAGGCGAGGGTGTGGAGGAGACGGTAATCGGAGGAGAAAGAGAGCTTGTGAGATAGGTCCTCCACACTCACCACCCTGTGATGGCGACAGGGGAAGGGGGGAAAGGGGGGGAGGAGGGGGAGGGGGGGGTTGGGGAGAGCGGAGGGGATAGGAAGGGGTGGAGGAGGGAGAAAGGGGAAGTAGAGGGGGACACAGTGGATGAGCCATGTGGCAAATCGTGCGCGAAGGAGTAGCCCCAGCAGGCGAACCAGGAGTGCGAGAAGGCGAGCGTGTGGAGGAGACGGTAGTCTGAGGAGAAGGAGAGCTTGTGAGATAGGTCCTCCACACTCACCACCCTTTTATGGTCAGGCAGAGGAGGGGGGAGGAGGGAGGGAGAGACAGGGGAAGTGGAAAGTAGCAGAAGGAAAGATGAGAGCGTGAATGGCATGACAGGTTGACATTCCCGAGTAATATTGCTCGTTAATATGAAAGAGGGGCCACGTTTGAATTGACTCAAAACACATGCCATGCATCTTACAAGCGCAAACATGTCTTACCTGGCGCGCAGCATGGTGCAGATATTGTCCCACAGCTGCATGAGCTGCCGCCCGGACAGCTTTTGAGGAACCAAGCCAAGCCTTACCTGGCGCGCAGCATGGTGCAGATATTGTCCCACAGCTGCATGAGCTGCCGCCCAGACAGCACGTGCGAGCCTGCGGCCCGGCCGTTGAGCGTCACGAGGTGGCCAAAGCCGTTGGAGTGGATAACGCCGTGCAGGAGGTGCGTGGGGGCGGCGAGCGACTGGGAGCGGCACGCCGCAGCCGTGATGCTCGTGTGGTGGTGCTGGTGCTGGCCGTGGTGGGACGAGGGGTGGGGGTTGCTGGTGCTCGCGCTGCTGCGCGTGCCACGTGGACTGATGTTACTGGCTGTGGTTGCAAGCACCTGCGACTGAGGGGACGGGAGAGGAGCAAGAGGGGAGGAACGGGAGAAGGGGAAAGGAATTTGAGAGGTAGACAGAGTTGGTTACGGTAACTTCCAAAGCGGCTGAAGCAGCGGGTGAAGTAAACAAGGGGCGAGTGAGTGGTTACCTCGGCGCGTGGGTGTGAGTGAGTGGTTACCTCGGCACGTGGGTGCGAGTGAGTGGTTACCTCGGCGCGTGGGTGTGAGTGGGGGTTCTTCACTGGAATGATGAAATGATACTTGTGCGCCGCGATGGGGTGATGGCACCATCCTGCAAGTTGCACATGATGTGGGGGAGAGATAGAGAGAGGGAGAGAAGGGCATGTGGCGGAAGGTTGGGAATGCTGGACAGTCAAAATGACTCAAACACAGCATCTCTCCCGCCCTAACCCCCCTCCGCTCCCGCCCTCCTTGCGCTTTCCCCCATGCGCGGAGCCATACCTGAGCTGCGGCAGTAGTCGCAGTGCGGATTGGCGGACCCTTCAGTCGCTTCCGCCACCAGCAGCAGCGGCAGCAGCACCTGCTGCGCCGGATGCGCCGCCCCCTGAAGCTGCGCCTGCTGCTGCGCCGCATGCGCGCCCCCCAGTAGCGCCGCTTGCTCCGCTTGTGTCGCGGTCGCGCACAGCGCGCCCGCCCCGGAATTCCCCGCGCTGGTTTCTGGCGCGGAGCTAACATCCCCAAGGGCTTGGGCGCGCGGGGTGACGGGAGGCGGCGGGCTGCGCGCGGAGGGGGAAAGCGGATCCGCGGAAACCGCCGGAGGTGGATGCGAAAGCGCCTCGAAAGGCGTGAACGGCGGCTGAGAATACGCTTCGGCGCGAGTGACGGTGAGAAGAAGGCTCCACGTCGGATGGCCCTCGATACTGTCACACGCGCGCGAAGTAGGGGGACGGGCGAAAGGGGAAGAAGAAAGGGGAAAGGAGAGAGTGGGAAAGACAAAATGGCATCAGAGCGAGAAGTGGAAGACCGAGGCACTGGAATGTGAGAGCAGGGAAGGGAACACGAGGCAAAACGAAACGATTTCAGTGTGCCAAAAAACACGAAAATATAAAAGCCCAGCACAATTGGTCCTGCTTCTACGAGGCCGCGCGGGCGCTACCAAAACGGCAGGTAGTTCATACCCCTCGGGTTCGCGTTGCATGACGTCAGCAGCCAGCGAAGTCACATTATCGCGAAACGCGCCGCGATACTCCGCCGGGTACCCCGGCTCGCCGAATCTTAGCGCCGAGTAGGTCGTGCGCGGCACAGTAGCGGAGTCAGCGGAAGCCGCCGCCCCTCGGATCGCGGCGCCGCGAGCGGCCGCCATGTCCGGCCTTCTACTTGCGCCGCGCGTGGCCGCGTGAGACGCCGACGACGTAGACGATCGCCGCGGCTTCGTCAAACAGCGACGCGACGGCGGCGGCGGCGGCGGCGGCGGCGGCGGCGGCGGCGGCGGGCTGTCGCAGCCGGTAGTACAGCCGCACAAATTGCCGCCTTCGTCCGGCGCCGCCTCACGCCGCGGCGCCAACTGCGGCGGCTGCTGCTGGCGGCTGGTGAAATCCAATCCCGAGCTCCAACCGCCGCCAGCAGCAATCGACGAAGCTTCCTCCGGCCCGGGGTTAGTATGGTACACTTCACCAGGCTCCATCGTCATCGCGGCGCGATGCTCCGATATAAGCTCAACCGTGAGAGACTCCGTCTCCGCCAAATCTCTAGTTTTGGGCGCCGGCGTCGCGTGCTCCCGTCTGCTCGGCTCGACGCGCATCGCGGATGCCTGGCCGCTGCTCGGCGCGGAGATTGGCTGGCAGCCTGGAGTGCTCGGCGCGCAGCTCGGCGCGCAGGTAGGCGCGTGGCTCAGCGCGGCATAGGTCGGCACGCAGGACACTTGGTGACGGGGAGGGTAGAAATCACCAGCTTGGCCTTTGAACCGTTTCACATCAGGCTCGATGAACGCTCCGGCGCTTCTGGCGCTTTGCCACGTGGCGGAACACGCGAGCGGGGGTATATGGAGCAGTGCTGGCTGTGGGGTCAGCTGGGGCAGGACCAGCAGGCGGGACGACGACGACGGCGACGAAGACGGCGACGACGCCGGCGACGGCGGCGACGACTGCGGGCCGCACCTGTCAGCAGCAGCCGTTGGAATGTACCCGTTGAAACCCTCGTCAACCTCGCCGTCGCGTGTATCCACCTCGCCCTCGCTCTTCGCCCTCACCGCAGGCGCCGCAGCCGCCGCATCCCCAACAACAGCTTCATCGTTAAACGCGGCGACGTCCATCTGAAACTCAATCGTCTCCTGAATGCTTTCAAGCGAGCTGCTCTCTGGGCCTAGTAGGTCCTCTATCTTCACGTTGCACGGCTGGATCAGAATCCGCCGAATATCGTGATCCTCGAGCAGATTCCGTCCAGTTGACGCCGACTCCTCTCGCTGCCGCTTGTTTCCGCGATGAGGGCTCCTCGTGAATTCCTGGGATGGAAGAGGCGGTGCTCCAGCAGAGTCGAATTTGATGTCCTTGTTAGAACGAGGCACGTTAAGAGATCCCATGAAGTCGGATTCGCACTGGAGAAGCAGCGACGCCATTTCCACGACCTCCTCGTCGGAAATATGGTCTTCCGTGCTCGACGTGCCGCATTCGGCGGGCTGCCATAAATCTAGCTGCTGCACTGAGCATGGAGCCACTGCTGCTGTGTGCTGCGACCCAGACGACATCCAGAGCACCATTTTCGGAACTGGGAAATGGGCTGCTTATGAATGGAGGCTTTGCCACAGGGGTAGTAACAAATGGAAGGATAAATCCGCTCTTCACTGGGTTTTTTTCTCTCTCTCTCTCTCACGCTCTCGAGAAGTTCGTCTGCAATTCGGGCAGTTTTAGATTCCAGACAGAGGCTCACAGACCATTTCCGAAAATACGTCGAGAAATGACGAATCTGAACGGCAAACTGGAACTGGACGACTGAGGACGGAGGAGCGAGGGTGTTTTGGAAGTAGGTGCGGTAGGACAGGCTGAGTCACCACCAGCTACCAGGATCCATCAAGCAAGCATCGACAATGTCGGAGAAGCAAACACCGTCGAGAAGATATGAAGAGAGAATCCGATTGTACTCGCAAGCCGGCCTTCATATGTGCGCTTTCAGAGGGGAGCGGGGGAAAGGGCTTCGAGAGTTATGAATGTGTGTGTGGGACGCAGGTTTGTCATTTGGATTGGGAGCGAGTGTGGGCCTGGAGGGCCAAAAAGCTGAGCCGACATTTTGCGTTTGCGTGACGTGACTCCCGGGAGGCAGAACCGAGGCTGGAGGGGCGGGCGGTGGAGGTGCAGGGGAGACGAGCGGGGAAAGGGACGGAACGGAACGGAACGGAATGGGGTGGGATGGTGTGCAAAGTGTGGTTGACGGAAAACACAGGCCGCGTCCGCGGAAGGGGCGCCAGGCGTGGCGGCCTGTACTGACCTGGAATGGGAAGGGTGCAGGGGGGAAACCGCAGCACCAGAGGGAGGGATGGGGGGAGCACTTTGCGCTAGCACTGCAGCAGAGCAGAGTGCCGCACGGGGGTGGGGCAGAGTCCTAGGAGAGGTGAGCTTCGGAAGCTGGCTCCTTGGCTCACTGGACATTCCGTCAGATTCCGTTAGTGAATCGAATGAGGACAGGTCAGACCGCCCCCACAACCACGTGGAAAGTCCCTACTGGTGAACAGCACCTGCAAGAATTCCGAGAATGGCAGTCAGCCAGCAACTAAACCGAGTTGTCAATCGCGTGCCTCGCAACGATATTTTCACATGCGCACCCACGCGGCATGCCCCGCTGCTGCGGAACTTATCAGTGTGTGAGACTGTTGCCCGCAAGCTCACAGATTTCGTTGCGCAGCTGGCCAGTGAGGTTGCTCCCATCCCATAGACCTCGGCAAAGGCACGCAGCAAAGCAAATCTGCCTTTTCGGAAACACAAATGCCAGCGATGGTCGGTTGCTGAAACCACAGCCACATCTGCCCAAAAGCATCATTGTCGCATGTGGAGCAGAGAGCCTGCCATTTCATGGCAAGGACTGGTTGAAAGGCAAAGTTCTTCCGAAGTGCCACTTGAAAGGAGGAAAATGGGTTCCTTCCATTTGGTATTGTATAAAAGCCCGAACTGGTGTCACAAAGCTGGACAGTCTGATGGGGAAAATGCTTCGTATCGTAAAATAACTCGGAAACTTGAGGTGTAGCTTGCGAAGGGTGCCCTAGCTCCGTAGTCCTGAGGGGTTCCGTGTACAAAGGAAGTTTCATGTGGAAAACGGCTCCAGCATGCAAGGGAGCAAGTCGTGACTCGTGACATGGATTTACAGAGCTGGATCAATGATGGACGAATGGTGCTCGCTCGCGTGTGTTCGTTTCAAAAATCGTTGGTAGTTTCTGGCTGAAGAGGCGTGTACACAGCTTTTTGCTACACTCGAGAAATACGCTTTTAGCCGGGAACAATGCTACAAAAGAACATCATAGAAGATTTCACATCAACTAAGCCCTCTCAATGAGCATAATTCACATGAGATTTCAATTATTAAAATTTCAGGAACTATGGGATTAAATTGCTGATTTTTTTAAAGAAATCATTTGTACAGGATCATACCCTTTCTGCTTCTTTTTTTTTTTTTTTTTTTTCGCGAGTGACTGATTTTCTTATTAAGTCCCAGAAACTGGCTTCACGCTTTTGAAAGAGGAAAAGGGAAAGAGGGAGAAGGAAAAGGGAAAGAAAGACACCAGAAACAACTCAAACGCAACACCCATAAAAAGCCCCATAAAAATACTCCATAAAGAAAAAACCCAACCAGGATCCCCTACCAGACGTCCCATCTCGCACCCCATTCCCCCTCGCCCCCCCCCCCCCCCCCCCACTCCCCCCCAAGTCACATCTGCACATCCACCATGTAGGGGGCCTCCACCCAAAGAGGCCCGCCCTCCACCTCGACATCGTCCCTCTCCCGATCCACCAAGTCCACATTCAACCCCCCCATGGAAGACGCCGCCCGAAGCAGGATGACACGAGCTTGCGCCCGTTGTAACGCCACTCCGATGAGCGCCTTCAGAGACCCCAAAAGGTAAGCCGAGAACGAAGTGTCATCCTCCCGACAAGCCCCCCGTGACACAGCTAGCCCCACGTGCGCGTCCCCCTGCTGTCGAAGCCACCGCCGGAAGCGACCGCCGAGACACCCCCACGTCTCCACTATCAAAGGGGTGAACTGCACGCCTCGGTTCCGTGCAAGAAGAGGCGCGTAATCCCCCGTTTTGCGACGCTCCCACTCCTTTGCCGCCACGCCTATAGACCGCCCGCACTGCCCTAGCAGAGATGGAGACAGTGATAGCGGGTCCGCGACACTAATCTCTAAAGCATGAGCCTCCCCAGCCATTGGTCGTCGCACCGCTACGTCAACCCGCTTCCCCGGCAGCACCGCACTATCCTCCATCGTCACCACCCCCCCTGACGCCTTAGCGATCTTTGCCACCGCAAACTTCACCTCATCATGCACCCGAGATGGACCGTGTTGGTGCTTGCATCTCAGCGCATGATGCGGGTCTGCTGGGTCATCATACGCTGCGCCACAAACACACTTCCCCGCCACTTGCAGCTGCTGGATTGGGAGACCAAGCCGTATAGCAGCAGCAATGCCCCACTCCGCTGCAGTGAATGTGAGATCTGAATGAGCCGGAACTGCCGAAACCCATGCACCAGCCCCCGGGCCCTGAAGGGATGTGAAACGGGCCAGGGTGGCATCGTCACGAGCCAAGCGGCGGAGTGCCTGGAGCTCCTCAACAGCCAACTGCCGCTGCCGCGCCTGGAAAAGCCGAAGAGGAGGGGCCGCCACACACAGGGGTAAGTCCGGCAGCTCCTGGCGTATAGTCGCGGGCAACTGCTCAATGGCCTTGGCAAACCACGGGTCAAGAAGCTCCGCCCCCGCCGAAGTGGTGAGGTACTCTGCGAACATCGCCTCCTCGCCCGCCACCCCCAAATGTGCAATATCCCGTGCGGCCTACGCCCACCCACAAACATAGGAGAGCGGACTCAAAGAGGCCGCCGCCCGGATCCCAAACCCTCCGAGGCGCACAGGGAGATGCAGCTGCATGCGTGCGCGCCTAGACCTGCCGGGATCCTGCTCCCAAGTGCCAGGGGGGAAAAGCTGCTCAAAGCAATCCTCCAGACAGCTGTCCCACTCTCTAAAGGCCTCCACCACCTCCGGCCGCGGCGGCATAGTCCGGGCCAGGTACATCGGCCGTGCTGAAACTGCAATAGCGAGGAGATGCGAGGCCATCTGGGGGTGGTCGAGCAGGGGGAGCCACGGCAATGGCGCCTGCAACTCGCGAAGCCGCTTCCGTAATCGGGCCCCCTCCCAATCCTCCTCCTTAATAGGCACGCCCACCACAGTAAGACCCTCCTCCTCCCGCTGCATCCCCAAAGGCAATGCCCGCTCCATATCCCCACCTCCACGCTCCCAAAACCTGCACTTGTGCGCCTGCACTTCCAGCCCCACCCACTCCAACCTCTCTCGCAGCACCCCAAAAGCCTCCAGAATCCTAGCCGCTGGTCCCAGGATGTAGGTATCGTCTGCATAGCTCAAGAAAAGTAGGTCCCTGAACTCTCTAGTCACCGTCCCCAGCACCTGCTGCTGCGTGAAAGCGAAAAGAAAAGGGCCGAGCGGGTCCCCCTGTCGCGATCCTCGTGCCGACTCAAGACTCTGTACGAAAGGGCCCGCTCGGAGGTACAGGTCGCTAGGTGTCCCATAGAAGACACGCAAGAATGGGATCATTCCTGAGAAAGGCGACTCCTTCAGCCCCTCGAACATCGCGTGGCGATGAAACGAATTGAAGGCGTTCGCGACATCTATCTGCAGCGCACACCAGTCGGGGTGAGTGGCCAGCGCTGACCGGAAAGAATGAGTAAGAATCTCCACCCCGGCCCTGGTGCCCACTCCCAGCTGGTTACACGGCAGAAAATAAGAAGCCATCACAGGGCGAAGCGAGATGCAGAGAGCTCGAGCGAGGATACGCGGAAGCACCTCCCCGATCGCCACCGGCCGGACGTCACCGTTGGGTTTGGAAAGCCCGACTAGGTTGGATGCGGCGAGCCAGGGCCGAGCTCGCTCGGGGACCTGTCCCGCCACCCATTGGTTGAACACTTCCAGCAGGTGGGAGAGGCAGGAAGGTTCCGTGAGGAAAGTGTCGCGCAGATGCTCTGTGACCCATCCCGATGGCCCTGCAGCTGAGGCGCGAGCAGCTGTGTGGATAGCTCTAGCCAGAATGTCGGTCGTGAGTGGAGGCCGCTGAGGAGCGTCGACAGTAAACTCACGAACCCACGGTGGTACCTCGCCACTGCTAGCTGGGTGCTTCCCTCGCAGCGACTGCACCATAGCCTCAGTTGGTCGAGCCAACTCTCCTGCTGTGAGGCAAGACAAACCACGGCTCCACTCTCCCACTTTACACCGAGATCGGCACCGTGACAGGCGGATGGCCTCCGGGTCCTGGTCAGAGCACGTGTAGGCAAGTGGGCGAACTGCTGGCCGTGCCGCCGCCATGGCAGCGTCGAACAACTCCCGCCACCTCCCCTCCCAGAAGGCCCCCAGCCGCTCTATGATCAGCGCCTTCTGACCTATGCCTGGCTTGGGAGGCACGGCTAGGATGAGGCGCGGAAACGCCAGGAGTAGGAGGGTAGCAGCTTCATCTCCCGGTCGGCTCTTCAGCCGCTTCAAGATGCAACAGAGTGCGTCTAAGACCCCGGACCGGGCCCGCTGCGGGATTCGGCGCACTTTCTGCTTCTTGGAGCTGTAAACACCAAGTATGTCAGCTTAATCATAGACACATGCGAATAGGAAAGAAGATGGTGTAGCGTAGGCTCTCCTGCTCCAAAGCGAGAGCAAACTGTAACTGTTGGCGTGTGTTTGTCCAAAATGGCGAACCTCCCAAAACATTGGAGGCGTCGAACCACGGTGGCAGCCGCAACGGCGCACAGCAAGGATCGAGGGGCCGAACCAGCAGGCGAACAGGCAGGGAGGATCTCATCTACGGTTCTGTACGATCCTGGCAACGCGGTGCCTGGCAAGGGCAGGAAAGATTCTCTGTGTGCGGTGCGGACCAAGCGAAAGCGCGGGAGACTGACGGGCAGATGGCAGCACCTCCCACACCTCCGGAAACCCGAATTTCTAGAAACCCGAACAAAGCCACGGCGGACCCTGCCCAACCTCACGGGGTTCCTGTGGCCACGAACCAGCCTCACCCTGCCCCGCCCAATCTGCTTGTACGCGTTATATCGTCAACCCTTACGTGATGAGAAATCTCGTGTGTAACTTGGATGACACAAACCCCCACCCCCCTGACCTGCCCACCTCAACCCCTCGTATCTCATCCACCAAAACCCACCTCACCTCACCCTCCATTCTCGATCCCTATTCTCCTTAGTAGCCTACTGCTCAATCCTCAACCGTTTCCTTTTTCCCAGCTCTTTTCAGCCCGGAAGCGGGTCCTAGTATCACAACCATGGCGAAGTCCGCATGGGGCTCCAAATCATGGGCAGACGATGTCGAGGAGGGGGAGAAGGACCTTCCTCCTCCCGCCTTCCCAGAGCTCGCGCAGGCCGTATCTAAGCCGTCCGATGAGGCCTTTCCGACTCTCGGCCAGGCGGCAGCCAAGCCGCAGAAGAAGAAGAAGGAAAAGGTAACGCTCTCGCTGTCGGAGTTTACGACAGGCGCGTATGTCGGTCCCGGAGCGCGATCCAGGACTGCCATAGTGGACGAAGTTAAGGGGCTCACGTTGCAGGAAAAGATGGCTCTCCCTACGGGCCCTAGGGAGCGCAGCGAAGAGGAGGAAACCGGCGGATTAGGCGGCGGGTTTCGCGGTTATGGGGGTTTCCGCGGCGGCGACAGGGGAGGCGGTCGCGAAGGTCGCGATGGCCGTCGCGAGGATCGTGAACGGCCGCCGAGAGAGGACGACGGGCCGTCTCGGGCAGACGAAGTGGACAACTGGGCAACGACGAAAAAGTTTGTGCCGTCTGGTGACGGCGGCAGATCTCGCGGCGGCCGGTACGAGGACGACGGCGGCCGTCCAGGACGTGACGGTCCGTCAAGGGCCGACGAAGTCGACAACTGGGGCGCGACGAAGAAATTCCAGCCGTCTCAGTCCATGGACGGCCGCGGGGATCGCGGCGACCGCATGGGCGGCCCGTCACGTGCCGACGAAACGAACAACTGGGGCGCGGCGAAGAAGTACGTCCCTTCCGCGTCCGTTGGCGGCGGCGTCAGCCGCGGAGGGTTCGGCGGGCGCGGAGGCGGCGGAGGATTCGACGATCGCGAAGGCGCACGTGCGGATGAGGTGGAAAACTGGGGCGCGGCGAAGAAATTCGTGCCGTCCGCTAGCCGGGACGGCAGGCGGGACGGTCCAAGGGACGGCCCGCGGGAAGGGCTTGAGGCGGACCGCTGGGGGAAGGCGCCCAGCGACGAGCGCCCGTCGGAGCGCCCGCGCTTGAATCTCCAGCCGCGCAAGCCTGTTGCGGAGGGCGAGAGCGGAAGCGTGGGGAGCGCAGGGAGCGCGGAGGATGCGAACAAGCCCAAGAAGCCGAACCCGTTCGGGGAGGCGCGCCCGCGCGAGCAGGTGCTGGCGGAGAAGGGCATCCCCGTTGCGCCCGACTCCCCTTCCGCCAGGGGGGCATCTGCGGAACCCGCGGCGGAGGTTAAGGCGTCTAAGCCGGCGGTGAACCCGTTCGGGGAGGCGAAGCCGCGGGAGGTTGCGCTTGAGGAGCGCGGAATGGACTGGCGGAAGATGGACCTGGAGCTGGAGCATAAGGGCGTTGACAGGTGCGTGTTACCGAGGAACTTTGTAACGCGAACAAATACTTGGAGGAACAGACTGGCGGAAAATGAACCTTCAGGTCAAATACATTGGTGGTGTGAGGTGCGTTGCACCGAAATGCAAACAAGAACAGCGGTAACGCGTACGAACCTGCGGCCTATGCGGTCTATCATGTCGTATTCAATGGGAAGAGGCGTCAATGCCTACACGGTGGCATAAAAAACGAGCCTCTATTTCTGTTTTAAGACACAGTAACGGTAGGTTGGCCCCAGGACTGCGGATCTGCGGCTTCGAAGCTTCGTGGATGTTCCAAGGCTTTTCGCGCAGGGGAATCGTTTGTGAAGCACGAGATTGTAACGATTAGGTTTGCGATCGTCTTTTGGGCGTGTCTAGGTACGGAAACTTGAGATCGCCGGACCGCGTTGCTGTCAGGTTCGATGTGCGACTCATCTTTAGTGTCGACTCGCCAGGCACCTCGTCTCCGCGTTGTGGGCAGTTTGCAGAGCGAAGAGGTTTCGACGTGTGGTGCGAATCAGAGCGTGAGGGTTCAGGGCTTTCGTGCAAGACTTTGTGCTTGGACTTTTTAGGGGAAAAAGAGAGCGATTAGATGCGTCTGCCTGTATCGGGGATGGCGATGAATGTCCCGAGCTGACTGGACGCTGTTTAACAGAGTGCTTGGCAGAGCGTAGTTCCGTTCCCTTCTCCCCGCACTCCCACACTCCCTCCCCACGGCCCTCGCTCCCCTCCGCTCGCCCCACACTCCCAGCTCTGGCCCTCACTTTCCTCCCCTCGTCCCGCATTCCCCTTCCCCCGACACTCCCCCCCGCTCGCCCCGTCCTGAATTCGGCCGTGTTTACTCTGCGTACATGCAGGCCCGAGACGGAAGAAGAGAAGAAGCTTCGCGAGGAGGTGGACGCGCTTGCCGCGAAGCTTCAGGCCGCCACGGGCAAGGGTGCAGCCAAGGCGGAGAAGGCGAGGGAGGAGAAGGGGGAAGAGAAGGGGGAAGAGAAGGGGGAAGAGAAGGGGGAAGAGGAGACCAAGACAGAGGATGAGGCGAGCGCGGCGGCACCTGAGCTTTCACCTGAGGAAGTTGCGGCTTTGGAGAAGGAAGTTGCTGAGAAGCGGCGGCAGCTGGAACAGCTGGTGCTAGAGCTCGACGCGAAGGTTAAGTACGCGCAGAAACAGGCTAGGGAGAAGCAGGTGCGGGATAAGGAGGCAGGCGCGGCGGGGACAGACGGGGCTGTAAGAGAAGGCGCAGGCGGAGGGGGGGGAGGAGGAGGGGAAGGGGCGGGGCGCGGGGCTGCCCCTGCGGGTGCGGGTGCTGTTGGTGCGCCGTTGGCCAATGGGAATGCGTGGGGCGGGGGCGCGAGGAGAGGGGGGGACGCGTGGCGGAGCAACACGGTTGCGAGTGGGGAGGGCGCGGGCGCGGGCGCGGGCGCGAGCAGGGGGGACGCGTGGCGCGGCGGCAGCAGGAGCACTGCGGGGCCGGGCAGGGACGCGGGGGAGGCGCAAGGCAGGCCCGCGCAGCGGACGGGCGGGTGGTAGGGCGGACAGGCGGGTGATAGGGCGGAGAGGCGGGTGGTACGTGTGAGGGGCTTGAAGAGGAATTGGAGGAGGGGGGGATTCGGGGTGACAGTGGCTTACAGGCGGGGCGAGTGGCAGGTTGATGCGGAGGAGGGGTGATGAATGGGCTTGTGATGGACAGGCTTGAACCAGGCTAGCGCAGAGCAAAGGGTTGACGGGTGATAGGGCAGGGCTAGGGGGGAGGTGGGAGGTGGATGGTTGCGTGGGACACTTTTCGGAGAAGGTGAAGTGGTGGCTGTGGGGTGGTGTCTTTTTCACGTGGTGGAGAGGGGAGGGGAGCTGGTGGAGGAGGGTGGAAGAGGTGACTTCTGAGTCAACTCAAAGGTGACCACGTGTGGGAGAAGGTGGAGTGGTGGCTGTGGTGTCTTGGCCACGTGGTGGGGAGGGGAGCTGGTGGAGGAGGGTGGAAGAGGTGACTTCTGAGTCAACTTAAAGGTGACCACGTGTGGGAGAAGGTGGAGTGGTGGCTGTGGTGTCTTGGCCACGTGGTGGGGAGGGGAGCTGGTGGAGGAGGGTGGAAGAGGTGACTTCTGAGTCAACTCAAAGGTGACCACGTGTGGGAGAAGGTGGAGTGGTGGCTGTGGTGTCTTGGCCACGTGGTGGGGAGGGGAGCAGGTGGAGGAGGGTGGAAAGAGGAGGGCACAGAGAGGAGGGAGGAGGAGGGAGGGAGGAGGGTGCAGAGAGGAGCGTGGAGAGGCGGGGTTGGTGGGTGGACAGAGGAGGCAAGAGGGGCGGTGCAGTGGATTGATTCTCCCTGTGCCTACGTTGGGGTTTGAAGGACTGCAGTTTAGCCTGCTCCTTGCTCGGGCTGCTGCTGCTGCTTCTGCTGCCTTTCTTGCTTTGGGGTATCAGGCTCCTTTCTACTGTTTCCGTTTTGCTCCCACAGGAAGGTGACTGTCTGGTTTGATACTGCAAAGCTCGTTGTTGGGCCTCGTTAGTGTACCTCCTCGCCTCGGTGGTTCATACAACATGTTTAGGTTTTTTTTCATTTCTTTTTTTAATAGTCACAAGTGGCCTACAGTATCAGTGAAATGTCAGTGGTTAATGGCATGCAAATTCTAAGGGTAACCTCTGTCCTGTCAACCCTTCTTGAGAGTAAAGAGCACACTGCAGTCAAGTTGAGGGCGTGTGCAGTTGAGTATTATGTCCATGGTGGTTAATAGCATGCCCACGCTGGTTGAGTGCGTTGTCGGAACAGTTGCATTGTATCGCATCACATCCTTTGCTCTTCCTGTTGCGGTTGCTGCTGCTGTTGCTGTTGCTGCTGCTGTTGGTGGTGGTGGTGGTGCTTATAATGAAGCATGTGACACGGCGCAGTCTCACTATCGTACTGTACAGGCACTGTAGAAACCTCTTTAACACGCAGGGAGAATATATCCGGCCGAGCGTAGTGCCCCGTGACATCAAAGTCAAACTTGGCCCGTGCGATGTCACCCATGTCTGGTGGGGGGAAGGCAGGGAGGGGAACAAGTGGATGATTAGGAACAGGGATTGATACAGTACAGCACTAATATTGGAATTTCAATAAGAGCTTTGCAAAGTAAAGGACCAAAACAAGAAAAAAAAAAAAAAGTTTTAATGGAGCATAAGCAACGTACCCAGATCGGCAGTGAGCAGCGCCTGTCCATCAGTTTGGGCCTGCCAGCACCCTGCCCAGAGGAGACACGATCACACTACCTCCCCCACTAACCGAGAGTTAATATGTTTATGTACTGACCCAGGTCTGCGGTCAGCAGTGCCTGCCCGTCGTAGTTTGGGCCTGCCAGCACCCTTCCCAGTGGAGACACGATCACACTACCTCCCCCACAAACCAGGAGTAACTATATACATTCACTCACCCAGATCAGCGGTCAGTAGTGCCTGTCCGTCATAATTTGGGCCGGCCAGGACCCTGCCCAGTGGAGACACGATCACGCTGCCGCCTCGACACACCACGGCGGATGGCGGCGGCTCGTCTGCATCCAGCCGGCCGGTCGCGGAAAAGACGAAATCGGGGGGCGGCGGGTAGTCGGAGCGCACGCAGAACTGGTTGGCAGAGAGCACGAAGCAGCCGCCCTCGAGCGCTATGTGCTGCACCGTGGCCTGCCAGGAATCTCGCGAGTCTGCTGTGGGCGCACAGTAGAGCTCCACTCCTGCAGGGATAAGATGGAGCATATGGGGAAGGATGAAGCAGCCGCCCTCGAGTGCTATGTGCTGCACCGTGGCCTGCCAGGAGTCCCTGGAGTCTGCTGTGGGCGCACAGTAGAGCTCCACTCCTGGGGAGGATGGGAGACAAGGAGAAGGGATGAAACATGGGGAAGGATTAAAGGGGAGGAGGCATGGGAGCTGGAAAGGGAAGGACGAAGCATGTGCTGGCCTGCCAGGAGTCCCTCGAGTCTGCCGTGGGCGCACAGTAGAGCTCCACTCCTGCAGGGATAAGATGGAGCATGGGAACGATGGAGAGGGAAGGAGGAGGCATGTGCTGCACTGTGGTCTGCCACAAGCACCAGCGCCTCACCTTTTCCATTCTCACCCCTTCCCATCACCTTCCCCAGTCCCTCTCACCTTTCCCATACAATGCCATGCGAACCATAGGCATGCAATTCTCCCAGCACACCGCAGCACACACCCTGTGAGTCAGCCCCAGGCTCATGACTTCTAAGAAATACTCACTTCGACCCAGCATCACCTTTCCAATCCTTCCCTGCCCAGTCCCTCTCACCTTTCCCATACAGCGCCATGCGAGCCATGGGCATGCGGTTCTCCCAGCACACGGCAGCACCCACCCGGCCCACTCCCCCCGCGTCCACCACCATTGCCGCCGTGCTGCCGTCGCCACACCCCCATATCACTCGCTCCAACGCCGTCGGCACTGTCTTCCTGTGGCGCCCGACCAGCCCCAGGCGCGGGTCGATGAACAGTACTGAACAGTAGAGCGTGCCGCCCGCCCTCTCGATGGCTCCCATGACTACGAATACTCCGAACTTGGCTGCTGCTGCTGTGAGACGAGAGACCTCCGGGCCTGAACGTGGTTGTGAGGAAAGGGGAGGGGAGGGGAGGGGAGAGGAGGGGAGAGGAGGGGAGAGGAGGGGAGAGGAGGGGAGAGGAGGGGAGAGGAGGGGAGACCACAGAAGGCAAGGAAATCTGGGAGCCTGAAAGGGCAGTAGAGTGTGCCGGCCGACCAGCCCCAGGCGCGGGTCGATGAACAGTACTGAACAGTAGAGCGTGCCGCCCGCCCGCTCGATTGCCCCCATCACAACAAAGACGCCGAACTTGGCTGCTGCTGCTGCTAGACGCGCCACCTCGGGCCCTGGGGGAGTGTGGAGGGGAAGGAGAGAGCAAAGGGCAGGACGCATCAGTGGCACTGATGGCACTTGACATGGTACATCAATGGTACTGACGAGTCCTGGACTTGACATGGTAGCACCTGAATTCGACGTGCCATCGGCCTGTGCGCAACCCCACCAGGACACCAAAACGACGTCTCCGGCTCTTCTTCACTCCTCACCCAATCTTTCCCCTCCCTCCTGCCACCACCCCCTTCCGCCCGCTTTCCCCCTTCCCCTCCCCCTTTCCACCCTTCATATCACCGACCCGGCACATCAATCGCAGAGGCATGGTATCGCCTGAACTCGTCCCGGCCTTGGTCAGTGCGTGAACACACCATCACTTCTAAACCGACTTTAGCGGCTCCTAATCCCTCCCCCATCCAACCCCCTTCTTCCCCACGCGTCACCCACCCGGCACATCAATGGCAGAGGCATGGTATCGCCTGAACTCGTCCCTCCCTCGGTCCGTGCGCGACCCCACCAGCACTCCAAAGCTGGCCCCCCTGGGGTAGCCGCCTATAAAGGCTTCCGGGAACACGACCAGCTGGCTTCCCAACTGTGCCGCTTCTGCCAAGAGTGTCTCCGCTGGGAGGAGGCAAGAGAGCTGGAGGGGGAATAGAATAGACACATTGTGTCACTGAGAGCACCACCACCCTACCAGCACACCGAAGCTGGCCCCCCTGGGGTAGCCGCCTATAAAGGCTTCCGGGAACACGACCAGCTGACTGCCTAGCTGTGCCGCCTCTGCCAAGAGTCGCTCGGCTGTTATGGAGGAAGGGAGAGGGAGGGAGGGAGGGAGAAGAGACGCATGTATCACAGAGCAGTACACCATCGGGGAGAACGCAAGCATTCTGCAATAAAGGCTCAAAACGCAGGTAATTTTAGAATAAAAAACAACACCTTCATCCAGCGTGGCAATAATCCATTCGTCCAGCGTGGCAGTAATCACCTTTGTCCAGCGTGGCAGATCTCACCTTTGTCCAGCGTGGCAGATCTCACCTTTGTCCAGCGTGGCAGGCGTGTTGTACATCACAGTAGCCGCCTGAACCACCGTCACGCGAACCTGCCGCGACGGCGTTTCCCCCTCCATTGTCACCTCCTGCGTCTGCACCTGCAGCTCCTGTGCGCTCTCCGACGCGTCCATCCCTCGATTCTCGATTCTCGATTCTCGATTCTCGATTCTCGATATTAGTAAAAACCGCGAGAGTTCAAGGTCCTCGCTCGCGGTTGTCGCGGAATAGCGGATTTCGTTAAGTACACGCTGCCACTAGCGCAAAATCTGGCTAATACACGCAGCAATTAGCGCGGCTCCAGCCAGCGGCGGAGCCAACCCTGAAGCGGAACAAACGACACTGTACTCTGAAATTCGGTTACTTCATGGCAAATGCATCGTCAGCCAACCCTGAGGCGGTGAACTCCTCTTATTGAACCCACCCCGCGATCATAGATTTCAAGTGCTTCCCTTGCGAACAACGAAGAACTAGTGTAGGTATGCCGACTTCGTAATTGCGGTAGCGCATCCACCAGGCAGGATTGTTGTAGCTCTTGTACCCGTTACAATACTGTATTATGTAATATGGATGTGCCAACAAATCACTAGAGGCCTTTTAAACGACCTCCGTAACACACTTACAGAATATACTTATATTCGACTCTAGTACCATTGGTTTCGTGGAGAAAACATTACTCTAAGACGCTCCATTGAGAGCATCCATGAGATAAAGCTTGCTTAAAGCCGGGCCACTAAACCTGCAAACAGCCAAACAAAAAAAGTAAGTGAACATTGCTCGAATCATCAAACGGTTGCACATCAGGAGACCACATGATGCCCCATGATTCACACCAAAACCGAAATACGCACGTATCATAAAACGTATACTACAGAATATTTGTGCTTACTCGTTGATTTGCGCGCAGTAATTGGCGATCTGATTGGTGGTTAGCAGCATGTCGATGCGCGAGGGCTCGGGGATGGGCTTGAAGATGGGGTTTGTGGGATCCTCCTCTGGTAGCGGCTCCTCCCCTGCTGCCCTCCTCAACGCATTGTCCGATCTGCAAATGCCATGGGGGTGGAGAGTGAGGAAGGAAGTGTGAGAGTGAGTGTGCATGTGAGTGTGTTTCAGAGGGCTCAGGGATGGGCTTGAAGATGGGGTTACTGGGGTCCTCCTCTGGTAGCGGCTCCTCCCCTGCTGCCCTCCTCAGCGCATTGTCCGATCTGCCAAAGAGCGAGGGAATGAGGGAGTGTGGGAGGGAGTGGGAATGCATGTACAAGTGGGTCAAGAGATGGGCTTGAAGATGGGGTTGATGGGGTCCTCCTCTGGTAGCGGCTCCTCCCCTGCTGCCCTCCTCAGCGCATTGTCCGATCTGCCAACCCCATGGGAATGGATGGATAGATTGGATAGGCAATCTGTGAATAAACTTGTGAGAGTGTAAGCGTGAGTGTGTGTGCATGATTAGGAGCGTCACAGGGCTCAGAAATAGGATTGAATGTGAGGTTGCGGGATCCTCCTTCAACAATGATTTTTTTCCCTATCCCAGACAGCTGGTCTAACAGCAATGCGAACCAACCTGTCCTTGCACCCACCTTCTTTTCTGCACCCATGCTAGCTGCTGCTGCTGCTGGCGCTGCACACTGCGGTAGTGGTACTGGAACTGCAGGGGGGAGCGTTAGGCGGGGGGAAGCCGGAGAGGGGGGGGGAGGGGAGGGGGGGAAGAAGGAAGCAAGAGAAGCAAACTGAATAGTACAATCTAAGACAGTTGAGCCATGTTGCCAGCATACCCAACCTCACAGGTGAAACCCCTAATTTCCCTTGTTGTGCTATTTATCCCACGTACCCTTGGCTTCCCTGCACTGAGGTCATCGATGCAGTCGGAGAGGCACCCCAGGTTGGTCACAGTCAGACTCGTGTCAGGGAGTCCCAGGCACCCCAAAAGGCGCTCACAGTCAGACTCGTGTCAGGTCGACGACACACATCCAGCCCTCTGATGTGAACAGCCCAGCCCTTTCTGACTACTACCGTCAGGTCAACTACCCGTTGCTGCTCCGCACTGAGGTCATCCATGCAGTCCGCCAGGCACCCCAGGTTGGTCTCCAGGAAGAGATTGGTGCCCAGCAGCAGGCGGTCAAAGACAGGCACTTGCTGCCACTGCCAAGCTCACATACTACAAACCCTTCAATGCAATTAGGCCCACCCCACCACATACCCTCTGCTGCTCCGCGCTCAGGTAATCCATGCAGTCCGCCAAGCACCCCAGGTTGGTCTCCAGGAACGGGTTGGTGCCGAGCAGCAGACGGTCAAAGTCAGCCTCGTGTTACCACAGCCAGGGCCACATACCACAAACCCTCTAATGTGACTAGCCCTGCCCTCCCACCTACCCTCTGCTGCTCTGCACTGAGGTCATCCATGCAGTCAGAAAGGCACCCCAGGTTGGTCTCCAGGAATGGGTTGGTGCCCAGCAGCAGACGGTCAAAGTCGGTGCGCGAGGGAGCAGATGGCACATACCACCGTCAAAGATATGCATCCCTATCCTCCCTACCCTAGCACTTACCCGTTGCTGCTCCGCACTCAAATCGTCCATGCAATCCGCCAGACACCCCAGGTTGGTCTCGAGGAACGGGTTGGTGCCGAGCAGCAGGCGGTCAAAGTCGGTGCGCGAGGGAGCAGCGTCGGCAGCGGGGGGGTGCAGCGTGGCGATGAGGGTGGAGACGAGCGTTGAGTTGGCCATCTTCACTGGGATCTCCTCAAAAATACTTGCCCACGTCGTGTCACTCTCCCTCAACCTGCAGAGACAGAGCGGGGGAAAGAGGTTGGAACGTGACGGGGGGGAGACAGATGAGCAGCAGCAGCGGCCGCAGAAGTATCAGCAATGGCAGCAGCGCGTCGGCAGCGGGGGGGTGCAGCGTGGCGATGTGGGTGGAGACGAGCGTTGAGTTGGCCATCTTCACTGGGATCTCCTCAAAAATACTTGCCCACGTCGTGTCACTCTCCCTCAACCTGCAGAGACAGAGTGGCGTGGGAGAAAAGCAGGAAAGAGGGGGAAACGCATTTTGGGGAGACGGATCAACATCAGCAGCAGCGTTGGCAGGCAGCAGCATCAGCACCAGCGGCGTGGGCAGCAGCAGGGGGGTGCAGCGTGGCGATGAGGGTGGAGACGAGCGTGGAGTTGGCCATCCTCACTGGGATCTCCTCGAATATCCCCGCACATGTCGTGTCACTCTCCCTCAACCTGCGACGGATTGAGTGAGAGAGGGGGGATCCAACAGGGGTAAAACAGCAGCAGCAGGGGTGCACGCCTTGAGTGCGATTGCCTGAAGCACCCCGTGATACTGGTACCCCAGTGAATACCCCGTGATACTGGAAGCACCCTGGTGAATACCCCGTGATCATACCTCAGTGAATACCCTGTGATAGAGGTAGTAGTACCCCCGTGGATACCCTGTGAGAAAAATTTCCTGTCTACTGCCAGTCTTGCTACTCACCATGCATCCATCCTCCTCTCCCCCACAGTACCATCTTCCACACCCACTTGTCCCCTGTGAGCGCGCCCACTTTAAACATTTCGAGGAACGGCGACTTGAGAGTGAGAGCCTCGAGCGCCACCTAGCTCCCTCTCCCCTTTCCCCTTCCCCCCTCTCTCTCCCCCCCCCCCCTTTCTCACTCACTTGTCCCCTGTGAGCGCGCCCGCTTTGAACATTTCGAGGAAGGGCGCCTTGAGGGTGAGAGCCTTGAGCGCCACAGTCCCACGAGCGGCGGCCCTATCAGGGTCGTAGACGAGGCACACGCAGCGCTTGATGTTCTCGCGGTAGCTCGCAAACGTCTCTATCATGTCCGCCGTCTGGAAGGAACCCAAAGTCGTTGACTGGTACCTGTTGGGTTGGGGGGAGAGGGAGGGTGGCGCAGGTCACAGGAGGAAAGGTGGGGCACGGGGAGGATGGGATTCAGATCACGGAAAAAACGCTGCTCGCGAACGTTCCTATCATGTTCCGAAGAAGCGCCGCGCTTTTGATCGTCTGGAACGAGCCCAGCGTCGTCGACTGGTACCTGCGGGGAGGGGAGAGAGAAACGGGGGGGGGAGGAGGTGGGGAGCATGGGAAAGGGAACGGGAAGAAATGGGGGATTGCGAGGGGGTGAGTGGCGGGAAGATGGGAGAAAACACGAAGCAAGAACTGAGAGAGGGGCAGGGGGGAGTGAAGAGAAAGCAGAGTGAGGAGAAGAGCGGCTGGGTTACACACCGCACTTGATCGCACTTCACCACATCCAAGAGCACGTGAGATCCGACCATCGTACCATCCAACAGTGTTGTTGTCAACGTTGACCTCGCGCAGACAGCGCATCATCTCCAGCTGATACATAGCGCCATCGGCCTCCTCCTCCTCCTCCTCCTCGCCTCCCCGGCTCTGAGAGTGCACGAATCCCCACGCCACACGCCACACGCCACCCCAGACGCAATGCCAGCCACACGCCATGCCACATGTCATGCCAATTATCGTGGCCCACGTCACACCATACGTCACTCACGCAACATGGAACGCGAAATGCCATGCATACGGACATGACATGCATCACGCATGTAGCCATGATGCGATGGTGCACACAGGCAACACGTATGCATCATCGGACATACCATCAGATCCTCCAGCACCAACCCCAACCACTCCCCAAACACATGACTCGGAAAAAAGAGCGCACACGCACGCGCAACGCAAAACGCACCCTAAACGGAAAAAGGCGCCACACTAGCGATTCCGCGGCAATGCAACCGCAATTTGAGGACCAGACATCCATACTAGATATCCGCAATCTAATAGGCTTCCAAACACATACAAACAGTAGAAACTATTTTATGTGGATAGAGAACAGAACCAACGGAAGCAAGGACGGTGCAGAAAAAGTGGTAAGGAGTGAAGATCGCTCACGGGGAAGGGAAAGCAGTTGGTGACTTCAAGAGTGCTGCCAATATCGAGGCCGAGCAGCAGACCCGTTACAAGCTGAGGAGCCCAGTCGCTGCAGTGCTTGTCAATCTTCATCGCAACCTAGATTTCGTTACGAACGAAGAGGTGAATAAATAACGGTCTCCACTAAAGATCAGGGTTTAGGGCATTCAAGGTAGCAGCAAGCGCCAGAACGGGAGAGGGGCGAGTCTAGGCCTGAATGGGGGGAATGATAGAAATTAAGGAGGTAGAAGACGACGATGCGACACTCACGAGGCCGTCGATCTGCACGGATCGCAGCGGCTGTGCGACCTCCTCTGTCGCAGCTGCTTGTGCGAAAGACCTCACGGGGGCTGCGAAACAGGTGACACAGCGACGCGCAAAGGAAACAAATATCGACCGCAATGACTCGCACAGATAAAACTATCACTGTGTAAAGAGCTTCTGGGAATTGACGACGTTGCAGTGGATTGAGGTTAACCATGACTCGTCCCTACCTGCTCCTGGTTCGGCCATGATCGCGCGTTCTTAATCTGCCAGCTACTCGTTTCAACAAGTTTTCCTGACTTCGATAACTGAAGGGGGATAGAGTGGGGATCCCGTAGCAGACGCTAAGGACTGCTGGGGAAAGAGACGGAGGAAGGTAGAACCTGAAGGCAGATAGAGAATGACGGGAACGGGGCGATGTCCGCTTTATGAGCTGCTGGACAACTCGCTTACTCATCGGCTGTATCCCAAAAAAAAAAAACAAATTGGCCAATACAGCAGTACAAATTAATTTTGGAAATTGTTGTAAGAAAATAAGATTTTTGAGGCAAAAACTCTATTTTTTGAAGATTTATTGTATTATGGGATCAAACCGATCACAAACGAGGTGCACCATCAGGAATAACACAATGCACATCAAAAGCAAATATAACCTTCTCAGCGTGAAACTAATGTTGTCTACAGCTTGTATACCCTATTCGTAGGACGTGTATATCGAAGTTGCTTGGCTGTGCAGCCCTTTCCCTTCTGCACCAATAGCGTCGTTGAAAATTCAGGATGGCAGATATGCAAGATGTGGCTGTGCGAGGGAGAATCTCTTCTCATCCAGCTCATGAAGCTACAAGACAAAACTTGGCTGCCTTTGACTCGGACGTATTTCTAAGCTGCCCTACCTGACCCCTGAAGTCTTCAGTGCGTACAACAGGCTGTGAAAAGCATCAACAAAATGCGTGCAACAACGACCCACAAGCTTGACGATCTGTAGTGGTAACGTAATGTAAAGAACACTCACTCCGCTCAAAACAAACCTCATCAATCAATCACGTGGAAGCAAAACAGAATCCTGGGCAGGGCACGTTTTAGCTGACATCACCTTGATCATAACCGAAATCGCATCGCATCAATTTGCACGTTCCGCGTCGCATTCGTCAGGGACCTCGAGGAAACAAACACCCATTGACATTCGCCCCATTTGTCTCGCCGCCGTCCGCGTGCCGCTGCGCCAATAAAGATCCTCGCGGCTGCGGGATGCCCTGCTTCTTTCTGTGCTGGAAATGAAACAACAGAAATCGACGGCTAGAGGCTCCTTTGGTGCTGCGTCTAGTCGGACAACATCTGCTTCTTTTTGTCCCCTGTCCTCGCAAGCGCCTCGCTCGTGCTGTGGCCTGCATCCTCATCCGCTGCATTTCCTCCCCTACCTGTATTTCTCGCTTCGATGTGTGTGCGTAGGTCGCGATTTATTGAGGGGTAGAAAGACACTTTACATCACAGTTCGTTTCAATCCCGACCCAAACACAAACTTATCACACGTGGTTCCCCTTTTGAACGTCAGCGAGACGAGATCCTCTCCTTTTTGGTATCCTTTCGTGCTCTGGCGAGAAGCGGACATGTCGCAACGCGCAGCGAAGCCCAGCCATGACACACCTCCAGTCATCAAGCACTTCGGCGCTACTAACCCCGCGAAGAACCCTTCGTCTGTGGTAACCCTACCGTGCAAGCCTCCGTTACAAGATCACGCATCGAATCCTCCTCCGAACCGCGGCGCGCACCCAGAATGCCGCAAGCCGCCGGGCCAGCAGAGGTTCCTGTATTGTCTTGAGGAGATTAAAGAGGCCGAAATCAACCGCGCCGCGTTATGTCCCAAACTATCCGTCACACCTGTGGATCGTCATGGTCCAGCGATGATGAACCCGTCGCCGGGCGACGGTTTTTGTCCCGCATCGTCGTCGTCACTGTCGCCTGCGCAATGTTCCCCGCCTTTTCATTACGACAGTCTAGCAGGGTACGATGGCGTGTCGACGTCGATGTCAACACACAACGGATACGCCGAATCGGCGTCGCACTTTCGTCGCCAGGCGATGTCGCCCGCGTCAGCGTCGCCCAGCAACTCTCAGTCGCTGGCGCCCGAATCTGAGTTTTACGCATACCCGCCGCCGCCGCCGCCGCCGCCGCCGCCGCCTACTGCGCTCTCGCCGACGTTCTCACTCCCCACCTACGCGTCCTACACCGCGTCGCACCCTCCTTCTTCCCTCTGCGGCCCCACCGCGCTCCCCGCGCCGCTCGCTTCGAGGTCTCCTTCCGCGTCCTCCGCCACCTCCTTCCCGTCGTCGTCGTCGCCGCGACGACATCCTTCCGCGTCGTCCTCGTCGGAAGCGGAGGAACTCGGCCCCTCCGCGTGCCCCTTCCACGCCAGCTTGCTCTCCGAGTACGCGCCCTTCTCCGCTTTAGTCAACGGCACGGTCAACGCGGGGGTCAGCGGAACGGTCAACGGGGGGTTCAACGGATTGGTCAACTCGAGGGGCGTCAACGCGATGTCGCCGCCCGCATCCTTTCCCTCTCGCCTCGCCAAAGCGCCGCTGGAGAGAACGAGTTCGGGGACCGCGGCACTACGCGGGGGGCTCGCCGCGGGCGGAAATGGCGGAGCTTTCCCCGGGGTGGCGGAAGCGAGCGCGGGGATATGTAGTCGCGAGCTGATGTCGACGATTGTTACAGCTCACGACATTTTCGCACGCGACATGGTGAGTCGTCGCCCTGACCCAAATTGGGATGTCTTGTGATATGATGGTGTTTGTGAGCCCGTCTCGTCCCAGTTTTCCCGTGAATATCCCCATATCCCGGGAAAACTGCTCTCTCCCCATATCCCTGCTTTTCATCCCCCCTGCTATCACGGCGCCACGGTCTCGCCGTGACCATCCTCTTCTTTCTGTCATGTTCGCCTTCCCCCCTCCCCACGCCATTCCCCGCTCTCCCCCTACCCACCCCCCAACCCCTTCCCCGCGCAGTCCCCCAACGGGCACCAGGTAGCGGACTACCTATTGTCGCGGCTGCTGCACCTCACGCGCTCCTCCGCTGGCTGCATCTCCAGCGCCCTCCGCCGCCCGCGCACCCGCAACTGCAGCAGCAGCAGCAACAGCAGCAGCGGCGGCGGCGGCGGCAGCGGTGGCAGTGAGGAGGAGGAGTCGTTGTTCCTGAGGACGCACAGCATCACCAACTTCGCCTGGACGCCGTACCTCAAGGCGTGGTACGCGGAGAACGCGGCCTCGGGATTGGTTTTCGGCAACATGAAGACGCTCATGGGCCAGGTGGTTACCGCGGGTGACGTCATCGTGAGCAATGACGTGGCGTCGGATCCGCGGTCGACAGGAGTGCCGCCCGGACACCCGCCCATGACGACGTTTCTTGGCGTGCCGCTGTTCTCAGGTGAGGCTAATTAGCGATTCATTTGAGGACAAACAGTCTCGGTTATTTGATCAATAGAAGTTGCGTTTTGAGACGTCTCAAACTTCACCTTTAATCAGGTGAGGCATGTTTGTGTTGCATTTTCTGGTTAATATGGTATTGCAAAGATAGAAACTCTGAAGTGCATAAATGGTATTTTATCTTACAGCCCCTCCATTTCCAATACCATCGCATATCCATCTTCACTCCCTCTACCCATATCCGCATCCCTTCGCTGCACCCCTCTCCTCCAATCACAGGCTCTCGTCTCGTCGGCATGTTCGCAGTGACCAATCGCGAGGGCGGCTACAGCAAGTCCCTAGTCACAGAGCTGCACGCGCTAACCAAGACAGTGGGGCAGGTTGTAGCGGGGATACAGCAGCGGCGCCAGCGGTGGGAGCGCGAGGAGCGGTTGAATGCGGTGCTGGAAGGTACCTGCCAGGCTGTGCTGTCAGTAGCTCCGTCCGGCCGGCTCTCCTGCATCAACCGCGCTGCTCGGAGCCTCTTTGGGGTTCCGGACCAAGCCATGGGTCCCCACCCCTCCGGAGGAGGAGCAACGTCATCCTTGGGTCAGTCGCTTGCTACCCTATGTGAATCCGAGCTCCTGATATCGGATTTGATTGAGAGTGTTGATGGGGATGCGGATTTTATGCGACAAGAAGTGCTGCAAAGATTTGCTGACTCGGGAGATTCACTTCCCGCTGTAGGCCTGTACCATAGAGACTGGTGCAGCCATGAACGGAGGAGCTTCCAAGGTCGCTCTGATCGTGACATGTCGGCAGCTGCTGTCAGGATCAATCTCCGTGTGAGAGTGACACGTGGCGAGACGCCACAGGTGGCATACGTGCTGACGGTGCAGCTGGCAGGAGGAGCATCATCAACCGAGAGAGGATTCCCTTACCGTCACACATCTTGTGGGCGTGCAGAAGGGATCTGGAGAGGAGTAGCAGCAGACAGGGTTGTGGGCGGGGATGGGGAGGGAGAGGAGGATGGGCACGAGTGTCAACTGCTGGATGAAGATGGGACACTCACCATCGTGGTCTGAGTCCTCGTGCAGAGGGTAATGTGATGAGACAGCACGAGGGTAGGCGAAGATGGGGATGGAGAGGGCGAGGAGGATGCGCATGAGTGCCAGCTGCTGGATGAAGACGGGATGCTTACCATCGTGGTCTGAGTCCTCTGCCAGGATGCTTCTGCTGTTGGTAGGTTTGACACTCAGTTGCGTAAGGCTTGGTGGTGCACTAGGGGTGTCATAGAGTGATGGTCTGGTGGGATGAACCCACGTTTGCGTTGGATAGTGATAGCAGCAATGCCAGCAGGGCGGGGTGGGATGGACTGGTGGGGTGACCGGTACTGGTGCTAATGTAGCAGCTTGCTCTGCACCAATTTTGTCTATGACTGCTACTACCTGTTTTGTACTACAGACCTTACCGTATGTGCATCCAGTCCACCGGAGTGGTGATCGGGACAGGATGCTAATAAGCTTAGCTCAATGCAGTGATGATTCTATCGTGACAGCAGCAACCACAAACGTCAAGTACATGCAAATCAAGCAGACACCCCAGGTCCTGGTTACTCTAAACCCGGACCACACCACACATGCAATTGAGGAAAGCACCCCTCCCAGCAGAAAAAACAGCGCCAGCAGCACATTCGGATGGTGGTACAACACCAACGGCTCAGGGTACAAGTCCCAGCTACGGACAGCCAACGCCGACCCAACCCCGACCATGAGATTAAACATCGGCCCCGCAAAACACCCCGCAATCGCCATCGTCGGGTGCCCAGCCTTCGCTATAGTCACATCCGCTACAAGATCGCCCACGGAGTTCCCCCAGGCAAGCACGGTAATCCCAAGGATGGATGGGGAGACATGCAGGATAATCCCAAGGGCGGAGAGCAGGCCTAGAAGCTCAGAGGCAGTTAGAGCGATCCAAAAGACAGACATGGCGAAGGAAACGGGGACGATGAGAGAGCGAGGGGTGCCTATTGGGCTTGAAGCACGGGTGGCAAGGAGATACGCTGCAGCGCAGAGGCAGCTTTGAATGAGCACGAAGGAGCGGACGGCGAGGGAGGAGGTGGAGAGGGTGGAGGAGGAGGAGAAGAGGGAGGAGGCGGGGGAGGCAGAGGAGGAATCCGAGGAGAGGGAGGTGGAAGAGAGGGAGGAGCGGGGGTCGAGGGGCGGGAGGAAGAAGAGGAGGTTGGAGTCGGGAGGAAGGAGGGCGCGGATGGTGTGGATGGCGATGAGAGGGCAGAGGGCGACGTTGGCAGTGGCGTAGCGGATGTCCCATGCGGAGGGGTCGATGGATGGAATGGTGGCCAGGCGCAGCGGGTCAAAGACTACGTGCAGGCATGTGCGCAGCTGCAGGGAGGGGGGGAGAACAAGGTGAGAGGGCAGTGAGTGGGCAGAGGGCGACGTTGGCGGTGGCATAGCGGATGTCCCATGCAGAGGGGTCGATGGATGGGATGGTGGCCAGGCGCAGCGGGTCAAAGATGATGTGCAGGCACGCCCTCAGCTGCAGGGACGGGGGGAAAACAATGGGAGAGGGCAGTGAGTGGGCAGAAAGGGGCGTTGGCGGTGGCGTATCGGATGTCCCATGAAGAGGGGTCGATGGATGGGATGGTGGCCAGGCGCAGCGGGTCAAAGAGCACATGCAGGCATGCCCTCAGCTGCAGGAGAGTGGGGGAACAAGAGGAGAGGGCGATTAGAGGGCAGAGGGTAACGTTAGCGGTGGCATAGCGGATGTCCCATGCGGAAGGGTCGATGGATGGGATGGTGGCCAGGCGCAGCAGGTCAAAGACCACGTGCAGGCATGTGCGCAGTTGGAGGGGAAGGGGAGTAAAAGGAACGAGATGGGGGGTGGGGAGGGAAGGGACAGGGAAGGAGGGGATACATTGACCGAGGAATGGGGAAAGGGAGAGGGCAAGAGAGAGTGGCAGGTGGCTTTAGGGTAGGGGAAAGAGTGGGGGGAGGACAGTCGAGACCTAAGGCTGTGAGATTTCATGAGTGAAATCAAGAGCAAATGTTTTGCAATTTGAGGCCCTTGAGGTAAATACCTTCTCAGGCCAGGTGGTGAGTGCCCAGAGCGCCAGACGCCAGAGGCGAGAGACATGGGCAAAGGCATGCGGAGGTGGCTTGCGAATGCCATGGTGGTGGTGAGCAAGGGGTGACGAGGATCGGAACAATGGCAGCAATGGCTGCTGCTGCGCCTGCTGCTGCTGCAAATGCTGAAGCTGATGCTGATGCTGAGGCTCATCACCTGTGTCATCTCCTGGCTGCTGCACCACATGACTCTTGTATCGCGTCACAGGGGTGTCATGCGTGACGGCAGCGGTTTTCTGATCCTCCATAGGCGAATGGGCATGACCATGACCATGACCATGACCATGCGCATGCGGATGGGCATGTGAATGGGGCGGATCTGGCGGCTCCCATGCATTGGACACTATGGCCACGGCCACGAAGCAGACGTAGAAGGCAACGAGGCCGGCTGCCTGCCAGAGGTACACGTGGCCTGAGAGGTACACGAGCAGCAGCAGCAGCACGGCTGTTGCAAAGAGGCACGAGTCACGCAGGAAGGGACGCGGTCGCACGGGGAAGGGCGCGGCTGCGACTGCGACGCAGCCCACCACGAAACACGTCACGAATGCGCCTGCACTGGAAGCGGGGAGGATGGGGAAGTAGGGAATGACTTGTTGCATTTGTTGCATTTGGAAAGAAACACCTGCACTCCACTTCAGTCGATGCTATCGCATTCTCATCCCACACCCCGCCATCTCCAATCAGCTAGGTTACAGGACGAAGAAAAGGAATTGACTCCTAAGATCCCCAGTCAGCTTGATTCAATCTCAATGGGTTAAGACAAAGCACATTCTCCCGCGCACGCACCTGACGACTGCTCCCAACCCCACTTTCGGATTCCCCCCAACGATCGCCGCTAGAGATGAGAACACGTCAGGAGCTCCGTTCCCCAGCGCCAATAGCGTCACGCCAGCTGTGCTGGGCGAGAGGCCGAGCATGGAAGACATCGTCTCCACAGTCGGGCAGAAAAAACGGTCAGCTGTGTCAGCGAGCAGAAAAAGAGCCGCGAGTAGCCCTAGGAGGAGCAGCGGGAGTGAGATCCAGGAGCGTGCACCGAGGATACAATAGTGAAGGTCGATGTAGTTAATTAAAGACTTGGAGCCTGCTGATGTACAGTATTGTCGGACATAGTCGCATTTAGCTGCTGACGTGGTGTTTCTCGGCAACAAATGCACGGACGCGCACATACGTGTATCTGACGTGTCACCATTAGTAGTACAGTCAGTGCAGTTCTTAGTGGCATTCAGGAATGTATGCTCGAAGCGCTCGTGCTGCTGAGGAGGGTTAGAAGTAAGTAGTCGTCGCTCCGAATCGGCACCATCTGCTTGAGGCAGGCGTATGACGGAACGGTCGTTCGTAGCGGAATTTCTCCAAGAGTTGCCATCGGGAAACTTGGAGCTTGAAGCTCCTGCTTCGACTGCCAGCAAGGCGAAAAGGGCTATCCACGCGCACCGTGTACCCATGACCATGGTTGCTAGGGAATCATTATAGGAAAGAGCGACAAAAACGGCGAGGAACCAGAGCTCTGGATCCGTTTCCTGCCGTTTGGTTAGTATGATACGAGGAAATCACACAACGGACTGACTGACGCTGATAGGGGAACCAGTTACCACACATTCGGCTGATAGGGGGACTTGTGGATGCTTCATATCCGCGATACAATCAGCAATGCAATGTCGAAGAATGAGCAAAACTGAAACCAGTTATATCAACAACCACTGTACAAATTCAACCCACCACAGCCAGGTCCTGAGCTTGTAAATTCACGCCCCTCAGGATTGTTGAAATTGCGCCTCGGACGGAATTTGACGCATGCCAGGGGTCAAAAGAAGCAGACCTCGTTCTGCTCTTGTAACAATCGGCATTCTCGAGAGTTGTCATGTCCAGCATTTCTCGATCCTGTGCCGAATATGTTCTTCGTGACCTTCCATGTGATGTCCCTGAAAGCGACGTCTCGACAGAGCCAGAGGGGATGAAATGTCGGCATTTATTCCACGAAGATGTTGGTGCTTCATACCAGGTGATCTTGGCTATTGTTATCGACGACATACTTTGGATTGCGGATTGCGGGGCTGCAATGTCAGGCGTTGCTGGGTTTGGTATGGCCTCTGAGCTCGCTGCAACCTTAGCGTCTCAGGCACTTCAGGTCGGAAACATGAACATCACTCATTCTGTGCGTAATAAGTGTAAATGATGCAGCTTCGAGCTGTTCTTGCAGGAAAACGGACTCCCTCCTGGGCTATTGCCACTTCAAGAGGTTGTGCAGAGCACGAACACGAGGACTGGACCCTTTCAAGTGAAACTTAGTCACAGCGTGGAAAGAAAGATTCACGGAAATCTTGTCCGCTATTCTTCTGAAGTCCGTGGAACCATATGTCGCGGAAAAATCACAAATCTAAAGGCAAGATACTCTTCGTACTTTTGCTTGCGAATCCGTCGTCACATTCTTACGCTGACACCCTTTTCCGTGCAGGGAGTTCACGTCAGAAGGTTGATGTTGTGGCTGTCTGTTGACTCCATTGAAAGCAAAGAAGCCAACTCTTCAGATATTCACTTCCGTGTGGGTCCAGTATCAGAAGGAATTCCTCGCTCAGCCTTTTGACTAGTGCCTCAGTAAGTTGACGTAGACGGCCTCTCAGTAAGCCAGGAAGAAGTTGACATCTCTGTTTCTCTCCAAAGGGGTATCACACCAGTTCCGTTTTGGGGTGTGTATTGGTGCAGGAAACGTTGCTGTTGGTTGAAATACCCTTGGTGGAGAACAATCTTGTTCTGTTCCCTTTTGTAGTGGAGATATTGGGTATCTGTGTTGACAGATCCATCGTATAAATATGATATGAGCTTCCTCAACAGCTTGTTCCTATCTTCCTGTCTCCCTAAACATCACACACAGCCACCAAGCTACTCTGCTGCTACTGTCACTTGTAGCCGTTGACCAACACAAAAGCACAAAATGAAGTCCAGAAGTGGAGATTTTCCTATACAGAGATAACTATACAGTAAGTAGTCGCAAATCAACTGCACATTAATTAGTCGCGAAACTCAATTTATCCCACTCTTCTCTAGCTTTTAAAAATGTTGCTACCCACAGCCACCACGCTGGCTTGGTGCCGATCTTCTTTGTGCTGAAAGCTGCTACGCTTTTGAAGAACCACCCTCCAGCTTTCACTAGTAGTCCTATTAGGAGGAGAGTCAGGGCCACTCGACTTGGGTCGCTGTTGGCCATCACAGAAACTCCGAACACCGCCAGGAGAACAGGCACCGCAAACAGATCCAGACCTTCGCAGAATTCGAGCATGCTTAGTCCGAAAACCTCCTTTCCATTTCTGGAAGCAGGCTGGATCTCTTTGACTGCTATGGCCTTGCTCCCGTCCACGAAACATGGCTCTTGTGGTGAGCTTTTTCTTTCGCCCGTGTTGTCAGTAGCTGTTTCTGCTTGCCCCTTAGAGAGGAGCAACAATAAAGAAGCCAAGCTCACTACGATAAGGCTTGCTCCAATGAAGCTCCTCCATACGACAGGTAGCACCATGAGGTGCTTCGGCGGGAAAATAGCAATGCATCCAAGGAAGCTGGCCAGGAGCAAGTGCAGTAGTGAAACGTCCACTCCATTAAGACTAAAATTAGACGAACTCCTTATGACGCCAATGGCCTCTGAGTTGGGAGGAACCGTCGCCGACGGGAATGAAGATGGCTTGCAGAGTGGAGATGACGGACGGTTGGGATGGCACAGATCAAGCTTCCGCGGCGTCACGTTTTCAGCAAACACGGCGCTGTTTTGCGGCGAGACGGACGGAGAGCTTTTGCTGCTATTGCTCAAGGAGCCACAAGGGCTGCTGCTGAGCGCCTGACTTGGTTCGGACTGTCGCGTGTGATGACGAGAGCAGAACTTTGATGGGCAAGAAGGCCAGGCGGAAAGAGACGATGAACACACTTTCTCCCCTGTCGACGTGGGATCAGTTAAAGACCGCGCGCGAGGGAATAACCAGCTTCGACACAACCGCTTCCGACGGCTTCGCGAGGAGGAAACAGGCCGGTTCTCCAAACCATTTGTTGACCCATCCGCGAGAGCTTCAAACGTCAACTTCACCGGATAATCACCTTCCGTCGAGCAAATGTCGTCTTCGCCTTGGTGCTCATTGAGGGACGCGAGATCGTCTGGGCAAGAAAGCCTCCGCCGCGGGCTGTCGCTATGATGCAAGAAATGCGGTCGCCGCCAGTGGAAGCCCTTCGAATGGTCCTCTTGAACTGGTGAGCACGCGTGGAGGCTAGGCAGACGCTCAGCTGATTTCACGGATTGGCTTTCAAACCCTGCAGTCTCCTCGACACGCCTCACGTCGGACACCATCGCCGCACTTCTGGCGTTACGCGTGCTTATTCTTCGCCAGAAGGATGCGGCGTGCGTCTCCATTGATCTCGTTGGACTCGACATCTGTTTCTCATACACCCGGAAGGAGTTGCAAGCCTAGAATGAACGATCAAAAGAACGCCGCGAAACTGTTATTTTTTTCCAATAACAAGCGTTCAGTCAGTAAGCTTCACACGGCGTTACAGAGAGATTGGCGCATCGCAGCCAAAATATCTAATATATGACCAAGAAAACAATGGCGGACTTGGTAGTCGCCTGGCCTACTACTGGTGCCACAGTCGGTGTGCTCGTCAGTGGAAAATCTGCTGAGATAGGAGGCTTCACTTCACAGCTAGCATTCCGTGTGTGGAAGGGTGACGACGTTCCGTTGCTCTCTTCTGTTTGGCCACCTGTCCCTCTGCGCGAACCTTTATTCCGAATCTCTTCCAGCCAAGCGCCGAAAAAACCGAACCAAACCACCGTGCCCTGCACCTCCTGCCTGACCTGACGTGTCCTGTCACTCAGTAGAAATTGCGTGGTCGCCTCCCTCACCAAGCCACACTTCCGAGCCTGTTGCGTTATTCGCGCGCCTGACTGGCCTTTTCTTTCCCCCAAAATTACGTCAGGTCCGGAACAGCGCCAGCCAGCCTGTGGTTTGCTCGACGTCCAGCTGCGCGTTTGGCTTTCCCCGCCCCCCTTTCCGCCCTACGCGGCCCCATTCGTTCCACATCGTTGATCTAAGCCAGACGCTTCAGCGCCGTCAGATCACGGTTCGGACGACTATACTTGGCACCACCCTCGATAATGATGACGTGACGGTTTCATGCCTGGGCTCCTTCCCCGATTCCCCCAACTTCAGGGATTTCGTCACAGCCAGCCGAACTATCCGGGCACCTGCCTTATCGCCCGTCAATCTCAACTGGGGAGAGACCTTGGGTGTGCTGTGCGACAGTCATACCCAAACGAGATTGGTTGAGCATGCCTAGGCGAAAAGGGAAACCCTGTGTAGCGAGCAAAATCCGTGTCCCCCAACCTGATACAGTACACGTGTAAATCGAGCGAGCACGTCATCAGAACGGTGAAACTGTTTACAAGGAAGTGTCCACGAAGAAGGGATGAATTTGTGATGACGTACGCACAGCGCCTGCCCCGTGGAAAAGTATTCCCTCCGCAGAGGCCTTCGTTAACGAAATTATCCGCCTCTTCAGCACAAAGCAATCATCCGTGCAGCATGAGTTGTAGGAAGGGGTGATATTTCTTGAATTGATTCCATTCCAGCAATGTAAGCTTGCTCCTCAAGCCCAAATCATAGCCCCAAGGTGTTGGAAGTGCTACACATTTCACTATTAGCTCCCCAATCACTCTCACCTAAAACACTTCCTAACAGTCTAGCACTTACTGCATTGAAGTCGAGCATCTAGTGAGCTTACTTTATAGAGGAACAAATGCACATCAATCAATCCTGTAGCTTCAGTTGATCCCACTCTTCCCTAGCTTTTAGGAACTTCGCTACACACAGCCACCAGGCTGGCTTGGTGCCTACCCTCCTTGTGCTACGAGCTGCTACAGCTTTCAAGAATAGCACTCCACCTTTCACAAGCAGCCCTGCTAGGAGGAGAATCAAGGCCACTCGACTTGGGTCGCTGTTGGCCATTACAGAAACTCCGATCACCACCAGGAAAACAGGGACTGCAAACAGATCCAGATGTTCACAGCAACACAGCGTCCCTCGTCCGAAAACATCCACTGTATGTCTGGAAGAAGATTGAACCTCTTGGGGTTCAGTGACCTTCCTTTTGTTCAGGAAACGGGGTCCTTCTGGTGGATTTTTCTTCTCAGCAGTGTTGCCAACACCAGCTGTGGATTGCCCCTTGGAGAGGAGCAACAATGAAGAAGTCAAGCTCACTACGGTAAGACACGCTCCAACGAAGATTCTCCACGTGACTGGCAGCACCATGAGGTGCTTCGGCGGGAAAATAGCAATGCATCCAAGGAAGCTGGCCAGGAGCAAGTGCAGCAGTGAATCGTCTGCACCGTTAAGACTGACATCAGGCGAGCTCCAGGGGTTGGGAAGAACCGTGGCGGAAGGGTTCAAGGATGGCTTGCAGAGTGGAGGCGACGGACGGTTGGGATGGCACAGATCAAGCTTCGGAGGAGGCACGTCATCAGCAAACACGACGCTGCTCTGCGGCGAGACGGACGGAGAACTCTTGCTGCTATTGCTCAAGGAGCCCCACGGGCTGCTGCTGAGCGCCTGACTTGGTTCAGACTGTCGCGTGTGATGACGAGAGAAGATCTTCGACGGGTAAGAAGGCGGCAAGGCGGAAGGGGACGATGAACACGGCCTCTCCCCTCGCGTGGGAGAGAATAACCAGCTTCGACGGCGGCGAGTGCCACTCGCGGAAGCAGGCCGGTTCTCGAAGCCATTGGTTGTCGGCCCATGATCCGCGATTTTATCAAACGTAGACTTCTCCGGAAACTCATCTTCTGTCGAGAAAACGTCGTGTCCGGTATCATGACTCATCAAATGCTGCATCGAATGCTGCTCATTAGTAAGGGCCGCGAGATTGTCTGGGCAAGAAAACCGCCGATGCAGCCTGCGCCTACCATGATGCAAGAAATGCAGTCGCCGCCAGTGAAAGCCTTTAAAATGGTCTTCTCGAGCGGGAGAGCATTGCTGCAGCCTAGGCAGCTGACGCTCAGGCGTGGGGACACTGTCAATGATTTTCACGAAACTGCTTTCGACCTCTGCAGTCTCCTCGATACGGCTCATGTCGGACAGCATTGTCGCACTCCTGGCATGCCGCGAGCTGCCGGTTTTTCCCCAGAGGTTTGCGGCGTCACCTTGATGGTGACGGTGCGTATCCATGATTGGCCTTGTTGGGCTGCGAAGTCTAGATTAATTCGCGATCTGTTACTCTCTCATGCGTCTGGAGGGTGCTGCGAAGCCTAGATTGATCGACCGGAGGTCGCCGCGCGGCGAATCTGTCAGTACGCCTCGCACGGCGGTATGGAGGCTCTGTTATGATGAGGGAAACAGTGGCTGTGTTGGTACATAGTGCAGAGGTGACTCAAAAATCACCCCGTCTTGGTACATAGTGCAGCGTTTGGCCCGGCTAGTGCTGCCGTTGCCATCCCGGTGTGCTTGTCAGTCATAAATCTGCTGATATTGGAGGCAAACTCTTCACAGCTAGCTTCTGCTTGAAACGGCTTCGTTCCGTTGCTCCTTCCGGTTGAAGCAGCAGCTCTCTGAGCGAGCATTCATCGCAAACTTCTTCCATATCCGATAACGCCGAACGCACGCCGCATAACCTGCACCTTCTATCCCGGCCTATCCCTTCTCTCCGGCCCTATCCTGTCTGTAGAAATTGCGTGGTCGTCACTCTCCAAGCCACACTCTATCGAGTCTGCCTACGATTAGAATGTGCGCGCCTGACTCGACTTTCCTTTACCCTGAGCCGCACGTTTGGCTTTCCCCGTCCCGCGTCTTCCGCCGCCCTATTCTATAGAAACCGTTCCACACCCTTGATCTCAGCCAGCTGCTTCGCCGCCGTTCGACTGCGACTCGGAGGACTTGCGTGGTACCACCGCCGACGATGATGACGTGGCTCTCGACGATGATGTACACCCAGTCTCCTTTCCCAATTTCGCCAACTTCAGGGATTTCGCTACAGCTAGCATCGCGCAAATTTCCGAGGACTTGGTTGTTGTGCAGTCAGCGCTAGGCCGCCCTGGCTCCAGGTCGGATCGGAAGACTACACGTAGTGCGGCGGAATCTCAAGCACTCAATACTGCGCTCTGGCTGAGCTTTGCCGACTTTTAGCTTGGGCAACCTAAAATAGTATGGGCTGGGGAAGGGTGTCACTGTCACATCTGTGTGGCCAGAACTTCGGCAGCCCTTGTGGCGAAATACCAGGTTGCGACTTTTAGCGATTGCATTAACTTGTGCAAACCCCTAACTTTCTCGCCACCAACGGCCGGACATGCGACGTTCAGAATGCCATCTCGCTGTAACGCACGAACAACCGTATTGGTAACTAGCAACAACACTACAATTCGAGCTTGAGTGTGCGACACTGGCAAATTTACCCTCCATAGAGCCCTTCGTTAAAGAAGTACCCCTTGCCGCACCATGAGACAATCTTCGCGTGCAGTTGAATCTGTAAAACGAGTTGAAAGCAAAGGGCAGTGTTGTGATTGGGTGGACAGGATAATGATTCAATGTGCAATTTGTGATTATTATGTCGTTGAGGTATAATGCGAACACCTGATTTTTTTTTTTTTTTTTTTGTGCTAATCCTGGCTGATTTGTTACTTTAAAATATTACAATGTAGCATAATTACGCAAGGAAAAGGAGTGGAAACGGGAAGAGAGGAGAAAAGGAGGAATAACGTGAGTAGAAAAAAGGAGAGAGGAAGAAAGAAGGAGGGGAATAGGGGAAAAATGATAGGAGGAAGAAAAACAGGGAAGAAGGAAGAAAAAGCAGCACACACAACCCCAAGAAAACCCCAATAGCACACACATTTAAAACACCATCAAGCCCTCCCATCAAAGCACCCCAACTGCACTCCCATCGAACCAAACCTCCCCCCCTAAACCCACTCCCTAAACCCGCATGTCTACCAAGTATGGTGCATCCGCCCACGGAGCATCCCATCCCATCTCCTCCTCAACATCCTCCCGCTCCACCCAAACAGCCTCTGGGCCTCTCATCATCGACGCCGCGCGTAACAAGATCACACGCGCCTGAGCCCGTTGCAAAGCCACACCCACAGCCGCTTTGAGCGATCCGAGCAAATAAGCCGAGAAACCCTTTCCCGTAGGAGAAAATAATGATCAAGAAATTAAAGGGTTGCTGTGAAGGCGTTCCAGAATCAACTCATACGGTGGTTTGTTCCTCAACTGCGATAACGGAAAACGGAGCTCCTAATGTTCGCCCATGGGATTCTCCCACAGGCCCGCATTCACAGAATAAACTCCACTCGTTCCAGCTCCGTTTCACAGCTAACCAGTGACTCTCTCCTCGCAGCATTCTAGCAACTATCTATTCACAAATCGCCTATCCCTGGTAGTAAATCTTCCGCCTTGTGCCGCGCAGCCCTCCGCTGCACGCGCCGTTGATATCTCGTACAGCATTATTAAGCCAGCAAAGATGACATCAGTGAAAACAAGTCTTCAGTGCTCCGTTCCGTACCCTCACCCGAAACGTCAAGATAAGGTTTTTAGCGGAAAACACGGAGTCAGCTTGAGCTGGTCAGCCTGCCTCAATCCGTTCTCGTTTAAGCATGCTTTAAATAATAGTTTAGACGGTCTCAGCCGGTCAAAATCTCGCATTGTGGCTGCCGCGCGCACTGGCAAGAGCGGTCGCGTCGGCACGCGAACCAGCGGCGGGAAACGGCCCGGAAGCGGAAGGGTGGTAACGAAGCCCGCGCCGCAGCCCCCTTCCGCGCGGCGCGCCCGTCGACGCATCCGCGTTCCGCTGCCGTCCTCTGGCCCACTGAAACCCCCCGCATGGGCTCGCCAGGTGCGCTGCTGGGCGGGTTAACCATGCGGAGGAGGAACCATCCTGGTATCATGGAGAATCTCTAGTGTTGGTGCATCAGCGAGACGTCTCGACATTGCATGGTGGTGCAGCCGCAGCCACAGGTTCCCGCGAGTCAATCTATTTTTGATGATACAACCGCCTGGGTCTCACCGATATTGGGCTGCTGTTGTTCCTGGAGCATGGTGGGATGCATTATCCTTCTCTCCCTCCCTCTCTCCCGCTACATTCTTCCACCGCCCAGGCCATAGAGCAGCAGCCATGGAGGGGGGGATTAGAGCCGTGTGGGGAGCACGACTACACGCTCTCCCCCTCCAACCCCGCGCACGTGAGCGGGCGGATACCAGAGGCGCTGCAGGGCACGCTGTACCGCTGCGGGCCGGGGCGGATCCGAGTAGGGGGAACGAAGTTTGGCCACTGGTTCGATGGCGATGGCATGGTGAGTTGGGGAGCACGACTACACGCTCTCCCACTTCTATTCCGCGCACGTGAGCGGGCGGATACCAGAGGCGCTGCAGGGCACACTGTACCGCTGTGGGCCGGGGCGGATTCGCGTGGGCGGGACCAAGTTTGGTCACTGGTTCGATGGTGATGGCATGGTGGGTGTGTAGGTTGTTTGCGAGAGAAGGGTAGGCAGTGCATTGTGAGAGGAGCTACAGCACTGTACTGCTGTGGGCGGGACCAAGTTTGGTCACTGGTTCGATGGCGATGGCATGGTGGGTGGGTGTGGGCTGTGTGTGAGTGTGCGAGAGAAGGGAAGGCATTACATTGTGAGAGGCGCTGCAGGGCACGCTGTACTGCTGTGGGCCGGGGCGGATCCGAGTAACACTGGTTCGATGGTGATGGCATGGTGAGTTTGGGGAGTGTGTAACGATGTGGGGACGACACGGGGAGCATGCGTGTTGGCTGGCATCGTGGAATTGACAAGGTAAGTGTGGTGCAGCCTGTTTTTGAGGCGCCTCAAAAACAGGCATGGGGAGCGTGCGTGATGTCGATGTGGTGGGGCTGACAAGGCAAGTGTGGTGACAATTGATCACCAGCGTTTCATTCACTCCCACGCTCTCTCCTCTCCAATCTCCGCATACCCATCACAAATATCCCTCCTCGTTCCCACGCCTTCTCCTCTCCCAACCACCCGTCCCTTGCACTCCTTCCCAGGTCTACGCCTTGCATCTGGACGGCCCCACTGGTACGGCACGGTTTGTCTGCACGTGGGTGCGCACATCAGCCCTGGAGCAGCGGGGCGGACTCGAGGTGGAAGCAGGCGAGAGGAGGGGGGAGGAGAAGGAGGACACGGGGATACGCGTGAAGGGTGCATGGACACAGGCCACTGCTGGGGGACCGTTGAAGAACGTTGGGCTGCCTGCTAACCCCGTCAACACCAGGTGAGGTGCTGAGATGCTGAGATGCTGAGATGCTAAGATGATAAGATGCTGAGATGCTAAGATGATGGGGGTTCCTCCCACATCTCTCCCTCCCTCCCATAACCCCTGCTTTGTGGACGCTAAACCACCCCACGTGCGCACGCACCCTCCCCCCCTCCCCACCAGCATCATTCACTTCGCCAGCCAGGTGTTTGCTCTGTGCGACAACTGCCCATCATTCCTCCTCCATTCCAACCCCCTCGCTCTGCTCTGCACACTCCCCCCATTTTCCACCTATTCCAACGCCCCCCACCAGCATCATCCTCTTCTCTTGCTGCATCTCCCCCCATTTTGCCTCCTGTTATTGCTGTGCGAGGGAGGCCCCCCATTCCTCCTGGACGCTCTTTCTCTTCTGCCTCCTCAACTACACCCACTCCCCCCCTTGCTCCACACCTTCCACATCCCCCACCATCCCTAACCAGCATCATCCACTTTGCAGGAAAGTTGCTGGCGCTGTGCGAGGGAGGCCCGCCATTCCTCCTGGACGAACAATCGCTGAGCACACTCGGCCCCTACTCCTTCCCCGGCCTGGCTCTGCCCTTCTTCTCCGCCCACCCCAAGCTCGACCCTACCACTGGAGGTGAGTGAAAAGCAGGCGAGGAGGCAGTGTAATTTGGGAGGTGGGAAAGCTGCTGGCGCTGTGCGAGGGTGGCCCCCCATTCCTCCTGGACGCACAATCGCTGAGCACGCTCGGCCCCTACTCCTTCCCCGGCCTGCCTCTGCCCTTCTTCTCCGCCCACCCCAAGCTCGACCCTACTACTGGAGGTGAGAGGCTAGCAGGCGAGCAGGCAAGCCGCCTGCTCTGAGCAAAACCACCGCACCCCACCCACCACCCCACCCCCCGGCCCCACCCTGCCCTCTCTCTCCCCACCAGAGCTCTACACCTTCGGCAGTATGCTGCTCGGCATGCAGCCATCAGCCTCTTCTTCTCTAATCATCCCAACTCTCGCGTGACCCATGCCAAGCCACCCAACCCCACCCCGACCCCTCCCCACCCTCTCCCCACCAGAGCACTGCAACTTCGGCAGTATGCTGTTGGGCATGCAGCCATTCGCCACCTTCTTCTCTGCCCACCCCCAAAGCCCCACCTAAACCAAGCCGAACCACCCACCTTGGACTGAGGGAGGAAGGACCTGAGGGAGGAACTGAGGGAGGAACTGAGGGAGGAACTGAGGGAGGAACTGAGGGAGGAACTGAGGGAGGAACTGAGGGAGGAACTGAGGGAGGAACTGAGGGAGGAACTGAGGGAGGAACTGAGGGAGGAACTGAGGGAGGAACTGAGGGAGGAACTGAGGGAGGAACTGAGGGAGGAACTGAGGGAGGAACTGAGGGAGGAACTGAGGGAGGAACTGAGGGAGGAAGGAACTGAGGGAGGAACTGAGGGAGGAACTGAGGGAGGAACTGAGGGAGGAACTGAGGGAGGAACTGAGGGAGGAACTGAGGGAGGAACTGAGGGAGGAACTGAGGGAGGAACTGAGGGAGGAACTGAGGGAGGAACTGAGGGAGGAACTGAGGGAGGAACTGAGGGAGGAACTGAGGGAGGAACTGAGGGAGGAACTGAGGGAGGAAGGAACTGAGGGAGGAACTGAGGGAGGAACTGAGGGAGGAACTGAGGGAGGAACTGAGGGAGGAACTGAGGGAGGAACTGAGGGAGGAACTGAGGGAGGAACTGAGGGAGGAACTGAGGGAGGAACTGAGGGAGGAACTGAGGGAGGAACTGAGGGAGGAACTGAGGGAGGAACTGAGGGAGGAACTGAGGGAGGAACTGAGGGAGGAACTGAGGGAGGAACTGAGGGAGGAACTGAGGGAGGAACTGAGGGAGGAACTGAGGGAGGAACTGAGGGAGGAACTGAGGGAGGAACTGAGGGAGGAACTGAGGGAGGAACTGAGGGAGGAAGGAACTGAGGGAGGAACTGAGGGAGGGACTGAGGGAGGAACTGAGGGAGGAACTGAGGGAGGAACTGAGGGAGGAACTGAGGGAGGAACTGAGGGAGAAGGATCTGAGGGAGGAACTGAGGGAGGGACTGAGGGAGGAACTGAGGGAGAAGGATCTGAGGGAGGAACTGAGGGAGGGACTGAGGGAGGAAGGAACTGAGGGAGGAACTGAGGGAGGAACTGAGGGAGGGACTGAGGGAGGAACTGAGGGAGGAACTGAGGGAGGAACTGAGGGAGGAACTGAGGGAAGAGGTACTGACCGGTTGAGGATGAGGACCCTCCCCCCCCCGGGCCCCACCCCGTTTCCTTGTTCCCCACTATCAGAGCTCTACAACTTCGGCAGTATTCTGTTCGGCATGCAGCCATTCGCCACCTTCTTCTCTGCCCATCCCCTAACCCCGACCTGTCCCAAGCTGAACTACCCACCCACCTCCCCATTCCCGCCCCCTCCGCCATCCTGACCACCACCAGAGCTGTACAGCTTCGGCAGTGTGCTGTTTGGCATGCAGCCATTCGCCATCTTCTCTGCTCATCCCCTAACCGCCACCTGACCCAAGCCGAACCACCCACCTTCCACCCCACCCATCATCCCCACCCCGCCCCCTCCCCCCCACCAGAGCTGTATAACTTCGGCAGTGTGCTGTTTGGCATGCAGCCATTTGCCATCGCAGCGGATGGGCAGCACACGCGCATGGGCGCGCTGCAGGGCTCACCAGAGGTCGCTCTCGTGCACGACTGTGCCATGTCGTCTCGCTTCCTCGTCTTCACCATCCCTCCCTACGCCGCCTCTGCTGGGGATGTTGCTCAGGTGCGTTCTGCTTGCCCTCTCGTGCCCTCTGCCCTGTTCCTCTCTGCTCGGTCTCCTCTGCTCTCCTCTTCTCTCCTCTGCTCTCCTCTTCTCTCCTCTGCTCTCCTCTTCTCTCCTCTGCTCTCCTCTTCTCTCCTCTCCTAAACCCTGCAGCGCTCCGAACTCGTCCTCTAGGTGCCCCCCCTCGTCCTCTAGGTGCCCCCCCTCGTCCCCTATCACTTGCAGATGCTGGCAGGGCAGCAATCGCTGGGCTAGAAACTCTGCCCAGCTAGAATCATTTAAGTGCCCAGCAAGAATCATCGTACGACGAGTCATTTAAGTGCATCTTAGAGCAGCTGCAGCGCACCACATTCACTAGCTTACGTTTCCCTTGTACCCTATCACGATCACGAGCAGATGCTAGCAGGGCAGCAGTCGCTGGGCTACAGGTTCACATACGACGAGTCAAAGCCCACGCGGGTGGTGGTGGTGGGCAAGGCGAGCCTGGCAGTGGAGGTTCAGATGGACGTGTGGCCGCCCTTCTCCAACTACCACTTCTGCAACGCCTATGAGGATGGAGACAAGCTGCACGTTCTTTTAACCGTTCTGGTAAGTCGCGTTGCTTCACCTCAGAGTACCTCAGGGCAGCAGTTGTTTGGAAGCAGGTTCACATAAGAGGGTGGTGGTGGTGGGCAAGGCGAGTCTGTCAGTGGAGGTGCAGATGGACGTGTGGCCGCCCTTCTCCAACTACCACTTCTGTAACGCTTACGAGGAGGGGGATAAACTTCATGTGCTGCTGACCGTTCTGGTAAGTCGTGTTGCTTCACCTCAGAGCACCTCAGAGCACCTCAGAGCACCTCAGAGCACCTCAGAGCTCCTCAGAGCTCCTCAGAGCTCCTCAGAGCACCTCGGGTAGCAGTCGTTGGGGAGCGTGTGCACATACTCGGGTGGTGGTGGTGGTGGTGGTGGTGGTGGGCAAGGCGAGCCTGGCAGTGGAGGTTCAGATGGACGTGTGGCCGCCCTTCTCCAACTACCACTTGTGCAACGCCTATGAGGAGGGGGGCGAGCTGCGCGTGCCGCTGCTGACTGTGCTGGTGAGTCGTTTCGTCTCTTGCTGATATCCCCCACCGTGCTACTCCTCACTGCACCTCACTGCACCGCAGTCCCCCTTCTCCAACTACCACTTCTGCAACGCCTGTGATGAGAAAGACCAGCTGCACGTGCTGCTGCCTGTCCTGGTGGTGAGTCATCACTTGCTGAGATCCTCGACCGCATTGCACCGCAGAGCACCTCACTGCACCCCAGCTGCCCTTCTCCAACTACCACTCCTGCAGCGCACATGAGGAGAATGGGCGCCTGCATGTGCTGCTGGCTGGTGAGTCATCTTGTGGTGGTTTCCCCTGCTCCTCTGCACCTCGCAGCACGTCACTGCACCCCGTGAGTGTTCTAAAGGATTCTCGCTCAACCATCCCTCAACCTTCTCTGCCCATCTCCCATCCCACCAGGATGGGCCACGGTATGGGTTGGAGGGAGTGTTCAAGGACGTGTACGGGGAATCATGGCAGCGCAGCAACCAGTGCTCTGTGTGGACACATGGAACCTCCTCTCCCACCACCTGTCTCCTCTCTCACCTGGGCCGTTATCCCCTCCACACATCTCCCACCAGGATGGGCCACGAGATAGGTTGGAGGGAGTGTTCAAGGACATGTACGGGGGGAGATGGCAGCGTGGCAACCAGTGCTCCGCATGTTGTTTCCCCATCCATCCCCTGCCTGTCTCCCATGACTCTGCGCCCCGAGTGCCATCCCTCCCACCCACCAGGACGGTGCACGAGACGGGTTGGAGGGAGTATTCAAGGACGTCTACGGGGAATCATGGCAGCGCAGCAACCAGTGCTCTGTAGGCTTCACGCCTCTATCTGTTCTTTCCCCCAACCATCCCTCCCTGCCTCCCATCTCACCAGGATGGCCCACGAGACGGGTTGGAAGGGGTGTTCAAGGACATGTACGGGCAGTCATGGCAGCGCGGCAACCAGTGCTCTGTGTGGGAGCTTGTTTTTGACACCAACACCTGGGACCTCCTCTCCCGCCGCCGAGCCATGCATTCCGAACCTGGCACGCGAGGTCCGGTGCTAGGCATGGAGTTCGCCGTAATTAACCCTGCTTATACCGGCAGGAAGAGCAGGTACCTATACGTGCTTGGATCTATGCCTGAGAGGGAGAGGGAGGGGCGGTGGAGCAAGGTAGGGTTAGGAGATGGCGCATGGTATGGAGGTCAAGAGGAGCAGGGGGGGGAGGACAGGGAGGGGGAGGAGGGGGAGGAGGGAGTTGGTGAGGAGGAGGAGGAAGGGAAGGAGATGGCCGAGTATGGGTACTTGAACTGTATTCAGAAGTACGATCTGAAGACGAAGCAGGTGACCACTCACGTCACGCCGCCTGGGTGCTACGTCAACGAGTGCAGCTTCATTCCTGACAGTGGCTCGGATAACGAGGATGCCAGTAACGAGGACGACGGGTTTCTAGCTGCGTTTGTGTATGACGCAGCACGGCACAGGTCGCATGTGGTGGTGCTGGATGCGAGGGATGTGGCTTCACCCCCAATAGCAGTGGTGCATCTGCAATCCCACGTACCGTACCATTTCCATGGCACCTGGGTTGGCAAGGCTACCATGCTATGATGCGGCGCGGCACAGGTCGCATGTGGTGGTGCTGGATGCGAGGGATGTGGCCGCTTCCCCAGTAGCGGTGGTACATCTTCAGTCACACGTGCCGTACCATTTCCATGGCACTTGGGCTGGCAAAGCTGCCGTGCAACAGGGGCCTTTGAAGCTCCTTCAGTAGCAGCTTCCCCGGTGGCAGTGGTGCATTTGCCGTCACATGTGCCCTATCACTTTCACGGCTCCTGGGCTGGAAAGGCTGCTGTGCTGTGCATCAGGGAGGTTGTTTAGGCGTCTAAAGGGGCATGGTGCTCGGTGTGCCTGGTGGATTGTAGCACCATGGCATGGCACGAGTCGCATGGGGTGGGGTGGTGATGGATGGTGCGAGTCGCATGGGGTGGGTTGGTGATGGATGGTGCGAGTCGCTGGATGCTGCGAGTCGCTGGATGCGAGGGATGTGGTGTGGCAGCAGCACCCAAATGGCAGTGCTGGTCGCTGGTGCATCTGCTTGCGAACCTGCATTCACATGTGCCGAATAATTTCCATGGCTCCTGAGCTGCCAAGGCTGCTGGTTGTGGCTTTCCAAGGGACTAGAGAGGAGAAGCACATTATCGGGCTATAGTCATTCTGGCACATCATTCCCAGAGCTTTAGTCTTGGGAGCTCTGGTCTGGCTCTCACTGCTGTTGCACTTCTGAAGAAGCTATCTCTGCAGCAGAGCCAGGTGCGGTATTGGTAACTGGTCAGCATGATGTTTCTATGTTACTATTTGATTGCACACGGCCGGTAAAACAAAACGCTGGAAAGCACAGCACTTAAGCTTTCTGGCCATTGATCCTGACCAGGCTGCGCAACAGGCTAAACCAGCCCATGTGTAGGCGAGTAATTTCCAGAGTACATGAAGCACGGTAGCATAATAAGGGGAGAATGACACTTTCCATGAAGGGCTAGGTACTAGGAGGGCAACGGCAATGCGTGCCAGGAAACAAAATTTTGCGAGGAGAGGTCACGCTGGCACAGCAGCAGAGGGGGGCAGGAGGGGAGTGGAGGGAGTGTCAGTGCTGAGAAGCCATCCACGTCTGAAGCAGTACGGTAACGATAGCATCGGTCCCAACCATGCTTCCATACACAGGCGCGGTGAGCAGGACACTTCCAAGCCCCGCCCCGTACTGCCCTCCGCCCCCCCCAAAAATGGCAAGTCTGATCTGCTGCCAGTTGTTCGGCATCCACTAAACCCCTCGGCCCACCTCCCTCCGCCAACCTCCCATCTCCAACCTCCAACCTCCCACCTGCCACCTCCCAGCTGCCCGCGGCAGTGGATGTGGGCGGTCAGTCGATGTTGGCCTTGCGTCGTAGGTGCTCCTTGAACGCGCCGATATCGCCCTCCCACCGCGTCAGCGTGCGGTTCTCACACACCCAGATCTCCTTTGCCACCTGCCATGTGCCATGCATGCACAGTACCACAGAACAAGTACACATAACAGCAAGTCAGCAGCCAGCCACAGACACCAATTCATTCTCCTGTGAACAAGCTTGGCCCTCATATCCTCGCATCATCTGAAAACTCCTGAGCCCTCTGCTTCATCCACATGCCCTCACCTGGTTAATAAGTCTGAAGTCATGGGACACGAGCACCATGACGCTGTCACACTCATTCGGGTAATTTTTGAGGCGCCTAAAAAACATCCCCATGCACTCACCTGGTTAATAAGTCTGAAGTCGTGGGACACGAGCACCATGCAACCGTCCCACTCATTCAGCGCCTCAGCAAGCGAGTCAATCGTCTCAATGTCCAGATGGTTGGTGGGTTCGTCCAGCAGTAGCATCTTCTTCCTCTCAAACCCCCATTGCTGGCCTGGCTCAACTTCCCTCCCTTACGCGCTCCATTAACCCAGCTCTGATGCAACCAGCCCCGTCAGGGCCCTCCGCTTCTCATCCCCATGCGCTCACTCACCTGGTTGATAAGTCTGAAGTCATGAGACACGAGCACCATGCCGCCGTCCCACTCATTCAGGGCCTCAGCCAGCGAGTCAATCGTCTCAATGTCCAGATGGTTGGTGGGCTCATCCAGCAGCAGCATCTGAGGCTGTCGGTATGCCAGCCACGCAAACAGAATCCGCGACCGCTGCCCGTCCGAAAGGTTTTTCATTGGCATGATCTGGCACTTCCCGGTCAGCCCGAATCTTCCGATGGCTGCCCGCATTCTTTCCTCCTCCAATCCCGGGTATTCGGACATCATCCACTGGAGTGCGCTCTTCTCCAGGTCTAGTTTCTCGCCCAAGTGCTGTGAGGAGGGAAGGAGGGGAAGGACGAGAGAGAAAGTACTAAGCACGAGTCATTATCTAGTAAGCCTTGAAGCGCACTCTTCTCCAGGTCTAGTTTCTCGCCCAGGTGCTGTGAAGAGCTGGTAGCAGGGGAAGGACGAAGTGAGGAGGAAAAATTAGCACAAAGAATGCTCTAGTAACCCTTGCGAGTGATGTTACAAGTGCAGGTGCAGCAGGAGGAGCAGAACAGGGAAGGGCCAAGACGCGGGGGTGGTTATGAACATGTTGAGATACATGGCGGGGGTTTGTTCATGTGTGAATCACTTTTGAGAATTCTCAAAAGTGATTCCCAAATAGCGAATGCCAAAAAGCGGGGATGGTTATAAACATGTTGAGATACATGGCAGGGGTGTGTTCATGCGTGTACGTGTGTGAATGTGGGGGTCTGTGTGCATGTGAGGATGTGTGGGTGTATGCGGATGTGTGTGAGTGAGTGTATAAGTGTGAGTGTGTGAAAGTGAGTGTGCGGGTGTCTGTGAGTGTGAATCTGTGTGTGTGTCAATGTGACAAGCGTGTGTGGAAGTGTGTGGGTGTGTGTGAAAGCGCGTGGGTGTGGGCGGATGTCTGTGGGGCTGTGTGGGTGCGATTTGCACACCCACCCACAACCATTCACACCCATCCACGCCCATCCCCATCCATCCACGCCCAGCAACCCACCTGGTGATACTGCCCAATGCGCAGGTGGTTGTGCCGCTTCATCGCCCCTCCGTGGGCTGCAGTGTGTGCACATACAGACACCAAATCACCACACCCACACCCACACCCATACCCACCCACACCCAAGTACACCCATCCAAACCCACCTGGTGGTACTGCCCAATCCGCAGGTGGTTATGCCGCTTCACCGCGCCCTCCGTGGGCTGCAAATCGCCCGTCATCAGCTTCAGCAGCGTCGACTTCCCCGCCCCGTTCGGCCCCACCAGCGCAATCCGCGAGTCCAAATCCACGCCAAAATCCACCTTCTCATAAATCACATGCTCCGGATCGTACGCAAAAGAAACTTCCGAAAACTGCAGCACCGGGGGAGGAAGCTTCCCCACGTCCGTAAACCTAAACGTCAGCACGTTATCCCTCTGGACTTTTTCCGTCAGCCCGCCTCGTTCCATTTTCGCTAGGGTTTTCTCCTTGCTCTGCGCCTGCCGAGCCAGCTTCGCCGAGCCGTGCCCGAACCTGGCGATGTACTCCTTCATGTTGGCGATCTGCTCCTGCTCCCACTTCCACTGCTTCATCTGGTTCTCCTCCTGCTCTTTCCTCGTCTGCACGTACTGGTCGTAGTTGCCCGTGTAGAATTTGAGCTTCTTGTTCTGCATGTGGATGATGTTGGTGCACACGCCGTTGAGGAAGTCCTGCGAGTGCGACACCACCACCAGAATGCGATCAAACTTCTTCAATGTCTCTTCCAGCCACACGCAGGCTTCCAGGTCTGCGTTTATGGGGCACGACGGTAAAGGGGCAGGGAGAGGGGAGTGGAAGGAGAAGGGGGGGGAGGGGGAGAGTCAGACGAGAAAGTCCTATGAGTGCGACACCACCACCAGAATGCGGTCAAACTTCTTCAATGTCTCTTCCAACCACACGCACGCCTCCAGATCTGCGTGTTCGGGCATTGGGGGAAGAGAACAGGGCGGAGTAGTGAGGCAGGGAGGTGTGTGACTCAGACCAACGTGTGAGGCGCATGTGGATAGAGGGGCCCCGGAGAGGGGTTGGGGGGGAGGGTTTGGAGGGGGCGGAAAGGTGGAGCTGAGGGCTTTAGGACGTATCTTGAAAGGGAGTAACGAACAGAATCTCGAAGCCATCGCATGGCGGGTTGCCCGCCCCGCACGTACGTGCGTACGCCCAAAGCGTGCGTGAGTGCGAACTCTCACGTGCTGTGGTGTGTTCTAAAGAACTGGTCACAAGGAACGGAACAGCTACTAATGCACTTCGCTGGCCTAGTTCCTTGATACACTCTCGGCACCTAGATGATTTCACACCTACTTGGTTCGTCAGCCTGTCATACGTAGCTAATAGGTTCGTTAACCCGCCGTGCGCACCTACCTTGTTCGTCAGCCACGTCCGTACGCACCTAGATGGTTGGTGGGTTCGTCCAGGAGCAGCACGGTGGGCTGCATGAACAGCGCGCGCGCGCCACAGTGAGCCCTCGCAAAATTCGATATTTTGAAGTCTCAGTTCGTCAGCCCCTGGCCTACGTACCTAGATGGTTGGTAGGTTCGTCCAGCAGCAGCACGGTGGGCTGCATGAACAGCGCGCGCGCGAGCGCGATGCGCATGCGCCAGCCACCGGAGAAGTCGCGCGTCTTCTTCTGCTGCATCTGCTTGGTGAAGCCCAGCCCGTGCAGGATCTGCGCCGCGCGCACCTCCGCCGTCGCCGAGTCCATGGCGTCCAGCCGCTCGTAGATGCGCTCCAGCTGATCCGCCGCGCCCTCCTGTAATAAGGGGAAGGGGACGAGGGGAGGAAGAATAGAAAGGTGGGTTTGAGACGTGAGAACTACTAAATTCCCCACACTCGAGCTAGGTCGATCGCGTCCAGCCGCTCGGAGATGGGCTTTAACTGAGCCGCGCCATCCTGGAAAAAAAGGAAGCGGGGGAAAAGCAAGTCCATAGCGTCCAGCGGCGAGGAGATAAGTTGCGGTAACCGCAACCACAAAAACGCACATTATCCAACGGGAAGATCGGACACGGGCGATGCGACGAAGGGAGGG